AATTAATTTTTAAATTAATTATTCGATTAATTTAATAATTAATAAATTAATTAATAAATTAATTTAATAATTAATTTAAAAATTAATTAAATTAATTTTTAAATTAATTCTTAAATTAATTTTTAAATTAATTTAACGATTAATAAATTAATTAATAAATTAATTCGATTAATCTTAAAATTAATTTCAAAGTTAATTTAAACGTTAAATTAATTTTTAAAAAAATACGATATTTATTAATAAATCGATTTTTAGTTTAATCCTTAAATATAATTAATATTTAATTAATAAATTAATCGCTACATTAATTAAATAATTAATTAAATAATTAATTAAATAATTAATTAAAAAGTTAATTAAATAATTAATTAAATAATTAATCGAAAAATAAATAAATAAATAAATAAATAAATTAATTTAATTTAAAAATTAATCGAATCGAAATTAACGTAATTAATTAAAAAAAATATATTTAATTAAAAACGTAAATAAATTTAAAGTTTTATTAAAATTTAATAACGCGTTAAAAAAAAATTAAATTAATTAAATATATCGAAATTTCTTATTAATTATTTATTAATTAATTATATAATATTACGTAATTATAAAAGGGGTTTTATAAGTAATAAAAAAAGTTTAAACGTAATAATATTTTTCGAACGGAAAATTATAAAAAAATAATATTATTAAAAAAAAATAACATTAATATTAATATTATATATATAAATAAAATCGAAAATAAAAAAAAACGAAATAATAATTTAAAATAACGTTACGAAATTAATATTAATTAAAAAGTAATATTGCTTACGTTATATAAGTTTTAATAATACGCGCGTTATATTAAAAAAAAGCTTAACGTTAATTCGAACGCGTTATAAATTATACCGAAATTTTATTATATATTTATTTAACTTTTTTTCGTTTTAATTATATTAAATTAACGTTTTAATCTTTAAAACTTAACTTAATTAAAAACTTTTAATTTAAATTATTTTTTATTTTTTTTTTAAACTTTTAAATGTAAATTTAATGGTAAAATTTAAAGTTAAAAACTAGCCGTAACTTTAATCGATTCGAATTAATTTTAGCTTGCTTTAAGTTTAATTACATTTTATCGCTTCGTTTTTTAACTAAATTAAATATAACTTATATTATTTAAAAACGCTTTTTAAAAATAATTAAATAATTATAATTATTAAATTTTTAATTATAATTTAATTAAGAAACAATTAATTAAAAATTCGATATAATAAAAAAATATAAATGTTAAAATAACTTAAATTAAGGTACTTTAGTTCCCACTTAAATTATATGAAACAATATATACACCTTTCGCCGGCGTTTTTCCGGGCCCATACAACGTAACAACTAACGCCAACCATACAACGCAAGCAGTATTACTTTTAAATTAATAATAATTATATAAATTTTTATATAATTTAATTAATTAAAATTTTTAAATAAATAAATTTACGATAAATAAATAAAAAACAATTAAAAATTATATAATTACGAATATTTTATTATAAATTTTATTATTATAATTTAATTATAAATAATTTAATAAAAAATAATTAAATATATTTTATAAATTAAAATTATATATATAAAAATAATAAAAAAATAAATTAATTTAATTTAATTTAAATTAACGTTAAATTTAATTAAAATAAAAATTATAAAATTTTATTTATATTATTATTATATATATTTTTTTTTAATTTAATTAATATATATAATTTTAATTAATAATTTAATTTTTATATTAAATATTAATTTAATTTTATTTTTTATTATATTTATTATAAATTTCGTTTTTTTTATTTTTTATTTTAATAATTTATTAAATTTAATTAAAAAAAATTTTTTTTTAAAAAATAATAATATTTTTAAAATTTAAATATATTATTATATATTTTATATAAATTATAATATCAATTTTTATTATAATTTAATTATAAGTAATTTAATAAAAAATAATTAAATATATTTTTTAAATTAAAATTATATATATATAAACGGTGAAAAAAATAAATTAAATTAATTTAATTTAAATTAATATTAAATTTTATCGAAATAAAAATTATAAAATTTTATTTATATTATTATTATAAATTTTTTCCTTTTTTTTAATTTAATTAATATATATAATTTTAATTAATAATTTAACTTTTATATTAAATATTAATTTAATTTTATTTTTTATAATAATTTTAAAAATTTTATTTTATACGAAATTTTAATAATATATTATATATATAATTATTTTATTAAATTAATTATTAAAAATTTATTATAAATTTAAAATAACGATATTTTTATTTAAAAAGTTTTTAAAAAATAAAATATTTTTAAATATTTTTTAAAAATCGAAATAAATATATAAAATTAAATTATATTAAATTTTTATTTTATTTTTAAATAATATTATTTACGTTATATAATTAACGTTAATTATTATTTTATATAAACCGGAAAAACGCCGGTAAAAAATGTATATATTATTTTATATAAATTTAATAAAATTTAAAATATTACGATTTAAATTTTTAAAATTAATTTTAAAATTTATATTTTTTTTTAACGTTAAATTTTTAATTAATTATTTTATAATTAAAATAATTTTAAAATTTCGATAATTATTATTATTTAATTATTTTCGTAAAACGTTTTTAAAGAATTTTAATTATATTATAATTAAAATTTAATTAAATTAAAAATTTACGATTAAAATTAAAAAAAAATTAAAATTAATTTAAATTAATTAAAATAATATTTAATTTTTTATTTTAAATTTTATAATTAAATTTAAATTTAAATATTTATAAATAATATAAAAAATAATTTAAAATAAACGTTTTTAATTAAATTAAATTTCGAAATTTAAAACGTTAATTTAAAAAAAAAATTAATTAAATATAAAATAAAATTTTAATATAATTTATTATAAATTTAAATTAACGTTATATTTTTTTAATATAACGCGTTTATTAATTAAAACGATATAACGTAAATAATATTATTTTTATTTTTATTTAAAATAATTAAATATAATTTTTTAAAATTAATAAATTAAATATTTAAAAATTTAAAAATTTTCGAAAAAATAAAAAATAAAAAATTTAATTTTTAACATTTTTTTAATTATTAATTAATTAATTAAATTTTATTTTTAAATAATTATAAATTTAATTAAAGTTTTTACGTAATTTTAATTAATTAATTAATAATTAAAAAAAATTAAATAAAAATTATTAATATGTTTTTTAATTTTATTTATAAAATATTTTAATATATTTAATTAATTTAAATTTTTTTTAACCCGTCGTTAAGTTTTAATAAAACTTTAAATTTATCCGTATTTTTAATTAAATGTATTTTTTTAATTTATTATATAAATTTCGATTTAATTAATTTTTTAATTAAATTAATTTATTTATTTATTTATTTATTTATTTAATTAATTTTCGAATTAATTTTTTAATTAATTTTTTAATTAATTTAACGATTAATTTATTAATTATATATTAATTATATTTAAAAATTAAATTAAAAATCGATTTATTAATTATTAAATTAATCGTTAAATTAATTAAACGATTAATTTAAATATTAAATTTAAAATTAATTTACGAATTAATTTCGAAATTAATTAAATTAATTTATTAATCGTTAAATTAATTTAATTAATTTTTAAATTAATTTTCGTATTAAAATTTATAATATTTAATTAACCGTTAATTTATTATAAATTTATAATTTAATAATATAAACGTTTAAAAAAAAACCGTTAATTACGTGTTTTTTTATTTAATTATTTATATTTTAAATTAATATTTTTTTTTATAACGTTTAAAAATTTTAAACGTTTAATATAAAATTTTCGATATATTTAAATGAAAAATTATAAAAATTAACGAATAAATAAAATTAATAAATAAACGAATTAAATTAAATTAAATTATTTAATTTTTTACGAAATTTTTTACGTATATAAAAAATTATTTATAATTTTTATAATTATAATAATTATAAAATTATTTATTTATTTATTTATTTATAAAAATCGTAATTAAATTTTAAATTATTAATAAATCGAATAAATTAAAAGTTTTAAAAATTTTAAAAACGATTTTAATATATATAAATAAATTTTCGGAAATTTTTTTTAAAATTTTAAAAATTTAAAAAATAAAAAAAATTAAAATTAAAAATAAATAAATAAAATTAAAGTTTTATATAAATTAAAATAATAATTAAAATAATTATATATATTAAATTAAAAATTTAAAATAATTCGAATTATTATTAAATATTTATTTAAAATAAACGTTAAATTTTTTTTAACGTTTAAAAATATATAACGTTTAAATACGAATAATTATTTAATTTTATAAATATTTATAAAATTAAATTATATATTTATAAATTTTTAAAAAATTACGCGTTAATTAAAATAAAATAATTTAATTAAATTTTTAATTAATTTATTAATTAATTTATTAATTTTAAATTAATATAAAAATTAAATTTAAAATTAATTTATTAATTTTTAAATTAATTTTCGAATTAATTAAATATTTAATTTTAAAATTAAATTAAATATTAATTAATTAATTTTTTAATTAATTATTTAATTAATTAAATATTTAATATAAAAATTAAATTATTAATTATTAAATTATTATAAAAATTAATTTAAATTAAAAATTAAAAATTAATTTATAAATTAAAAATTAATTTATAAATTAATTAATTAATTTTTAAACTTTTTTTTAATTTATTTTAAATTAATTTAAAAATTAAATTTAATTAAAAAAAATTATTTATCGTAAAAAAACTTTTTTAATTTTTCGAACGAATATTATTTTTTTTTTTTTAAACTTTTTTTTCCTTTTAAACTTTTATATATTACTTTTTACGAAGAAAAAACTTTTCGACCTTTTTTTTTTTTTTTTTTTTTTAAAAAAAAAATCCCTTCGAAATTCGAACATAACTTTCGAAACTCGATTAAAATATATTAAACTTATTAAAATAAAAATAATTCCTTTCGTTAAACTCGATTACATGTTTCATTTTCAATATCGTTTTCTAGTCCCCAATCTTTAAAACCTGAGCCTCGCGCCCAACTAACCCCTTTTTTAACGTGTGTCTCGCGAATGGCCCTTGCATCCCTTTCATATACTGCGCCGGTTATAGCAATAGCTAATACAAATATCCACACGTCTCCTCCCTTCATAGCACGCCACCATCGTCGCTTAACACCTACCTTCCACAATGAGTCCACGCTTGTTCGTGCGCTGTATAAGAATACGCTTCTTCCTTCTTTACGCTCCACCCATGCCCATAAGCCCGCCAAGAACCCGCCCAGGAAGAAACGTTGTGATGGTAGGAATCCACGTGGCAGCCAGGTCTGGAAGAAGCAGATGCTTGCCCACGCCGTTGATATGCCCCCTGTAGCAAACATCGACATCCGGAGAATCCTAGTTATGAGGCGATTTACAAGGTACAATGGTGAATGGTATAGTACTTTATATCGTGGAAGCATGAGTACTGAATAGAACAGCAAAAAGAACCGGCTCATCCGTGGAAATGATCGTACCCAAAATGTAAGATAGGTACGAAGACAGGAGGGGTCCGAGGGATGGAGGGTAGCACAGCTCAAAGAAGTGATTAGAGGGTGAGCTCGTGAGACTAAGGGAGCGACAGCTGCGAGTGTTGATGGTAAGGTTTCCTGTTCCGGGAATAGTGTCGGTGGAACGAATGTCCTTTGCAATCGTTAGCAGCATGTCATATATAACACGGAGTGGAATTTTACGTACGGCCAATTCAGTTTGGCCATCTGAGCTAAATTATCAGCAATCTCCCAAGCGTTAGGCCACTGGTTCCCATCGGGAAGATTTCTAGGCGCCCCATGAATATAGGTGGTGGAGTTCTTCCAGATCATGTCGACAAAGGCAACTGGAGATGACTCCTGGTCGAACACTACTGCGTGCAATAGCTGTCCAAAAGCAAATGGCTGAAGCATCCAACTCCCCCACCACCACGGACGCTCTCGTTTGACTACCCCCTTCCCTCCTGCACGGACCTTCCAGCCCCAAATTAGCCCCTCGTCCTCGCATAGGTTCCAGCCAAATTCTAGAGCACGGAATATAGCTGCGATGGCTACTGTCACGCGCAGCTGCTGAGAGGGATATATGCCTAAAGCTAACCCTGCAAGGCTAGCACCAACAGCCGGCGCATAGGGGGATGTAAGTGCTTGTGTTATCCTAGGGTTTCTATTGCGGAAGGGGGCTGCCGACTTGTCTAGTAGATGGGCTCGTAATCGGCTGAGAAAGCGAAATAGGAGGCGGTACATTAGTAAGATGGTAGATAGCGATAGCGACAATCGAAGACCAGAAGACTTGTAAAAAGGGTGTTTCTTCTTCGGTGCAGCCGTCCTATAAACATGTTAGCATTTGGCGTCACTTATTCCGTCGACGCATGTTATCACTTCTTACTCTTTCTGCGACTTTAACCTCATCATCACCGCCTCGTAAGCTCGTACTCCCAGGCCAGTGGCCATAAATACACGCAAAGAGTCCCTGATAGCACGCGCATTATACGTGTCTCCCCCATCGTCACTGCTCTTATCTGGCCTCTCTTTCCCTCCATCGACGTCTCCATCTACCATGGAACCCCTCCTTATCCCACCGCCCTCCATATACCTTTCGACGGCGTTTACGCTAGGTACCCTCTTTCTCAGCAGACGCGACCGTGATAAGACATATTTATGGAGAGTTTCATATTCGCGAGCTGAGATGGTATATCTTATGGCATTGCGAAGGACTGGGTCAACGGGAGACTTATATTTCGATTTCGAGTTTGCTCTGGGTCGCGATATAACCTCGTACTGACTTGGAATCTCAATCGGGGGAAGGGTAGGCATTCTCGAAGCCTCAGCCTTGGATCCCATATTTATCTAGATTGAATGAACAAGTTTCGCGACACCGTGGCGAATTGATGCCTAATGGATGGTTGCGGCGAGATTCGAGCGAATATATCCGATAACTCCTTTTCTTTCCTCCGTGCCCAGCTAATTACAGAAAACGCAATTATCACTTTGTCTCAGCTCAGCTAAGTATGGAATTTTTGGTGAATCATGTCAATTCAGCTGCAGCGATTCGACGTCGCACCCGGCGGGCTGGTGTTCTTAACGATGTGTCGGTCGATAACAGCCTCGTAGCGGTAGAGGGGTACACGGTTCGGATGAGACGAACAAACATTGATGATTATGCTAAGCGTTTTGATTTTAGAACTTATGTGTACAAAATAGAAAGTAAGAGGGGCTTGGAGATGGGCTTGATGGGGTTTGGTGGTGGTGGTTTTTCTTGTACATACAAAGTAAGGAGGAAGGGCACAAGACGATAGGATAAGAACCGAGCTAAGTTAGGTTAGGGAGGAATCGTCGCGTGTCCAGGCACGACGTAATAACATTAGAACTTTTACATGTGCAGGAACTATACCTACTAGCTAATTACCGTATTTCGTCCGATGCAATTCGTCCCGTGCAATTCGTCCCGCTGGCTACCTACTCGGCACGTAAGATTAAATGATATAACTAAATAAGTAACCACAATGCAACTTCGAAGTACATGGTATATTTGCTTTGCCTCGGCTCGACTGGCATGTGAGCGACTATATTGTGGGGGTGGCACCCATAGCAAAAGGTATGTATTCTCATACCAGTCCGCCCTCATTACCCATTGCGACTGTCGGTGCGACTTACTATACATATGTAATTATACATTTTATTGAGAAATACTGCATATTGTATATACGCGCACGCACGCACACGTATATAGTTGTCCTATCCTGTCTTCATCCGACTCCACTAGTTACGTCGGGAAGATGTTGGATTATCCATGAACTTTTACCATAGGCTTATTCATGCTGCAGCTTTTGAATCAGTCTCGGTTGCGTGCTCCAGTATGGCTTCTACGCCCTCGATCTTGCCCTTATCTAGCCCCTCAACGCTTACATGCGGCCCCGTGTAATTCTTGCGACCGTCGAAGATCCATGTAACCATGGCGATGATTAAAATAACACCAAATGCAACAACGCAGTAGTTCATGTTCTCGCTTGTAACCGGCAACTCCGGTGGAAAGACGAACAGGACAGTTGTCAGGATTGTCCAAATTATGCCAACCTAATTTAGCAACGAGTTAGCTTTTGTGATCTCCGTTGCCAGGACTCGGATGGGAGGGAATACTGACTAAGTTCAAAATCCAGCCGACCACACCAGGTAACTTGAACGCGCGATTCTCCGGTAACATCCTACGTCCACGCAGCACGTTAATAGACGGCGGGATGGCGTACGTCACGCCGAGAGCGACAACAGATGCCGATGTGATAGCGTTGAAAGTGCTCGATGACCCGAGGAAGATGCACCCGAACACGACGACCCAGGCGGCTGTCCAGAGCAGCGCGTTCAGCGGCACGTCCAACTTTGGATGAACTCGCGCAAAGATATGGCTGAATGGAAGCCCGCGGTCTCGTGCAAACGCGTAAGACATACGGCTGCTCGTCGTCATTAGTGTCGTCGCAGTGAAAAGCATGCATACGAGGGGGAACATTAGTAAGCACACGCTGCCCGCGGAGCTTTTGGTGGCATCCATAAATATTTGTAGTAGAGGGCCAGCGCTAGACTCGATTACGTTGTCGATGTTGTCGACGCAAAACAGTAGGCAAGATAGAAACACGAAGCCTGTTCCCATGCCGATACCAATGCAGTAAAGCATGATCCTCGGGCCACGGATATGTGGTTGCGGGATCTCCTCAATCATGTGAGCCACGGCATCGAAACCGGTGAGCGCGAATGCGCCCTGTAGCAATCCTAGCAGCCAAGACACGCCATCGGGCCATCCGACCTCATTGATGAATTCGCCGTAGACGAAGGCACCGCTTTGGTAGTTTGGCGATGCGCACGCGAGTATGGTTATGCTAATGACGACGAACCCTGTCAGACTCCAGAAGAAAGCGGCCTTGGTGAACAAGGGTAATAATCGCGTCGAGAAGGCATTGATAAAGAGCGCTATGAAGGTAAAGCCGATGTAGATTAGGAACTGATGCCAGGACTTGGTCTCGTAGTCAGGATGCAGTAGCGAGATGATGTTGATGATGAATGTGCTCCCTAGCAACCCCCCCGTGGCCGTCAGCGCGACCCACCCGCTTACGTTAATCCAACCAGTGGCATAGCTGATGCTCCTGCTCCAATTCTTCCACGCGACAATGGCGGCCCAGTGATACTGTCCTCCGGCAGTTGGGTAGGCGGAAAGAAATTCAGCTAACGAAGCGGCGAGACACAAATTGCAGATACCTGCTACCATGAGACCCCAGACGACAGAACTGGGTCCACCTGAGGGCAAAGCGAGGGAGATAGAAGCAGCAAGGGCGGTCCATGTATTAAGGATGGCGAAGGCGAGCCCAAGCATAGAGATCATAGAGAAATTTCTCTTGAGTTCTTGTTTGTGACCAAGATGCGCTAGCGCTGCAGCATCCTGAGCGATGATGCTGTGGCGCCGACCTCGTTCTTCGATCTCACCCATAGTTTTCCTTTTCCTTCGACTAGCTTGGTTCTGGTCCTGGACCAAGTTCCTTTCCTTTCCCTACTTTCCTCTATTACCCCCTCCTTCTTTTTCTTCTCTCTCTCCTTTCTCCCTGATTTACCGGATATGACGAGTTTTGAATTTGCGTCTCGATGCTCAATATGATCGATGTCGAATATATAGAATATATGATACTCCGAAGATATATCCTAGCGGGAAGACGTCCCGGATAATATATAATTTAAATTATAAACATATAACCATACCTGCCTACCGACCTAAATATGTGGTATTTGGTAGAGGTACAATATATTGTTTAACCCGACAGCAGAATGAATAGAGAGGGAAGGGAAAACAAAAGGAAGAATGTAGAGAAGAAGAGGGTGATTATGACTTTGGAGGGAAAGCGTTCTCGGCCCTGTTAAAAAAAAGCTAATTCTTATCAAGCATCCTTAGGGTTTGATCTTGTTATTCTATTACATTACATATGTGTATTCTATGATCTCTTTGTTCACCGAGTTAGTGGGTCCCGTATCTGCTACTTACATGTATTTTACGTGAAGTCTTGCTCCAGCGCCACGCTACGCGGGGCAGACGGAGACTAAAAAAGCTTGAACTCCGGAGCCTCTGTTTCGGCCGGGGTATCGATCGTGCCATTGCCTAGCGGACTCTTGCGACGTCATGCCTGTTTTCGGTTTAAGATTGAACCTTACTCCATACTTACGTACCTTGTAGACTCGGCTTCCCCGCGCTAATCTAGAACTTAGCTAACGTTAGAAGGAACAACTCATTATTTATTACCAATTTAGGAATGTATACCCGTAGTGTACCGCATCTAAGCTCCTGTACTAGGTAGTACATATGTGTATGTATTACATAATGTAGTAAACACTATCCCTCATGTCGATGATAAACGAAGCCATGGATATCTCAACATAGTTTTGATCTTCATATTCATCATCATGGATGACGACGAGGTTATCATAAAAACACTTTTAACAGGGCCTAGGGTATCGGCTCTACGAACATATGTAGTAGATAAGATGGCCCGGATTCGGCACCGTCCACCCGCTTTTTTCCTGTTTATCCTTAATTCACACGTAGCCATGCCTAAGCAACTCCTTACATTCCCACCGCCGCCTTTACCCTACGTGCAACTTCTATGATTCAGATCCAACCGAGCAATTCCGGCCGGTGTATCAAATGTGAACCTGTCCGCATCCGCATGCCTCCCTAACTCCGGTGCCGATGGTTTTATGCTCGAGAAAAGAAATGGGAAAGGGGGGGGGGGGGATGAAGAACTTTAGCGGCGGAATTCGCTTGCAGAAGACGTGGATGAAGTGAGTGAGATGAATGGGGTAGATAGGGTATTGCAAAATAAAAAATGGTGCTCGTTAATCCTTTCCTGCTATTCGCAATCCTCCTGTACTGTTTAACCCCCTTTCCGACCTATCATTGCCCGTATTCACGACAGTAGTAATTAGCTCGACCGAGCGAGTATTTTTTAGTTGGTTTTATGGAGAACCTTCATACCCGGGGTGAGTCGATAGAGAGATGGTGAGCACCATAGGAGATTTGCTGTTAATAAGAAAAGACAAATGACAGAACCGCCATGCCATGTAACATAGGAACCTTCATTCCATTGTGTCGACCAAATCTGCCACCCAATCATGAGTCCCGCTACGCGATACTCGAGTCGGGAAGCTAAACCATGGAGTTCCGGGACTCGTACTGTAGGGGCTTTAATTGGTGCTGGGACCCGTCGGAAGCAACGGCGAATTGCGAGACCCACGTACGTACCATCCGAGGAAGCTCGGCACCTGTGGGCTGGATTACGGTCTCCTCCCAATTCAGCACGTCCCATGGCTCGACTATGGCGTAGCGGCGTTGAGCTGACAGACGTTGTTGGATGTCTTCGGAATTGGGAACTAGTCCGGCACGGACCGCTTCAACAGCGCGTAACCGTCGTGCCTCTCTCTCGGCAACCACATCGGCAATCGCATGGTATCGAATTTGTGCTGTATGCATACCCGGGATCCCGTCGTTCTGCGAAGTGAGTACCCTGCAGAGTTCGTTGAACGGCAAGTTGAGTAATATACGTGAAAGGGCCGGAGACGAATTATCAAGATCACGGAGAGGACCCGCAGCATCGTCTGGATAGGCAGCCGGGAGATCGCCGAACTTAATGCTGGTTAGACGTTGGGATTTTGTAGGACTGCGCATATTCGTGCCTCTAGCGATGGTAGGTATAGAGCTCATTGGCGAAGGTGTAACGCCTGCAGCTGGCGGGATACGCGCAAGTTTTGGGGGGTCATAAACTGACGGGTCGAATTCGAAGTCAACGGGAAATGCGTTGACGATGAAATCCCTGATTATATCCCGAAGGAACCCAACGTCCGGACCGTACACGTAGTCCAACTCAGCGTCCTGGTCATCATCGTATTTTTCATGGCGCTGTATGGCACCTTCAAAAACGAAAGCGAGAGCATCTTCCGCAGTGCTCCAAGTGAGGAAGTCGGCTGCCATCCGCAAGCCGCGCAAAAAAACGTCGTGCATGTTCAGCAGGTGGCCGGCGGCGGCGTAACCCAGACAGAATTCGAACCGGTCCGCTTTATCATCACTCAATTGTAGAGTATGAGTTCTGCTAGTTAGCATGGCAGGGGTGAGTAGAGGGTAAAGGTACAACCGCCGTACGGCATTCCACCAAGCGTCAGAACGCAGATATTGGTCATCTGACTCGACGGTGATGGTATGGGAACCAAGATCGGTAGCGCGAGCAGCCATGATATGCTGCCTTAGCGCCGGGCTACGGGCAAACACAAGCTTGTGGCCGGTAATCTTGACCGGGTGGTGTAGCCGTTTAGTGGGGACCAATTCCAGGACGCAGTCGGTAAGTTCTTTGTTGTCAAATTGATCCTGAAAGTACGCAATGCTATCCCCTAGACCATTGTCGCTAATGCCGGGGTATCGGGAAAAAGGGCCTGGGGGCATAAAAAGCGGAAAGTGAGGGCCTGCATGTGGATGCCCGACGGGGTGCTCGTGATGACCATGACCGGCATAGGGAGGGCCGTTAGGATGATAAGGAGGCACTGCCACATTCTCGATGCCATTCAACTCGCCCGAAGCATGCGAGCCGTGGATGCTGTGAGGCGTCTCGAGGCCATATCGAGCGACGCTGGGGGAGAATGGGTCGAACGGGGCGGGGGCGGGGGCGGGCACCTGCCCGTACGTATCGATAGTGGATAACGACATGACATCAGGGCGAAATTGTGTGTTGATGGTACCAGGGAAGCCATTTCCGGAATGTGCGTGGTGATGGCCGTTAGGTCGCGGATGTATACCATTCTCGCCGTTGATGGCCATGGTTGGAGGATGTGGGGGTGACACGAAACCGCTAGGGGGAGGTACCGGCGAAGGTGTATGCGAACCGGCAAAGCCGCCAAAAATGACACCGCCACCATTGCTCACATGGGGGTGGTGTTGAGCTTGGTGTTGACGTTGGTAATGGTTGAGGCGGGGCGGGCCGTGAATATTTGAAGGATCTGGTATCTCGTCGGTCGAAATCTGATGCTGTAAAGGGTGGACAGGCAGATGGTGGTGACTGAGGGGGGGTTGCTGTTGGTTTAAGAGAAGACTAGGCGAGGATGGATTTGGCTGCGGCTGTGGCTGCAAGATATGTTGAACTGCATCGCGCGCGCCTATGAAATGTAAGAGTTTATAATTTAACAGAGGAGCATTGACTGGAGATGTGGGTTACCTTCACCGATGTCATTCGCCGAAGCAGTGACAGAAGCGGAACTAGAACTTGATCCAGCACTGGGCACAGCATGCGCTACGGACGGGATAGATGCGTGTTGAATAGTGGTGTTTGTCCCATTTATACCATTTACGGAAGCGGTGGTTAAGGTTGGGCCGGCAGCGATAGCGGCAGTGGAGGCGGAGGTAGAGGTAGAGGTGAGAGCATAGAAATTCTTGTCGTTACGTTCATCAAGTGCACCGTTGGTAACGTCGGTGGCGTTTTCGGGCTTCTCCACATTTGAACCGTTAGGAGCCTTGGCTGGCCGTCGGAGAGCTTTTACGCCATCTAGAACAGGACCCAGAGTAGAGACGGGAACAGCGATATTATCACCATGACCGGCAAGTGCTGCCTCTAGCGACGAGGCTGGGAAACCGTTGGTCGAGGAGGGTGTCGAGGTATGTTTGGCTGGTTTCGTATGCTGCTTAGGAATCATAGGAAGAGGAATGGCTGGTTGCACAATCGTTCGGCCTTGGGTTACGGCGGACGGTTTCTTCACATGGCCGGAAGAGACTTTCCCAGGTTTAGCCTGGCCCTTGTGAGGCGCCATGGCGAAGGTTCCCAACTCAATTGTCGCGTATCTTAGTCGCCAACGGTCATCCAACAATCGCAAGGTAGACCGTGAGGGATATGAATGGAATGGGGGAGGTTATGAGGTAGACGATGCCGGAGTTGTAGTTGGAGTCGTTGGAGCAAGAGCAGGAGCAGGAGCTGAAGCTGGAGAGCACAGGATATCCGGGGCGTGCGCAATAGGATGAGAAGAACGTTAGGCATTCGGCTATAACCACAAAATCAGATCCGGAAGACTGCAACTCGGCCGGAGCTCATTTATGTTGTGGGTATGAATTAGACCATCCCAGATTCAGGTGAGAAGATAGAGAAAGAAGGTCGATCCAAATACAAGTAATAAGTAGAGGTGATGGATGAGGTATGAGGTAGAAATAAGTAGTTCAGGTATGTAGAGACATAGGCATGTAGACATGGAGGTAATACCAATAAAATGGAAAGCGTGGTCACACCGTCAAATGTTTGTATTGCTATTGTAGCTGGTCATTATTAGGAGAAGGCAGGATGAAGAAGGGATTGACAGTGATGGTGAAAATTACTTGAAAAATGATATGGATGTGATTGTGGGCGATTGGGTTTCTACCTCAAGACTCAGAAGTCAGGAAAGGTATCCAAAGATGAACGGCGGATGGTGGTGGAGGAAGTTTGGGGGCAACCAGCTCTTAGCAGCTTTGGCGGGGATGAAAAGTCCGAGATTTTTTTTCCCTTTCATTTTTTTTTTCATTTATTTTATTTTTTATTTTTTATTGCTTTTATTTCTACAAGTGAGATTGGCTTATTGACACCTGCCAGCAGCCGCTCATCAACTACATTTTGTGGAGTTTGTACCTGAAGTACCTGCTTGCCCCGCGTTTATATACTCGTTAGCGTTAGCGTTACATCTACCATGACCTCAGCTAGGTAGGTACTAGTAGTTCAATGTTGGTAGGTTAGCAGCTGCAAGAGCAACCTTCACATAAAGCTGGAGTTCAAATTTGTTTTCCTTTTCATCTCTCAATCTCTCATCTCCTAATTTATATGTATTAGGTGTAAAAAGTCATAACCAAAAAAAAAAAAGGCATTCACACCTTAGCTTATACAGTTCAGAGCATTTTAATAAGCCCTCAACTACCTGATTGTGGAAACTAAGTCGAGCCCGTTACCTACACCTAGTATTTATAATTTGTTTCTTGGTACGTCTACTTAGTACTTAGGTATGCATATATACCTACATATAGGTCTATATGAGATTACGATTATGACCTGCGTCTGGATGTAAACCACCTAGTGTTCTAGGTTACCATCTCTAACTCTAGCACCTATCAGCCTATCTGTCGCTCATCAGCTGCGCAGCGGCCATTCAACAACGTCCTTTTGGACACGGACCTCCTTCTTGATCCATATCACACCGGCATCCCGATCCTGATAATTTGATATTATATCTTCCAAGCTATCATTCCGCGACTTCATTTGTCTGACCGGAGCCGGTTTCGTTACATTATCTTCTGTTCGTCTTTGCGAAAATGAAAACGAAAACTTCGAATCATGCGCTGGTGGAGGCAGATATGAAGTTTTACGTTCGTACATGACAAATCTGGGTAGCTCGTTGGCGTGGCTGTTTTGGCCATGGCTGGAATATGCGCCAGCAAATCCCCTCGTCTTGAGATAGAGCGGCCGTAGAGTAGGGATACCGAGGCAGACCATGGCGACGGCGATTTCCGCACCGGCCCAAGCAAAATAGGGCACGAAGTTTACTGCATTTACTCGTCAGGTCTTGCATAGCTCCGTGCCATCGGGAATTCTACTCACATGTATAATTAAATACATTCAGCCGCGAGAGGACCACGGTCCGAGTAATGCCACAAGCACCGGCGCTGCAAATATATGTTCCAAAATTAGCCCGATTCCATTCAGTTGCCCGCGTCGAGGTCTGTGGCTGCTGTAGCTTACATTATCCCCAAACTCATCCCCCCCGCCAGCATAAACTTCTCCCGACGAGGTATGGGAAGCGATTGGGTGAACACCCAAGGGAAAATGGCGAAGAAGAAGTCGCAAATGCTTGACCAGACTATGACTAACGTCAGCACTCTAGTCTACGAATAATTGAAAATTTAATGCTTACCTCCGAGGCCGACGCTCATAGGTTGGATCCTTAAGTTCCACGTTCCGGGCGTGCGCAACGGATCCCAGCTCGCTCTGATCGGCGTTGTTTGGTTCCAAAGCATGATGGTGAGAGCGATTGACGTAGCGGCGGTGACGACGACGGCAACCCAGAGGACGGTCTTATGCCATCTAACTTGGACCACGCGAAGCAAAAATAGACCCATGGAGAGTTTCGCCATGGCATTTCCTGTGATGGCGAAGCTGTTCGCAACATAAGTCCAGAATATTGCATTCGAGCTTTCGTCGATGCTCAGCTTCCAGAAGTTCTGACCTAGACCATATTGGACGGATATCTGTATGAAAACAGCAAAACACAGGAAGAACGCCTACACCACATGAATCGAATTAGCTCAGACACAGCGGCTGTGAAGCTGGTGAAGCTGGAAGAAGTCAGATTCACGTACTCCCGTCCAAGCATACATGTAGTCTTCGGCACCAACAAACTTGACGATCCATATGCGAGTGTATAGCCTGAGAGCTACGAGTACTAGGACTAAGGCCACCATTGCCCACATGGCATATGACAGCTGGTGTCCTGGGTGCATCATGAAATGACGAGATTACGGGGACGCACATCGCATAGATGTGAGACATACAAGAGAGAAAAGAGAAAATCTAGAAGTTCGAGGGTTTAAGCTCAAGGTTAGCTAAGTAAGTGCCCTGGTGAGTAATCAATTCCCGACCTTGGTCACCCTGGAAATCGATCGATCCGGGTAGGGGTGGGCATGTGCACATGTAAGCTAGTAGATATACTACTTACATACCGATTAGGTATATAGTAGTGATAACGGGTGAAATCTCCGGTCGAGATTGTGAACGAAGCCAGGGCATTGGATCCAATGAGGTCTTACATTGCAACGAGTCGACGACGTTACCTGTGTATGGTTCACGCGTGATTGTACTAAGCGCCACTAACAGAGTTCGGGAACCCAAGAGTCCACATTCGCAGTAACGAATCGATAACCCTCGATGCAAGTAAGTCCATGTTCGTCATTTATTCCTACGAGATAGTACCCATCCACCCTTGACCCATCTTTGATCCACCACTTCCTCTACCTACCGGATTGGTAAAAAAATAGACGTGGTCAGCCAATCAAAATCAACAATCGCATTAGTGTTGTTCCCCTTGCCAACAAATCCCGCCAATGAGGGTTGAGTAACGACAAAGGCAAGCTAGGGCTAGGCGCCTATCACATACATATGAGGTGCTCCTCAATCTAGATCAATTGACTATCCTAGACATTAATCCGTACTGGGATAAGAGATGTTATTATTGTCGTCGTCGTCGTCGCTGTCGCTACCGTTTTCTCTCTCCTCCCCTTGTAAGGAGCATAAACGGAGATGGTCTAACCTGACCTCTCGTCATCATTTCCAATATGGCTACCTGATATACGACGTGGCCTCTAGAAAAGAATATCGGGACGCAGGGGAGGGAGGGGGAGCAATCGGAAGATGATATAACTACCTAGATACATTATAAATCATTGGTCTTTGAATGACCAATCCGCCTCGGAGGCCATCGTCTGCCTTGATAGAACTCTCCAGCCTTCTTCACCTTCCTCTAAGCCGTTCCTCGTGTGATCGCTACTGCTTCTCCACCGCCACATGCGACCGTAGACAGTCTGCGACCCCTTGCCTTCGAGGATCTTGACGACTTCGCGTCCAAGGATGGGCAGGAATTTAAAGCCGTGGCCACTACCGCCAGAACAGACCGCTACTCCGGGGCGTCCAGGGACAAAGTCGACAACGAACGAGTTGTCAATGCTATCAGTATACCAGCAGAGTCTAGTGGACGTAATGCCTAGCGGTACTAATTCCGGGAAGTTGACGGATATGTACTCTAAAGCGTGATACTAGTTAGTTAAGGAGGTTCGTTTCTTATTCTTATTTCATTCTGGTTTTCTACCATAATCTCAAAAACTTAGCATATCGGCGCTTTGTCTCTTACCTTTGATGCCATTTAGGGCATCAATCGGAATTCGCGTTTCCTTATGATCGGTTACATGGGCGGTTCTGGGCACTGATATACGCTGTTCGCGAACATCTTCAAAATTCGTCCACCTATTGCCCTTCGAATTAGTCTTGCCCGTAGATAGGATGAGGCCTGCGTTTTGGTGTTAAGGAAATATCTCTAACTTTGTTTTCCGCCAACCAATCTTGAAAGTACCGTTTTCGTCCCTGGGAAGACTATACACTTCTTTACCCTGCCGCGAACCCCAAGTTATCACAGGCTGAATTTCAGGAGCGAACCGTTTCCACAGGTCAGGACGATCCTTTGGAATCGTAACGTTGGCTACTGAGCCGGCTGTGGTTTCCAACAAGCCCTGGACTTCTGGAATCAATGATGGGGTCCATCCACCACCTATGCCGAGGGTTTTTTATTATTCTTTAGTAAACGGATGCCTCCCTCTAAATTATGCGATATGCTGTTGGATTCTGAATGACTTACCGGCAACTACGACTATATTAGCGGTATGTTGGAGGCCGTCGGCGGTATGCACCACAGGTTGATTATTCGTGGTTGTAATATCGATAACCTTGCCACGCCGCGGGTCGAGTATCATCTCAACGCCAGCCCTCTTGGCGAGATGCTGAGCCCAAGCACAGCTTTTATGCGCGTAAACGAAGCCGGCGGTGGAATCGAGGACTGCTTTGTGGGTCCCGAACCTCTCCTGGCGACGGCAAGGGTCAAGCTTGTGTGCCCAGCCTCGTTCCCTTGCCCGAGAAATATCTTAGCGCGATAATAATACAGAGTCAGAACCCGTGCCTTGAAGTTGTGGTGGTGCGTTCTAGTTCCCTAACCTACCTATATCATCGTCGGCTATAAACTGGAACTCCCTAATCCCCTCGCGTTCCATATTCTCTAGCGTTGCAATCTCAAAATCACCCAGATCCGATTCGCAGCTCATGCGTAGCATCCCTGCGTTCCACCAAAGCTTTCTATCACCATACCTTAAGCGTTCTGGTAACTCGTTGATCGATGCCTCCTCGATTTCGCGGTTCCACTCGTCCCACATCTTAGAGGCCTCGGTGGCAAGCCTCTGATACTCAATTTCTGAGCCGTAGCTGAAACGGATGATCTTATTAAGGTCGGCCGAAGCTGAGTCTACGCCGCATGATGGGTCGTAAGCCGTGTTGGCGGTATCTTGCATATCTAGGACAGTGACGTCCCCGTATCCGGAACGTGCTAACCATAATGCAGTCGAGATGCCGAAGACTCCGGAGCCAACGATGAGTATTTTAGATGAGGAACTGATCGTTGCCATTAGGTTGATTCGATCGGGATTGAAGAACTGGGTTGGTAGGAGGGATTTTCTCGTAATCGTCGAATAGGTAATGAATCCATTAGGAACAATGTGATGGAAACCCCGCTATCTATGCACCTAAAGTATTATCTCCACTGCCGACTAGGAACTAGCCCACGGGATAGGGATATGAAAGCTGAAATAAGACACCTACCAGGCTATGGGAGATGAATAAAACCGAGAAAACACATGGCGAAGAAAAGCAAATTCCGAAATCCAAATCGTATGGATTGGAAAAAAAAAGCAGAATTGAGGATAGGTAGACTTAAGACACGGGATTCTATCATCAGGCATACCTTTTTTTCTTTCTTTTTCTTTCTTTTCTTTTTTAGATATTGTGAGCGGGTATTTACATAGGGAGGTGGACAGGATACATATTTACAAGGCGGCTTGCCTCATTTCTGCTGTTAAGTGTAGCCCTAGAGGATGCCGCAGCACTATAAGAAATTGATTCCTACACCAACCTGCAAGCCTTTACGGGCCTCCTCTCCTCGCCTCATAACTAGTGGTAAGCTGAAGTTCAGCTCGAATCTGGCAACGGGGTGAGCGTATACGAGTCCTACGCCAGCAGCGATGCTGGGGAGTCCCGTGCCGAGATCCTTTGTTGCCGAAACCATGCTATCCCATACCGTGCCGGCGCTCAGACGTTGACCAGATGCAGCATTACTACCTCTCGCCTTGTTTTTCATCGCTACTAGCCGGCCGCCGTTGGCGAAGAGCTGCAATCGGAAGGGGGACTCCGGCCCTATCCTGGGGAGAGGAACAAGTATATTGACACTCCCTGCGGCGAAAACGTCGCCGCCGAGGGCATCGCCACCGTCCCTGGGGCCAAGGCCACCTAGCGAGAAGCCTCTCACGTCCGTCGGCCCTCCAAGGGTAAATCGGTCGTTGATTCTGCTAGGCGATGCACCGCCGAGGCCGTACGATAGCGGGAGGGGGTAAAGCAAACCTGCCCTGAAGCCGCCGCCGATGGATATGCCCGATGGTTCTTTGGCGCCGGGTAAATGGACCGGCATAGCTCCGGCGACTTCAAGCTCGCTCCTGGAGAAGCCAACATCTCCGCCTAGAGAACCCCACCCTGCGAGCTCGGTAGTTGTCTTGATCAAGTATCCATTTTGCGGCATCATGGGGTTGTCTCTTCGTTCCCGCTGGAACAAGTAGGATATCGCACTCTTGGCAGAGTCCCCAGCGTCGCCCCGGACACTGGGGCTCGCCTCAACTGAGAGACCAGTTAATTGTCTCCAGGCACCTAGATAGCCAAACTGATGCCGATCTCCGTTGTCTTTTAGCCAATTTAGCTTGACACCCCCACCTCTCAGAACTTCCTCGTGGCTCGCCCAAGGCTTCTGGGTACTGCTTGCTAGACCGTCGACGCTCAGGCGTAAGTTGGGATTGCTTTTGACCGGAGCACCGAATTCGGCGCTGTATGCCGAACGCGTCCGTGTACCCGCCGAAGCATTAAGCGATAGAGATTCGGCACCTCCAAATACGTTGCGCCAAAGCATAGACCCATAAGCGGAACCTTCTGTGTTGCCCAAATCCGTGCCCGTCTTGAGAAGGAGGCGAGACTTTTCGCGTACACGTAGGGAGACGTCAAGGTCGGTTGGAGAAGAAGATGGGTCGAGATGCGACGGGCGGGATAAGTAGAAGATTATGTTGGGGTGAAAAATGTCTTTGTATACCCGACGTCAACACGCGAGTTCTAGAATACTAAGTTCGATGATTCAACTCATACCGAATTTGTGTAGCTTATCGATGGTGCCGCCAACTTGCTCCATCATGCTCGCAAGTGTATAGTTGGCATTGCGACTGTCTTCTACTAGCGGTTGGAATAAGGGCTCGAGGAATGATTTGCGAGTATGCTTGGCGCCATGGATTTGAATAGAAGAGATAGAGATTGGGAGCGTTTGATTTTGCGACAGCTATATCACTGTGAGCAGCGTGTACAAGGAGAGTTGGAGGAATGAGTTGGAATGATCACAAATGAAAGCACTCACCAATTCAATTGTCCTTTGTGTGTTGTGTGCGTCTTGTGCGCGGGCTCGTTCTGCTACTTCTGCTTTCTGCTGTATCGACGCAGTCTCGGACTTTAATAATCCCTCGAAGACCTGTTACGAACCCATTTCTTAGTTTATTTTGTCAGGACGAACTTGGCTTCGAGAGAGATCTTACATCGTCGCCTTCAGGAGAAGCGTTACGAGCCATTTCGGAAAGAATGTCTTTTCCCTCATTAAAAGAAGTGGGATAAAAGGTGTGATATGGAGTATAGAAAGAGAGCTTGACAGGGTTAGGATGGTTAGCAGCTGCCAGCTGGAATCTCGGCAAGGTCCGGAAGGGGGCACGTACTTCAAGGTTGTTAATTTACATACATAATAGGTACCCAGCACCTGGTACTTACACGTACTCGATACATGTACGTACATAATCTACGAAGTAGACACCTAGATATGACGCAATTCGTCGCTCCAGTCTAGGATAATCCGTGCTACTTTAGCAGCTTAGGTACATATATATGTAATCAATATACCAATCTTAGAATTCAGGAATCGTGGCTTAAGTATACACATGTACACAGTACAGCGTACCTTACCTTGCGATACATGTCCATGTATTTTAAGGCCTATCTAGTACCTATTATCTACCTGCATACATGTATGCAGTGAACTTCATCAGCCTTATTTTATCCCTAAACCCCCAATCCTTAATTAATCTTTAATCCTCTCTAGTCCTCCAGTCACCAGTCACCACAACTAACAATTGATACTGGCTACACACTACATAATATTTCGCGTATTCGTTGCCGTTGTATCTTTCCCCTAGTCCCTCGTTACAACACCGTAATTGAATACGGCTGATTCCATCGATTTTATCGTACCAAGGAGAAGAGACGACAGTGGTGCACTGCGCACACGACATACAGTCGTGACACATTTCTTTTTCATCTTTCTTTTCCTACGAGATATCCGGGTCCCTACGACTAAAGCAACCGCATCAACACCAATCAATACACCAAATACGACGTCAAGCGCGAGACAAACGGTTAACTACACGCATAAACACCATGGCTAGCAAACAAGCGAGTAAACGCGTACGTACCTACATATCCTTTTCTTATCTCTTCATCCCTCTGTTCGATATAACATAGGCTATCTAACATAGTTTCTATTACTATAGTTGGCGCGCGAATATAAGAGCATATCAGAAAACCCCCCTCCGTATATCAGTGCTCATCCATCAGAGGCCAACATCCTCGAGTATGTTCCGGCCTTTTTTCATCAAATATTCCCGATTCGCTAATCAGAAGTAGGTGGCACTACATCATCACCGGTCCCGAGGACACTCCTTACCATAATGGCCAGTATTGGGGAACCTTGATCTTCCCACCCAACTACCCCTTTGCGCCTCCGGCTATTCGAATGCACACTCCTTCTGGCCGTTTCCAACCCTCCACACGGCTATGCCTTTCGATCTCCGACTTCCACCCACGCTCCTTTAATCCAGCCTGGGAGGTATCCACCATCTTAATCGGTCTGCTATCTTTCATGACCTCGGAGGAGATGACTACCGGCTCCGTCTCGGCTACAGCACACGAGCGACGAATATTTGCTGCAAGATCCAGGTGGTGGAATTCGACAGGAGGTGGCTCGCATGCTAAGAATCCTGCCCAGAAGGGAAACGTAAAAGCCGGAGATGGTGGTGCCAAGTTCAGGGCCGAGTGGCCCGAATTAGACAAGGAGAATTGGCGATGGATTGTAGAGAGCAACATCGACATAGCTACAGGCGCCAGGAATGGGGGCGCCTCATGTGGACCACAACTAGGTATTGCTGGTGGCAGTGGCGGCCAGACCCAGGCCGTCGTCGATGCCGTCGTCCAGCGCAGAGACGCCGGAACGGGATGGCTTAGTCGCAATAAGCTGTTAGTCTTCGGAGGCGTAATATTCATATACGTCCTAATTGCTCGCATCCTTGGAGAAGGAGAGAGCACTCCTTAAACGGCTAAAGGACCTAGCTGCATCCCCCCCCCCTTAATCCATAACACCGCTAGACAGATTGGCCCTCATACAGAGCCTTTCTAATCATTTTATCGAAGCTAGTAGCAACGCCCACGGCATTGCCTCCAGTTGGGAAAGATACGAGGTGATACAACGGCGGTATAGATTGTTTTCGGCGAAAAAAAGGCGGCTGCGTCTCCGCGATTTGTGAGGACAGTGAGCATCGAATGTAAGAGGTGGTTGGCTCTTGACGATGTTCTATCTGCCCCGGTGTATTATAGATACCTAATAAACACCTTCTCGGCCGCCGTCGCAAACACATACATAATAAAGGTAAGGAGTGAATATAGCTGATATTTACGCGAAGTTATCGCCTATCTATGTTAACGATAGAGTTACTGTTATTGTCTCCGTCATGTGTCCTCCGACCCTCGATTGCTAAACGAACGTGTGGTTGAGTGTCCCTCGAGACGACGCCGACCATCTTCAGATAGGAAATGAAGACTAAAGAGCGCCGAGAAATAGATGAGTTTTAGGATTGTCCTTTTCTTCCATGTGAAAGTATCCGCTTCGACGCCACGGGTAAAATTTAAACCCACGCCGCATCTCACCCCGTTTGAAAAGTAAAACGTCCCTAGACTTCGCCAACGGTAGCTTGACCGTAGACGATGGTCCTGACAAATCGCCGTTTCCCTGCCTTCCATAGCTCCACTAGAGTAACATAAGCTACGACACATGCGGCTACAACGGCCCACTCGATGCCGATACCTTGGTGTTTGAATACTGCCTTATCGATGACCGGTAGGTATATCACTGGAAAGGTGATGACGAAACCTGCCACCACGGCCCCAAAGAGAAATTTGTTCTTCCACACTGTCCTGAAAACCGAGAAAGGTCCGGTATAGATTTCTGGATACATGTTAAATAGAGAGCGAGTGAAGTGCTTCACTTCCCAGGCTGTGAAGAGTAGGAGGAAACTAAGAGTGGCATATGTTGTCGCGCGGGCTCGGTAGACGCCGTTGCATGACTCGTTGTATACCGCGTTGCAGTTAGAGCCTAGATTGCCGTACCACGGCGGATCCCCGTAGATGTCTTCCATCGAAGTGTAGATGACAGAAGTAAAGGCTGCGATGCATAGAGATCCCATAAAGATGCCATACGCCATCTTGTCGGCGATTATCTCCTTCGTGAAGATGCCTACGCGTAGGTCATGCGGCGGTCGCAGCATAATGTCGGGTTGGGCTTCTTCGAAACCAAGACCAAGGGCTAAGAAGGATGATGTGATCAAGTTTGCCCATAGAATCTCGATAGGGGAGAGCGGAAATACCGATTTATTGTCCTCGTCTTTAAACGCTAGACCGACAAGTAAGAGAATGACTTGCGCGATATTGGAGACTAAGAGGTGAAGTAGAAACTATACGCCAAGTATCTTGTTAGTGATGAATTTCTCGGGCCTGTACTTTGCTTGCATTGTATGGTTCAGGTACTTCACCTTCTGGATGTTGTCGAATAATCGTCTCCCTTCTTCGACGGCGGTCACGATCGAAGCAAAGTTGTCGTCAGTAAGAATCATATCTGCGGCCTCCTTGGCCACATCACTGCCATTGAAACCCATAGCGATACCGACGTCCGCCTTTTTCAGGGCAGGTGAGTCGTTGACTCCATCGCCAGTCATAACGCAAAATGCACCACGGCGATGTATTGCCTCGACCATGCGTACCTTCGTCGATGGGCTGCAGCGAGCCAGAACCAACGGAAGCTTTTCCATGTGGTCGATCTGGGCATCAGACATAGCATCGAAAGAAGCGGCAGGCATGATAGCACCTGCTGCCTCGGTGGTGCTGAGCCCCCTGCCAAGAACGCCGACCTCGTGCGCGATCGCTGTCGCAGTTTTGATGTGATCGCCGGTAAGCATGTGAACTGATATACCGGCAATACTACATCTCCTCACTGCGTCGGCCGACTCTAATCGAGGGGGGTCATATAGGCCAACGAGGCCCAGAGGCGTGAGATTGCTTTCAGCAGCATCCCGAGTATCTCCAAGGGCCGCGCTATCTTCAACTGTCTTGTGAGCAATGCACAAAACTCGAAGGCCCTCGGCAGCAAGAGATTCCGCCTTTGCAGTAAACTCGGCCTTCGTATTGTCGGGCGTGTTAAGCAGTGGCAACAGGACCTCCAAGGCGCCCTTGGTATATACGTCGGCCGAGCCCGAACCTGGGGGTGAGTATATAACAGTCATACGCTTATAGGAAGAGTCGAAAGGATGCTCCGCAAGCAGACGCACGCCGTTCATCTGAGAAACGGTCTCTTTGCTCATGCCAAAGCGCATCGCAAAAACATGGAGAGCAATCTCAGTAGGCTCACCAACCGCGGTCCAACTCGAGACCGCAGCAGTCGAGGTGGTCAGGGTCTCGGCAGCGTCCTCGCTCGGCGCCGGTTTTCCGTCTGTTACCGTTGAATTGTTACACAGAGACAGACATTCTATGAATTTCCTCGTCGACGGCTGCAACCGGGAGATCGATAAGGCACTGGCTAATCCGGATTTCTGAGCACTCCAAGTCACTGATCCACTGGATGGATCGAAAGGATCGGTGCAGGCTTCAACGGTTGCCATGGATCCGTTGCGAAGCCATATCTTTCTAGTGATCATCTTGCCTTGAGTCAAAGTACCGGTCTTGTCGGAGCAAATATTGGTCACGCCCCCAACAGCCTCTAATGCGGAGAGTTTTCTGACAATTACATTACCCTTTGCCATAGCTTTCGTTCCGACAGCCATACTGATGGTCAAGACAGCGATGAGGGACTCGGGAATGACAGCAACGCCTACGCATATACCGTAGATTAGAACTTCATCGTCAATATCCCAGAGGCTGGCGGAAAAGACGATAAGAGCAAGAAGGACTGCTAGAGCAAAGAGAAGCAATGCAAACTTGCTTAATTTGATCTGGAGGGGTGTGCCGTCTAAACCCAGAACACTGCGCATGCTTGTGCTCATGCGCTCCCAATAGGTAGCCAGCAGAGATACGCCGTCGTTCGAAACAGGGCTCGCGCGGAGCAACTGAGCAATCTTGCCCACCTCGGTACTCATACCAGTGGCAACGGTAACGCCCTTCCCACGACCACGCGTGACAGTGCTTGCAGAATACAACATGTTCACACGATCGCCGAGAGGAATATCAGCATCGCTCAACGCCGCCCTCGGGTGCTTGCTAACGGGCAGAGATTCCCCGGTAAGTAATGCCTCATCGGTTGATAGATTTAATCCGTCAACGAGTCGAAGATCCGCCGGGACAATATCGCCGACGTGAAGTAGGACAATATCACCTCTGACGAGTGTTTCAGCCTTGATGGTGGCGACCTGTCCAGAGCGGATGACCTTGCACGTCGGCGCGGACAATGCATAGAGCGACTGGATAGTCTGTTCAGCACGATAATCTTGAACGAATCTGCCAAGTATGAGTTAGTATAACACGTTCACGATACTATCCACGTATCAAAGGTACTAGGTAGACGGTATTTTAACGGCTGGGGCTGAAACATACCCCACAATTATATTTAGTGAGATGACAGCAGCAATAACGCCGCCTTCGATGTAGTCATTGATGGCAAATGAGAGGGCCATGACGATGATAAGGACCATTGTCAAACTGTTGGACACCTGCCTTAGCAGAATTTTCCATACGGATAACCCTTGAGCTCCCTCAACCTTGTTCGGCCCACCGAACTGAAGGCGACGAGCTGCGTCATCGCTGCCGAGGCCATTATTAACGTCGGTTCTGAAAATAGTCTCTAGGTCCTCAACTGCAAGTCTGTGAGGTTCAGGGTGGCTCCCACCTGCTACGGATATCGCGAGTCCCTCGCGCGGGAGAGAGTTTGGAGAACTAGCTATGATGCTGACAATATCCGTTGCCGTGTCCCGATTTACGTGGCTAGGCGGAGTTCCCGGTGTAGCGTAGGTGTAGCCACATATAGGGGGTTCAGTCGACTCCTCGACAGCAGGTTGATCTTCTATACCCATTCACGTGTCGGTAAGTAGGTAGATAAGTATTATGCCGCGACGGATGAGGGGGGATCCGGGAAGGGGGTTGGAAGGGGATCTTATATGATCTTTGAGGATCTGTGTAATCGGAGCCGAGATGAGATCGTGGAAGAGCGGAGGCTAGATATAATACGACCTACTACTGACCGTCTTCGACCCCGCCTAGTTCATTCATTGCTATGTGGTATAGCGCCCAACCTGCGCCAAGGGAGTGCCTCGACGCAAGTAAGGCGGATTGGGCATAGCATTCGTATGAGAGGCATTGATTGGACTTCGGGACCTGGTCATAAAGAGGATTGCATAGGAAGACAGGGAAGGTAGGGAAGGTCAGGGAAGTGCGGGCAGGGAATAATGACGATTGGATGCCGAGAGAATTCTCTAATAGGATCTTGGTGATAATTGGATATCTGCGATGCTGCGAAGGTTCAATAAGATGTGACAGGTAGAATAGTAGGCCAATAGAAAAAGAAAATTCCATGGAATATTTAGAGACCGAATGTTCTTGGAATCTTGGAATCTTGGAATCTTGGGAGGTTAAAAGGTTGTAAGGGCAAGGGTTCGGTTCTGAGCTTCTCCACTGTAGTTCTAAACTTCCTGTATATCTATCTGTACATACATATATATAAACATACATAGGTAGGTACCTACCTATTATGCATGTATCCACGGATTTACATCAATTTACACATATATGTATGTAGAATCTGTCGCACCAGCGGTACCTCCTAGGTATGTACGGATATCACGACCTTGCATGCTGCGTGACCTTGTCGTTCTATTTTCTCGGCAGGTGGGAAGAATGAGGCTACACTTTACTTGTTACGGAAGGCCAAGGCCCTTATTTCTTGGGGTTTCTTGGGGTTGACGTACCTATGTTTATCGTACATAGGTACTTCGTATCTTCAATATTACCTACCTAGTATCACCTACCTAGTAGCGATTGAGATTGATTCTACATACATCCATGGATACACGTACATAGGTACTAGGTATGTATGTAGGTACCTATATACAAAGGCAGGTAGGCAGGTACCATGTCGAGATATATATAATGGAAGCCACATACGTATGCGTTCTTGTACTTCGTAGACTTGGAAGCTTCGGTCTTCTCCACATCTCCATCCGCTTCTTATACCGTTCCCTCCGGATAGTCAATGAATACGTGCCCCATAAATGCCGAAAACGGTCCACGGCCCCCTCCCCCCCTTTTTTTTTCAAAAAAAAAAACTCCGTTAGCCTTAAGGGTACGAGGTGCTCTGGTCCGCCTCGGCGTCAAAGACCTTCTTCCCCTGAAACCAGGTCTGTAGGATTTTTGCCTCTAGCAGCTTACTTGCATCCCATTCCATATCCACCACTGCCATATCTGCCATCCGTCCGACCTTCAGCGTACCGGCCCATCTGTCCGCGAAGCAGCTGTACGCCGATCCTTCCGTCCCTGCCGCGATAGCCGCCGCTAGCTCTAAGGCGAAATGCGGGTTCACCCGGTCCGACAAGGACAGCTCTCTAGCAGACCGCCGTGTCGTGGCGGTGTATAAGTTCTTCAGTGGTGCGTGGGGTGCCGTGGGAGCGTCGGACCCCAATGCAAGTACGGCGCCTCCATCGGCAAATTCTTTGTAGGCGAACGCGCGCTCGCAACGGGCCGGTCCGAGAAGAGCGGGCCAAGCTCGGAGAATGGCCGGGTCTGCGTGTACCGGTTGGATGGATGCGGTGATGCCCAACTTACCCAACCTCGCAGCATCTTCAGGCGACGCAAGCTCGAGATGTTCGATTCGGTGTCTACGGCCGGAAGTGCAATTCTGCTCCAGTGCGTCGATAGCAACCCGGATGGTCTTGTCGCCAATTGCGTGTAAGGCACATTGTAGGCCTGCAGCGTCCGCCTTCTTTACGACGGGCCCTAGTTCGTCCAGTGACCAGATAGGGTCACAGGATACCCCGTTTGAGGCGTAAGGCTCCAGAAGTCCTGCGGTACAGCCGTCAATAATCCCATCGCCGATTACTTTGATGCCAACTATGCGACAGTCGGGGCTAGTGTCTGCGTTGAACTGCGCACTTAACTCGATTGCGCGCTCGACTTGGGCAAGGTTATCCGCTTCCGTCTTTCTAGGGGTGATGAGCCAATGGACCGCGATTCTCATCGATAGGGTCTCTTTTTCGCGTAATATTTGCAGAGCTTCCCATGCATTCTCGTCCATGGCCATCTCTACTAGCCCGGTATAGCCGGCTGAGTGGTATGCCCTAACCGCCCCCTTCAACGCGGCTAATTTCTCTTCCATGGGCGCGACTTTGGCGATATGCGGCCAGACGATTGTGACAGCAGCCGCCTCTGAGAGAAGCCCGGATGCCTTACCATTCTCGTCACGGTGGATCTTCCCGCCCTCTGGATCCGGCATATCTTGCACTCCCATCTCGTCTAAGGCCGCGGTGTTGCACCATGTCGAATGTAGATCTTTCGAGTCGATGAAGATGGGTCTTGGGTCCAAGTCGTCTATCATGCTGGCCAAGGCCTGCCCGTCGGTCATGGAATGCATCCACCCTTTACACATGACCCGAGTTACGGACGGATGTGCTACTGCGAAGTCCTTGATTGTTTTCCGGATGTCTTGTAGATCCTTGCATGTTTCCAGTCCGGCCTTCTGCAGGGACTGCCCGAGCATCAAGAGGTGCATGTGTCCATCTATGAAACCCGGTAAGACTAAGTGGCCGCGCATGTCGTGCTTAGCCACCCCGGCAGCACTAGCAGCTCTGATTTGCTCGTCGCTCGCATTTCCGACGTGAATGATCGTCCCGGACCCGTCGACAAGCAAGGACTCCGCAAATGAATGGCCCTCGCCTCTAGATCCGGACCGGAAGAAGCGTCCGTTATGGAAAAGAGTCGCCATCGTACGTAGGAATACGGAAATAGCCCGTTAACCTTTCCATTAAATTTTGTCAATGTGGCTGCAACCTATTTAACTCCGTCGTTGTCTAGATTCAGAAGGTGAGCTGTAATCTCCACCCTAGTTCGACGCCGCGATCGGCCTTCGATCTTCGGATCACTACGATCCCACCTTAGCTACTAGTGAGAGTCAGAGTTAGCTAAGACTAATCCTTGCTATGTATGCGATGCATACAGCGTGCCAGAACGCTGGTGTTTTTGACTCTTCATAGAATGCGTTGAAATTTTATACCAATTTCGCCGTTACCTAGTTAGTACGTGTATCTAGTATTCTTCAACTACAATATTCGAGCTAATAAATAGCGGATAGGTACCTAGAAGCCTGATGGAGATGGATTGTAGAAAGCCTTCTTCCTATCTTTGTACTACTGTATAGGTACTGTATGCTTCCCGTTATGATTTCACGCCATGGGGAGCCTGTTGTAGTGTTTTCCCCCTTAATCTCTTTTTTATCTTCTTTTCTCTTCGATTTTTTTATCCTATGTACTTTCATAAACTCCGTTATAGCGTAACGTGTAAGCTCCGAAGAGATCGGGCTCGGACGGCCACCAGTCATTGACACTTCCCGTAAGTCGATTGGCAGCCGTTCGCGGTGAGACAATGGTCAGTCGTGTTTCCACAGTAACCTCTGAAATCCGATAAGTTAGTATACATGCGCGACTGCTGGGTACCTGCTTGTCGACTACCTAACCCACGAGGCAGTAGCTAGTGAAGGAAGTAAATTTACACAAGGGCGATAGCGACGTACGACACAGAGCAGCAAGTGCCGCCTTCAGCTGGACATCGGTAGCCGTACTGACCGACGCCTTCGGATCCGCATGTACCGTCTGGAGAGATGGTTTTGCCATCGACGGGTTTAATGCAGGCGCTGGTTGCGTTTGAAAACTTGTCCTGACATCCTACAGTCGTAAGGCAATATTCGTCCGTCGCGCCGCAGTAGCCGCTGGCGGAACAGCACTTCTTCGCGCTGGGACACGTGTAACCCTTACTGTTGCCGGCTTTTGTCGTGCCGCAGGTCTCGTCTGGCGAAACTTCGGACCAAACCGCGGTAGCAGCTAGTAGAATGATGGCAAGGACTGGCTTACTACCAAACATATTGACGACGAGTTAAAATTTCCGGATGGTTCGGGGTGGTTAGATATATTCGAATGATTTCGAAGTTACCTATGCTCTCTCTCCTAGTAGGCCAGGATGTAGATAATAGATAGGTAGTTAAAGATCAAAGAAACTGTGAGGTTATAAGAGGGCCTGATATTTTCTTTATACGTTGGGTCATCCTATCTGGCCTCTCTGGATCGAGTTTCTTCGATTAGGGTTCTCGTGCACCGACTTGGACGACAAACGCGCGTCCGCATTCCCACACCGGAAAACCCAAGTGGATGGGAAATCTGGATATCAATGTTCGTAATCTGCTAGGCACTCTGGGCTCTGGTCTGTGTTACAGATCTTCAGGGTCGATTACCGCAACGGAGAGGTAGATGCATCTTATATGATTTACCCGAACTCTCCCTAATTCTGGCTGCCTCAGGGTGCAACCAATTGAGCAGCCTAGAACAGGCGGCAAGTACCCGTGGCTACGACCGGTGCGGCTCCCCATCGTAGTGAATATTATTCTAGATACTGCCGGTGTCTTGGGTCAATATAGATCACGCCATCATCCGAGGAATAGGAAATCAGGGCCCCTTGGAGTCGCATCCGGGCGCCGGCCTGAATTACTTAGGCAGAACAAGCTTAAGGGAGTCGAAAAAGTAACGAATCTCATGAAAAGAAAATCTGAAAAAATAAAGAGAAAAAAATACTTCGTATTTGATATCGGCATAGGTTTTCTGCCATCTGGGTACCTGAAGATGATGCTATCCTATGTAGGGAGGTACAGATACATACCTATCTACATACCTAGCTTTTAACATTTGTCGAATATATTGCCTGTATTTTTAGAACGGTGAAATAGGTTACCTAGTACCTTCCGTATGACGACCGACAAATGTACTCTATAGTACTATTATTGATATGCTGCCGATCAATAATATCTCCCGTATCCCGAACATATGAACGGTCGTGGGGGGTTGGAATATTTCTAAGGTTGTTATTTGTTGCCTAGAAATTGGCTATGTATAGTGTGCCCTGTGCCTGTGCCTGTGCCTGTGCCCTACAAAGGGGATAGACAGGTAGTTGGTAGTTTCACTAGAACAGGATAGCAGGACCGGGGTTCCGGGGCGACCTATCCATGGATCCTACCTAATTAGTAACACTCCCCCGCATCTTCAGCGCTAATGACTGATGCTATCGATCAGTAGGTAGGTACCTACCTAATAGGTACGACTACGCTGTTAGTTGGCGATCTTTTGAACCAGTAATGTAAAGCCTTTGCCTTTAGCGCATATTTTACACGTTTAGCGCCTGCCTACCTACCTAGGTAGGTATGTAGTAAGCAGTAGGTACCTAGTAGCTGTAGATTACATACAATTACTTAATGTCTCTATTTAAGTTTGTCATAGGAGTCGGGTAGGTACTAAGCGTCGTCCTAACGTTACAAATTAATATATATATATATTCTATTGGGATGTGATGCGAAACAGAAATCTGGGTGGAAGCCGCAAGTATTTGGGAGCCTTTGATGCAGTATCTCGGATTATATACAAAATGGTTGATTCACCTTTCAAGAGCAGCGTCTCCGTCACGTATATCGGTACAGCAACGGCAATCCTAGACATCGAAGGCGTCACATTCCTCACCGATCCTTATTTCTCTCCCGCGGGGACTGAATGGGATGTTGGAATTGCTACACTCACTAGTCATTATGAGCCGGCCCTATCCCTAGACCAGCTCCCCCCCGTCGATGTCGTCCTGCTAAGTCACGAAGACCACCCCGATAACTTGGACGAGCTAAGTCGCGACCGTCTACTCAGCGGCCGGCGTGTTCTTACCACGGTTGATGGAGCCTCTAAACTGAACCCTAGGCCTGGCGTCCAGGGACTTCGGCCTTGGGAGAAGACCACCTTAAACGTGGGAGGCAAAGTCTTCCAAGTGATAGCCACACCATGCCAGCATCTGCCAGGGGGCGAGTGTACGGGATTTTTACTTACGACCGTGGAGTTCGGAACGACAAACGGGCTGCCAAATGCGATTTACTTCTCCGGCGACACCGTCTATCTAGAGGAACTAGCCAATATCAGAGACAGGTTTCACATATCATTGGCAATATTCAACCTAGGTGCTGCGTCTGTCATGCTTCCAGGCAGTGCTGAGCCATTACTTATCACGATGGATGGAACAACAGGGGCGAAGCTATTCCGCGAGATTGGGGCTGATATCCTAGTACCCTTACACTTCGAATCGTGGGATCATTTTTCACAAAGCAAGGAGGCTCTAGCCACGGCGTTTGAGAGCGCGGGGATATCAGATAAAGTACACTGGCTGGAACCGGGAAAATCAAAACGTATCCTGTAGAGACACGACTATGTCGGGGGTTTACATTTTGATAACATGATCGCAAATACCGAGAGGAAGATATGCATAACGAACATGAAATTTGTCAGAGAGCCCTACCCTTCTTGGAAGCGCCTTAGATTATCCCCTCCATCTTTGATCTATGGTATCTATTCTAGTCTTTTCATTCAACATCCTCCCCCTAACCTACCAGAAATGAAATATCATAAATCCGCCTCAATTAACCAGGCACCTAGGCAGTCACATAACCGCGCCTACGCCACAGGCTGACTTGTGCCTAAGGGCGATCTATTAACTTGATGGATTTGTTGGATCTACGTTCTGTTGTCGTTTCCCCTTGATGCTCAGTCCCCACTCATGTGCTGCTTTCGCGATCTCCAATGCTGCCGCCTCTATCTGCTTGGCCCGAGCAATCACATCTTCTTTCCCATCGCCATTACTCATCTTCAATGCCTTGTCAATTAGATCGAGCACTTCCAAATGTATTGGATCTGAGGCGAACGACCTCTTGATCTGGCTCGGAGTCTGTGTTCTGGAAGGTAGCCTTGGCCCTGTGGAGGATGTCTGCGCGTCGCATTGACTATCCTGCGCATCGTAATGGCAGTTACTGCACGCCAGTCTAAGTGCGCCAATGCTGTCGTGCAATTCCTCAATTCCATCCAACGGCTCCTCAACTACGCAGTCTGGCGATATACCGTGGCCTTGCTGGCAATACGTACATCGTGATTGGGAAAGCATCATACCTCTCTCATATAGCATGGCGGCTTCAACAGTTCGTGTCGAACCTAAATCGGGGCGTTCACGACTATTTCGACGCCTCCAAGCTCTTCGAATCGGCATATTTCCTAGTCTTTGGATGGCGGGCGTCTTGACTCCTCCAGAAGGAGGTAGGCAAACTGGGTCATAGACGTAGTCCCAGACCGCTGGCGCTTTGGCTGCTCCCTTGAGGTCGCGATCGATGATATCCATCGCCTCCCAATAACGGTCCCTCATCTCATATCCTTCAATGCTCTCCGATCTACGTCTCGATCGCCTTCGAAGTGGCCTCGTCGTAGTGTCAACGGGACCAACTTCATCTGCGGCGTCTGACTGCGTCTTAGGCTCGGGTGGAGAGTCTAATAAAGTGTGCCGTTCTGGAAATGTATCGTCGGCGTCGGAGCCTCGAAGGGTCATACGAGCGATATATCTTCCATAAGCCATGTTTGAATGAGCATGTAGTCTGATAGAAATTGGATCGAAGGGACACGAACGCTGGGTCAAACCTAAGCCATTATTAACGAGACTTGGGGCGAAAACGGGAACTTTAAATATCTTTTTTGTCCCTCTTTAAATAAAAATGAAAGACAAAACATTCATTAGAAGAAAAGCAGAAAAAAAGAAAAGAAAAGGAAAAGAAAACATCGTATTTCTATCTACCAAAGTAGGATTGATAGAACCATCGTAGCTATTCGCAGCTTGCCCTAGTCGATGGAGCCCTAATTTGACTATGTAGGTAAATATTAGGTAGCTGTTTGGAAATTCGTCAACCGAACTCGGTCAATGGGATATCCTATCCTTGTAGGGATTGACGCCACCTACGTACATATTTTGACGTTTATATACCTGCACTAGATTTGGTTGAACCTCGAACGCCTTCTAAGGTTAGGTATCATGTCCTATAAATGGAGTATTGCGGTACTCGGCGACGTCTTTCTAGGATTAGAAATGAGAATAGGTAGGCACCTGCCAACTAGGTCCTGTAAGGTGAGGGAAAACCCCCACGATCAAACGGGAATAGCTCCGTGTGGGGAGTTCTTTTTTCGTGTTCTCTCTTCTAGGGGAAGTCTACGTGGAATCTACCGGAGACGTCCCGCTGGTAAATAATATCTTTGGCGACCCTAGCAGCTAGACGCTACCCCGTATATCGTGTAGCTCTATGGAGATGTGGAGTCTTGCGTCCTAACTCCAGACTATTTTCTTTTCCCATGACCTGACATAACCCGCCCATCGAGGTTCTAAGCGGGGGAACAGTGGGCCAATGCAATGTGGCGCCGCAAAGCTGGAGAACTTTCTAACCCCCTTTTCCCCACCTAGTCTGACGTCGTGGGGGAAGGATCAGGGAGGATGAAGGAGAGAGAGGACAGCCAGTTCATGTAGGTTAACCATAGGTATGACATCTATACAGCGTACAATGTAGGTACCTATGTAATCAGTTGAAGATGATAGGTTCAACGTTGTTACATGCATCAATGTGGTGTCGGTTATGTATGTCACTTGGCTGCGCAGAAGTACCTACCTAGGTACGTAGTAATGGCAATATGTATACTAGGTACCTAGTAGTAAAGTCCGCCCTCGGCCTCGCCGTGTCAACCACATGTGTACCTGTAGTATACCTCATACATCATACCTAGGTAGATATGTACATGGAGTAAGGCACATCCAATATTACAAGTTACAAGTGTGTACCCACATATGTAGTGCTACATTTACCTATCTACGTAATATCACTAGATTGATCGCCCTATGAATTCTTTTATCCTAAAGGGGAAAGAACAAGGATGTAGCCACCAATTAGAATAGAATAAAAATCATAGCCGCCTCTATTCATCAATCTCTACCAGACAGGTACATATAGAATTAGTTAGCAAATACCTAGGTAGGCTTCTTACATATCCTGTCCTGCTAGTATACTCCCTGGGAAATAAGCAGGAAGATAGCCATCTTAGTTATCGCAGGACCGGTTGTTCGCGCTGTCGTAGCCTACGCACTTGGTTCTGACTTCTTCGATTTTGATCAAGAGTTCGACCATATGAGTGCATCGGAAACGATGGGTCTAAGCTACGAATATTATCTGAAAGCGTCCGGAATTTTGTCTTATTAACCGTGGACTTAGGTGCCCTATAGCTACCTCACCTTCATCGACCGACTGGTTAGCTTTTAGAGGCCAAGCGTTGAGCAGCCGTATATCGCTTAGCCGAGTGAAGTCAATGGCCTCGCTCAATTGAGTGTGAAACCCAGAAAAATGGTTAGTGTAGCTCTTCACAGTCTCCATCTCGACTGTAATAGACCCAAAGACTTGATATTGGTACTTCGTTACTAATATATATACTCTTAATGCATACCTAGACTTTGACATGATCTTGTATCCCATTCTTGATCTCATGGCTAAGTGACATTCGTCACGTACATGTCTCATAATTTATGTCGGCGGGTGCTGTGTGTACAAGTTTGAAGAGAGACGTGCTTGGATCCTTTGATTTCAATACCTTACCTCCCTTTCTTGAAGTATGAAAAATGCCTAAGTCATCCATATTTGCACCACCCATGGACATCCACGAAGAAGGCCGAAACCACAACCTTGGGTACTTATGTGTGCTATTAGGTTTAGGGGTTGGAGCGATTATGGCAGCATTTATTTTAGGCCAGGTTCTTACCAAAGCCAACACATGGATAGATCGCTTCCAGGAAGGAGAAAACCCTGGATTGGGACATGACTACTACTCGAGTTGGACACTCGATGACGAATTCTCCAACCCGGAGCTTGCCTTCCGCTTCCCCATATAAGCACAAATATCGTTATGAACTACGGATATTCAAAGGTGTCAATAGGAATCTGCCTCCAGCCTTGTACTAGCGATGGGGTATGAATGAACACTGCCCATATTATAAAGGGTACAATGGTTTTCGAGATTAAACATACAACTTTTCTTATGCAGGCAGATAGGCAACGAGCGCGAGTGTCACGGTATGGCTTGGATGCACGCCTCACCTTGTTGTCTACTACATTTCATACAGGTACCTATCTGTATAAGAAAGGAAGTAGGTTGAGAGGTAGGTAGTAATTAGTGGAGCTGTTGTAGATGAACAATCTGTATCACAAGTGCTTTCTTTTTATTCATTGGTATGATCTAAATAGGACGCAGGCGCAGGTAATACCAATACCACAGGATTATGTGTATCCTAAGCACATTTATCTCCACATACCACATCTTGAATTGCATGGGTTTTGGTCTTTAGCATATAAGACTTTGCACGCGCCTGCGTATGGTGTATGGGTATGGGGAAGATACACTGGTCTTCCCTTAATAGGTAGATGTAGTAAATAGATGGGGGAGATTCATCACTTGCGAGGTATCAGGTGGCATTGCTGACAACCTGGAATCTTACCATACAGTTTGATAGTCCATCACACACGCGCACGGTCACGAACACGCTCTGCAGTAAAGACGTATCGGATGACGACGTCTGATCAGCGCCACCGCTGTCGTTTACATCCTGCGAACGTCAGAACATTGTCTCTAGCAGCTATGTTGAAAGCCTACCTCTGAAGTGGGCTTAACCCAAGTAAGCGCATGCAATTCCCGACGACTATTTGGGCGGCGTCATAAAGCGCCATCCTGGATGTCTTGAGGGCCGGCTCACTGCCTACGACCTGAAGCTGGTCGTAGCTACTGCTGATGACATGCGTCAGCCTGAAAAGGTAGGTCACGACCGTAGTTGGCTCGAGCGTCCGCAGCGTATTCTGGGCTACGTCAGGCCATTGGGCTAGTAGACGAACGACATTTACAGCGTGGGGTTCGGTGAGGAGGGATAAGTCGGCGTTAGCCAACTCCTCATCAGTCACATTAGCCCGACGCTTAATGGAGGATAAGCGGGTGTGCGCGTATTGCAAGTAAGGGCCAGTATCCCCTTCAAACGAAGTCATTACCGCTAGATCGAAGGTATAGTTGTTGCCCCTAATCAACGTCCACATCAGTCCCCATTTCATCCAAGGAGCATTTGTACGAACCTCTTCCCGCTCATATCCTGCGTCATTACACTGCTGATGCCGAGGGTATCAGCGGTGCCTTCGGGATCCTCGACCTGAGAATATTTGGCATCGTTCTTTCGCATGACATCGTGCATGTGATCGGCGCAATCCCTTAGAATATCATCCAGGCTATATATTTCATAGGTTAGCTTGGACCTTGCGGTGACGAATCAGAAGACATACAACTTGACGGTGCCTTTCCGGGTACTCATGCCTTGTACTAATCCAAAGTTGATATGTTGGCAGCGAGCGGCGATGTCCTTGTAGCCGAGAAGGTCGATGATCTTGAAAAGTTGTTGCAGATGGAGATCTTGCTGACTTGCGACAACATAGATCATGTGATCAAAATTGTATTTCTCATAGCGACCTAGGAGTTCGGCGATATCTCGAGTGAGATATAGGGCTGTACCATCCCTTTTGCGGATGACGGCTTTACCAAGGCGCTTACCTTCTTTGCCCGGTAGGAGCTGGGTGAAGTCGACGAGAACGGCACCCTGATCCTCTCTTGAGACACCCTTTTCGGCCATCTCCTTTGCGACTTTCTCCATAGCTTCTTCGCTTACCTGACTTTCGCCGCTGTATTCATCGAACTTGATATTAAGCCTCGCATACGTAGCCTTGTAGCGGACGATGCTCAAGTCCCTGAAGCGTTGCCATAAGGCCAGAGCCTTCTCGTCCCGATCGGTCATCTTTCTGAAGTAACCTCTGGCCTGCTCATCTAGACTGTTAGCTAGGAGTCCAGTGACGTCTTGGCCCTCCTTTTTCTTCGCCTCGATGGTAGCTAGTTCATCATCCTTCTCAGCGTTTATGCGGACATAGAGCCGGAACAGATGGTCGATTGGGTCTTTCTTCAGCGCCTCCTCATCACCGTATCTCTCATAGGCCAGAGCGAGGAGACCGTATTGTTTACCCCAGTCGCCGAGGTAGTTGATTCTGACGACATCCCAGCCGGCGCCCTCGTACAAATTTGCCAAGAAGCTTCCAATGATGGTTGAACGGAGATGCCCGGCGTGGAATGGCTTGGCGATGTTGGGAGAGCTGAATTCGATAACAATGCGCTTCTTGCCTTCACCGGGATTCTTAGGGTCTTTTAACCCTAGAAAACGATTTCGGCCATAGTCGGCGCCGAGCTCCCGAATCATAGGGATGAGTGACTGAGTAAGGGGGCCGCTCTTAGCGAAGAAGGAGAGAAAGGGACCGTTGGCAACCGGTTTCTCGAAAAGGGGGTCGTCTTCGGGAAACTATTCGGGACTTACAGTTAGCTCATCTTCTCTAATGCGTAGATAGCTTGTGCTTGCGCTTAAATCAAGAGGGATTGTCTTTTACTTTAGATGCCCATTCAGCTCCTAACACGTCCGGCTTTGCGCCTTTTATTCGGAGGGCAGGAACAGGCAATATAAAGTCTCCCTTATCGAGGGCATTTGTCCAAGAGATGACAGGGCGGATAGTCTCAGCTGCCACTCCCGTGATAGGAGCGAGGGCCTCGGCAATATGTACACGGTATAGATCAAAAGGGTTGACTTCAGGGTACGTCGCGGGATATTTATCGGCGATAGATTCGAGGGTTAGGTTGTCCAGCTTCGAAAGAAGGTGATTTATTCCGCTGGCAGACGCCATGGTACCAACGGCGCGTCTCTGGAGGAATAGACGAAGGTGGGATGAATTTTTACGACTAAAGTTATTAGGTCTAGAGATAGTAGAATGAGGGTTCCTTAATTGCGGTTGTCGAAGTAGTCGAATCGCGCGAACAGTAGCAGTTCTGTGGAGTAAATACCGGTCGACGTTCATGAAGATGCGACTTTGGTGTTTTTAAAACTTATTATCGGCCTCGTCTGACTCATGTAAAGAGGAAAGGAGAAAAAATAATTAGGCTCTGGAATTTACCCCTCCCCCGCGTAGATGGGAATCGCACATTCTTATTGGGTTGCTAGTACTTTGTACTACTAGGTACACACCTACCTTACCGCCTTGGGGGGGGTTATTTTTACCGTTATTTTTCTGTTCATTAAATATCGACCGTATTTATGCGGCTTAATGCAATGAACAGCTCCTTATTCGAACGTTCGAAATTTGATTGGCTTATCTTTTGAACCATATTCATACGGCTCTTTCTTAAAACGCTCATAAATTCAGTAATGCTAACCTAATTGAATCGTTGTTTCCTCGCTCAGCCAATTGAATCGTATATATACAGCTCAGGTATCGCTCAATTTGGATTAAACCGTTCAATTAATATTAAACCGCTCGAACTCTTTAAGCGCTCGAATTTCGAACCGCTAATGCAATAAGGTCACGTGCACCGGGCCATTTTAGGTTAAAAGCCCCCGCTTTCTAGGTTGGTCATATACTAAAACAGAACCTTATTCACTTACGCGTAGTATTCGCACGTACATATGTATGTAGTAAACCTTGTAGTCCCAGTAGTCAAGTGGCAATGCGACCGTAGCTCATCCATCCAATTAAAATCAGTAAAATCCAGGGTTCAAGTGTGAGTATTTGCAAAAACTGTACAATTGAACTGTGTGATTATATAATAAAATGAGTAATTCTAAGTACTACTTCCATATAAATAATATGGAAGTAGTACTTGGAAATATCTCTTTTTTCTTTTTATTCAAGTGGTGGGGTGATTGAACCGTTTAACTGCTTAGCGGCTCAAAAATCTAAGCCGCTTAATAGATTGAACCGTTCAAAAGGTATTTTGACGGCTCATCCTAATTGGAGCGTTCAATATTTAGAATGTTTAATTCGAGTGAGCTAGTCCAAATTTAGAGCGTTCGAACTTCGTTGAGTCGTATTATTGGCTGGAGCCGAAGCTAAAATTTTGCGCGCAACGTTCCATAAAAGTAATTGAGCGGCTCATATTTGGAGCCGTATATATACTGTACATATACGGTTAAAATTCCCCGGGAAAAACACCAAGGTAGTAGGTACCTATCTAGGCACATGTAGGTAATAAATCATTCCCCTTACAGCATATGTACATACTACTACAGAGGTGCCTTTCAAAAGATTTTACCATAGACCAATCCCTGTCAGCTGTAATTAACAGCTGCCAGCTCGGATGACAGCTATAACACTAGCTGCTGTGTTGCTTCGAATAAATCATTAATTTTAATTATTTATTTCTTTTAATACGTAACCTTAAAAACTTTAAATTTTACGTATTTACGAATAATACTCGATATTAAATATTTTTAAGGAGTTTTTATTTATTTAGATCTTAAGGCGGTTATAAATTATTAACTAGAGGTTAAGAAGTAATCGAGGAAAATGGGCGATATCATCTGCCAGCTAGCAAATAAGAACTTACAGCTGGTTCCGTAACTAACAGGGATTGGCCCATCGTAAAATCTTTTAAAAGGCACCTCTGTACATACGTAGTACTTAGGTATGTACGTACTATACTGTACCAAAAAAAAATAATTATTTGGGCAGCTAGGGTAAAGCTACGGCACTGAACATTAAAATGCATGGTGATGGTGCCTAGGTCTGTACATATTAGTGCTGGCTACACTAAAGTTCGCCTGTACGAAGTTACCGCGCTTTAATTAACAAAAATACCAGTAATTGGGTAACAAAGTACCTTTATAGAAAACTTTCTATACGATTTACATATAAGAATACTTGCTAAGGCTCCTATGTTGACAAAGTACTTGAGAATAAGAAAAAATCTCTCGCAATGGAAAGTATTTTGCTAATTAAAGCGCACTTTCTAGAGTGTATACATCAATCAATTGATGATAAGTATAAAAGCCAACTTGGGAAACTGTATTCATTAGAATTGACCTATAGATATATTCTTTCTGAATAACCCCCGCATTAGCTTCATTCCTGTACGGCTCTGCTTAGTCTCGATGCTTTCTACTTGAAGTAGCGTAGCTGGAATCTCCATGCCCGTCTCCCCGAGGTTAAGATGACCATCTTTCACTGTGTGAATAAACCCCGAGCATTCTGTGGACGTTCGATCAGGTAATCGCTGCAAGATATCTTCGACGTGTGATGGAAGCAGGTCATCTCGGGTGAGGGCGGAAGGGATTCGGTTCGAGGCAAAGATTCCGTATAGAAGCCACCCGGATGACCGAACGCAAACAATGCTGATGCCATCATCCCTGTCTCTGACTTTCACCTTCCACATACCCCAGTAATATGGACGCTGAAAGCTAAGCAATATAGAATTCCTCAAGTCCCAGTCTGCTTGCGGAAATACCGTGATACTGTCAATGTCGAAGATAGAATCCGAGAACCTAATTTGGATCGCGTTGATGCGGCTATTCATCACCGTATCTTCTAACGAAGCGTTATCCTTGCAGCATATGTATTGCGGGTGAGCGAGCTTCGCTGCTGAGTATACGTTCAAGTCAAAAACCGTGGTCATAGGCCAAGGCTTCCGTCTTGCAAAGAGACCCGGCCCGTACTGCCGCAGAGAGACGGCTAGGACTAGTTTTCGCTGGCGCTCGTCGACGCAGCCTAACGACATGAAATAGCTGCCTGCCTGGTCCGCTTCTCCTCGTCCAACTCTAATTAAGCCGTCCGTCCGTAAACCACGACTAGTGAGCCCGTACTCGCCCCCGTTGTTCCACTCGAATGACGGCTTCACAAGTCTCTGGCATCCTTTAAACTCGGCTGGGGAATTTGCCATCAGCCCGCGGAAACGACGCAAGTCATTCACGTCAGCCTTCCAGGCGAATATAGAAAGATCGTGGCTGGATCTGATAATTTCTTCCTGCAAGCGGATGAAGGCTTTCTCGCCCTCGCCGTAAAGTAATGGTATGTTGATATCGAAAATGCCGAGGAGGCAGTACGCAATATCCTCCACCCTCGTCGTCGTACGAGTTGAGGCCCAGGACATGCGACGGCCAACCAAGATTTCGTCAAGGGGCCTGCCTTTGAGGACGCTCGTGTCGACCCCGGTGATCCACGAGAGGACACAGGCCAGCTCTAGCTTCGATCCAAAATAGTTCCATTCTTTGTCGTAAAAGTTAATCCGGCTCGGCGCGATTAGCTCTTGCAAGGTCCAACCGCGAGAGAACCATTTGCAGTTGCCGAGGCGCTTCTTGACCCTATTCCGCAAATCGATCTCTGCGGCCGTCTGCTGGGGGAGATCTCCATAGAATCCTTCCCCCTTCGCTTCCAAAGCCTCCCGAGATTCGAATGACGTTATGGCCTCGGCTAGCGTCTTGTCTGGAAAGGAGGCGAAGTCGCATAGCCAGACGAAACAAACAACAGCCTTCTTATACCACGCGAACATGGAGTTGATAGCTTCTGATAGCTCGGCGCTGCTCGACTTGTCGATACAACACGTATCTACCCAAGCATAGTTAAGATCATGTTCCAATGCGACCCTACAAGTAGCCTCGATCTTTTGATAACCCTCCTTCTTGGATACCTTATCCTGATTGCTCATGTCGATGAATGCCACCTCCTCATCACCCCAAGTGTGGGATAGGATCGCGTAAGGCGGGACATCTTTCACGAACTCCTCGAGATTCAGGGATTGGCAATTGATCAACCACATTACCAGTCAGGGCTTGTTTCCATGGTAGAGGCCGGAGACATGCGTTTGTTATATGGTGTAGAGGTATTTTGGATGATTGCGCGCCATCAGTTGGAAATGCAAGGGGGAAAAGGTCGAGTGGTCAGGGTTGTTTTTATTTTACTTCATATTTTTAACATTACCGCGTCGCTACTCTTCCCATCCCCTCCCCTGTCGGACACATGGGAATTAGTAACGTCATGCCAGGCAACATTGATAGTGTCTTTGAAAACTGTGCAGGAGTAGCTGCTGCGCCCCATTGCGTACGATAGTCGCAGTGTCTTTCAATATTATTGTTAGAAACCGGTGTGTATCTCACATATTAATTAAAACGGGATCGGGTAGCACGGGGAATGAATTTTAGGCTGCTACGCCGTTGAGATGATTGGTACCTGGTAGGTACCTACCTAGGTAAATTTGGTGGGATAAACAAAAAGCGAGAGACCTCAGGGGATACTTGTAGTAGGTACTAATTTAACCATTAGGTAAGTATATACCTGGTCTGAATGGCAAGTTTTAGCACACTGTCAGGTACAGAATTCAACTAGGGACCCCTTGTGTGGCTAACAACTTTTACTCCTTGTAGTTTAGCCACAGCATTATTTGACCCACGAGTACCCGACAGTGTGCTAAAACTTGCCCTTCCGACCATAGTAGTAGGTATGCACCCAAGTATTGCAGAATGCTGGAACGCTCAAAGTCCACGATAGTTAAACCGATTTTATAAGTAACCCACCCCGGTCCAATCTAAATACATCGAGTTATTATTAATATGTGTAAATGTAGAAAAATTGAAGGTAGATGAGACTATTAATTCAAGACAACTAACTTCATAGAAATATACCTAGGTATTTGGTAGGTAGTAGGTACCTACCTAATTTATACCTATTTTGGGGAACGGGAAAAGCTACTACATTGAAGCATTGACCACTTTGCACTTACCTAGGTAAGCAGCTAAGTACCTAGTAGACTGCAGCACCACTTTTACTACATGTGGGTATGGTATTGTACATGCCAGGTGGCAGGTGCAGGTGGCAGGTGCAGGTGCTATGCTAGGTGCTAGATGAGAAAGTTACGTACAAAGTTCAGAGAGCTTTCCTAGTAGCTTTCTAGCTTTCTAGCTCTCCAGTTTTCCAGCTTTTCCTAACCATGGATCGTACATCCTATCTCCAGCATCGCCAGCATCGCCAGCATCGCCAGCATCTCCACAGACTTCACAGACTTCAGACTTCGCGAAACTCGGGCGATATCCATCTCTATTCTCCGTCATATCATAGTCCTACCTACTAAATGAATTGAATTTTCTTTCTCTTCTACGTACCTCTCTATCCACAAAGTTTCTATGATGTCCGCAATACTCAACATGGTTGCTAAATCGCCCGCACCCGGATCCGTAAACAGTAACAAAGAGTTGCGCGGCATTAAGCGCAAAGCTAAGGGTGATCCTTATGATGAGATAGACGATGGTATGAGAACACTTGAGGCTTTATCGAGGCTTTTTTTTCTATGTTTAACTAGTACCTATAACTACCTTAGGTATCTAGGTATCTAGTAGGTATATACCCAAACGCCAACTGACTTGGACAAGCAGACGACCCGGCTCAGAAGACACGACGAACTAGATTGCGTATTTCTTCCGAAGCACCGGTTCCTAGTATTAAGACTCGGCCATCCTCAATAGGCAAGCCTAATAGTACGCTTCAAATTCGATGGCTTTTTTCCTTCTTTTTATTATCATTGTTTTTACTACGATCGTAGCTTACGTGCCTAGTAGATCGTCGGACTCGTTCTTTGGGAATACGAAAGGACGTTACTGTTGATGGGCCTCGCGCCCACACATCCTCAAATATAACTCGTCTAAGCGATACTCAACATTCACGGCTAGAACCTTATCCCGAACAAGAATATACCAAAAGCTCGCTCGTTCCGATAGCTGATATGGGTCTTCCTGGTAAGGATTCCCTTCTCCCGATGGTGCCGCGTGTATCACCAGGCGGCTGATTTATGATGTTTTCTGGTCGAGCAGAATCCCCCACCGGTAACGATACGATCACAACTTCACGAGGTCCTGCCCAATATGAAACTGAGTCTGTCGATAAGGTGTACAAGACGGGTGGGGAGAAAGGCAAGGGAAAGGCGATTCAACCAAATCATGAGGTAAAGGAACGGGCCGATATGGATGAACGTGAGGAGCACGAAGTTGATTCCCTCCTCAAGCATCGGATGGCCCTGAGTGGCAGCGGGAAGGTCGAGCTTCTCGTCCGCTGGGTCGGGGAGGAGGAGGATGAGGCTACGTGGGAGTTGGAAGAGGAGGTACAGCGAGGCGCTTCAGAGACTTTATACACCTACTGGAAGACGCAAGGTGGTCGCATCAATGCGCTATTCATAAAACCTAAGAATGCGCCGCCGGAGAGCTACCACGCCTTCAAAATTCTCGGCCATAACAAGAAGAAGAGAGGCGGGTTTGAATTCGAGGTCCAATGGGTTGGTCACCCTCCCACTCGCGGCGAGACCTCGGTAGAGGCCGAGCCCAAGCTGAGGAAGATTGCGCCAGAAGCTCTCGGCCAGTACTGGGAAAGCGTCGGCGGTCGTGATAATTTTCTAGCCAAGCGCGGCCGGAACAGGAAAGCGAGGATCGACCAATAAGGACAGAAAAACGATCTACCTCCCCATCTACTTGTACATACTTCGTCCGTATTCTCTTTTTGTCGTTGCGGAGCATCATTGGGGCATGAGGTTGCATCTCACGGAGTTAGAAGGACGAGCTTGTAGCGAGGTTCATTTTCCTTATCTTAAGGGCATGTGGTATGCTCAGACATACTCGCCCGACATTAAAATCGGAGTATGATTATTCTACAACAACATGGCGCACTTCGGTATCTTTAGGATCAATTAACCCTCATTGATATTTTATCTTAGGGACCGCTCGATCACATCATATACAAGCGCGCCCCTGTCGGCGATCTTTTACTCACTCGTCTTGGTTGCGGATCTAAAACATAGGATCCTATAGAACCCGCCGACATATATTTGTCCGAGGAACAAAACCAAAGCGGAATATATGGATTGTTAATCAACCAAGTTCGATTCGACATGACCTAAGATGGTATAATATAATATATTTCTATAAATCGACGCAACTCGTTAGAAATGGTCAGGTTGTGATTGGTTCCAACCCCGAATCCAATAAGGAAGATTCATCCCCATGATCCCTTCTTCCTCCCCCCCCTCTCTCTCTCAGTCAACCGAATGCGAGAAGTGATAATGGTTAGGCCATTCAACCAGCTGGTAAGGTGGATTAGCAAGCCTGTTGCCGAGCCTCAATGGACTCTTGGCTACTAAAACGACGGCATTGCACAGCCGTGCTGCGCCACCCCGTTCCGGGTGGCCTGTTCTGACTTCGCAACTGCTACTCCGGCGTGTTTTCGGTCGCCGAGGGGGCCGAGGGGGCCGAGGAGGCCGAAGCCCGTGGAAGGTTGACATGCATTCATCCTTAAAGACATCTGCCTAAAATCTAGACTCGAGCCTTCGCCATTTGATTTATATTTTATGGGTAACTGGAATTTCAACGAGGACTACAAGTCTCCTCGCCCATCTATTCTAAAATAGTTTGGTAATATATTGTACGAACTATATAAGTTTACTTTACGGCGGGCTCTGACATAAGGAGAGTGTGAGAAGGTGAGAAAAAAAGATAGAGAAAGAGAGAGGGAAAGAGAAAACCTCGGCAAGATTTTTTTGAAAAGAGTAGGTAGCTATGATCAGGCCAAAAGAAGACGACCGGCTCTCGACCAAGAAATCCAAGTCCAAGGTCATTCGACCCCTTGGCTACGTGTAAGCGTAAATACCCCGTGGTCTAAGTCGGCTTTGACTTTGACACGTGATAGGGAACGGTTCGAAGCTGCTATGCACTCGCTCGGATTTTACCACAGCTCTATGGTCACATGTCGGTACTCGATTCCCGAGAGCTTTTCCGTGGGACCAGGTGAGGAATCGGAGTTACAAGCAAAGTTAGAACAGAAGGTTGAATTGGCGATCGCCAAGGTCGTCTTGGATCACCCGTCCCTACGGGTAGGACTGCGTGGCGAGCACGAGCGTAAGCCAGTATTTGTCGAGCTTGAGGCCGTTGATTTTCGCCGTCATATCGAGTGGCGCCGCTTCGATAAGGCGACGGACTACGAGTCTGAATTCCTGGTGCTCATTAGAAGTCGGCTCAACATTAAAGTCCCACAGCCGGAGGATACGCCGTCGTGGCGGATCCTTGTGCTACGTGTCGAAGGCGAACGGGTTCTAGATGTCATGTTCGAGTGGGGACATGCGCATATCGACGGGATGAGCGCTAAGATGTTCCACGAGGATCTGCTTCGGAATCTAAATGGCGACTTCGCGCTACAAGAATTCAAGAATCGGATATTGACGATCCCGCCCTACAAGCGAAGGGATCTTCCCCCATCTTTACATGCGTTGACCAAGTTCCCCATCACACCAGGCTACGCGCTGGCGACGCTGTGGGATGAGTTAAGATCGCCGCGGCTCTTAGAGGATTCAAAGTCGGATCTACACGCCACATGGGCACCGATCCGACTACAGCCGTACGTGACGCAGTACCGGCACTTTAGCATCGATGGCGAAGGACTGCGGAACGTTCTAGCTGCCTGCCGTAAGCACAATACGACACTAACGGGCCTGATACAGTCCGTCGTGCACGTAAGCCTAGCGACGAGGTTATCGGCGGAGGACGCGCGCGGGTTTCTCGGTTGTACCATCATGAACCTGAGGCCGCTCATGTGCGCATTGGGGGCAAAATCAAAGGTTCTTACGTCGTCGGGAATAGATCCGAAGAAGACCATGGGTAACTTCGTGACTTTGTTAGATCACGAGTTCGACGCGAGGTGGGTTGCTAGGATTAGGACGGCGAACGTGCCTCAAGTCGAACATTCGGAGGTAGACGTAAGAGACGGAATAGAAGGCGAGAAAGTACCCGAAAGGCGCATCGTCGCCCTTGAGCCACTCGTCTGGGAGATGGCGGAGAGGACCCGTACGGCCATACAGAAGCGGCTAGATGATGGGACCAAGAATGACATAATGGGGTTGATGAAATTCATCCCTGACTATCGTGCATTGCTTAAAGAATGGGCAAAAAAGCCCAGGGGTCACTCCGCCGCCGTGACAAACTTGGGGGTCATCGATGGCCATTCCCATATTGGCGTATCTGGTGATATCGGTACTACCGCCGAAGCAGGCGGGAAGTGGACTATTGAGAGGGCGGTATTCTCCATTAGTCCCGAAGCCCACGGCACGGCATTGTGCATATGCCCAATTGCCGTGAAGGACAGGGAATTGTACGTATCGTGCGACTGGCAAGATTGCGCCGTAGACACAGCTTTAGGAGAGGGAGTCATTGCTGATCTGGAATCATGGTTACGGTTTCTTGGAAGGAATGCATAGAGAAGATGTCTCGCATCGTGACTTGCGAAGGCTGGTATGTTGGCGTCGCAAGGAATAATCAGGGAGAGTAATATCATTAGGAGGACAGCGGAAAGGTATCTCAAAGCGAATATGTGATATTTAAACGAGTTCAGCCAGTTCGCTTACCGGAATACGAAAACTGCCATCTTCAGAAAGCATGGGAAACATGGGTAGATCTCGGAGAATTCAACTGGGAAGAGCTGATTCTATATATATTCGATGATAATGAGTACCTTGATGGCCGTCGTGGAAAACCAGGATTGAGTAGGTAGAGAAGGAGACCGCGACGGAATTTCCCAATACACAATAATATATTTTATATTATCAAACTACCTCCAATTACCTAGAAACATATTCTTTGCGTTAAACTTGCCCATAATATATATCATTGCCCATCTCCTAATTGTTGACATATTAACAGATCTTTCCATCCCCAAACAGCTCACGATACCATAGTGCAATCTCTAAATGTAAAGGATAGGAACTCGTACATTATAACATATCTAAGAAAGGAACTGTAAGAGCGAGCGGCACCAGGACCACTGACCGTCTACCCCCACACATTGGTACTGTATCATGATGTAAGCTATACTACTAGCAATACCCCTATATTAGATGCACATACGGTCATATCCGACCCGGCACAACCCTTTGCGTATCTATGCATGCATCATCCCGCAGTGCAGCTCGAAAAATACACGTAAACGTTATCAAATGACCTGATAATATATTACGTCCGTTCTTTGCTCCTTGGAATTGAGGCGCGGGAATGCTGTCCACGTTTGAATCCTCTTAACCCCTTAAGGTTCCCTAACATATAATTACGTGGATAACATGTATGTATCTAGAGCTGCCGTAACGTGTTATGTGGTGCTCCGTTCCAGAGTACTTGGCGCGAGACGGCTAGAATAGCCACTGGAAGTCCCTGCGTTCAAATTTCCCCGCTAAGTTGCGATAAGACGGGCAGGACGAGTTAGTATAAGAAATCTATAGTTAGGAAAATATAACGGATAGCTACCTACTAGTGCCGAGAACGTGGGAGGATTACGACGTCGATTTGGAGATAGCATATCGTAGCCGATGGAATCCGTCTTACAAAAGCTACATTAATCCAAGCCGGCAGGTAAGCAGACTCGCTGAGCCCTGTAAAGGAGAATGGAGAAGTGGCCGTAAATTCTAGCTATTGAAAATAGAAATCACAGGACGACAGAGTAACTGTTTGTCAGTGGCAAGTATGATGGATGATTTGGGAGAAGGGAAGGGGGGTTAGAGAAGCGTGGCTGCGTGGGCGGCGAATAAGGGACGTTTGGTAAGATCTGCGATGTAACAGGAGCACATGCAGGCATCTGTCGTGCAGACCACCCTGTCTGGCTGACACGCAGCGTAGTAGGTTCATGTCCTAAACCAGAATCTCGAGAAGTGGACCCTCGAATGAAAATTAGCTCAAATGGAGCATGAGCTAAGCTTGAGGTGCTATAGCTTAGGTATCATTGGCTCCTCGGCTTTGGGAGACCGTCATGAATCAAAATTATGTCGACCAAAGCCGCCGCGACGGACAGCTGCAGGGCTTCGAAAACGTGGGGAGGGTATGTAGACTCCCTAGGTATTATAGGACGTCGCATCAACGAAGAACCAGTTGTAAGATAACCCGACGAGTGGAGCGTGAAACGTGAAGCGTGAAGAAAGGAGATGGATGACTTGTACGTTCCTCCCTGGCATCATACGGCATTAAAAGGAGAGACAAAGTCATCTCTGATCCTGATCGGCAGGATGATAATAACGCACAAACTTCGCAAATACTGTACCTACATACATGTAGGTGGGTAGGCAGTTAATGACTAAGGTTGCCACCGTACGGAAAAAAAAAGAAAAAAGGGAAAAAAAAAAAAGATATGGAATCAGTAGGTAGGATTAGCGGAATTGGGCATATAGATGTAGATGTAAATGTAGGCAGATGTAAACGAGGATCTACCTAGGCTGCTAGGTACCTACTAGGTAGGTAGTAGTAGAGTTGAAGAGGCGAGTACATGCACATTTGTGTAAGTACTTAGATAGGTAGGCAGGTACTTATTTGAATACTCGGCCGTACTTACCTAGTACCTATGTACTGGCCGGAAGGCGAATAAACTAACTCATTTTATAAATTAAATTGATATATTTCTTTAGGACTTAACCATTACATACCTACCTACATATTGTACCTAGGTACCTAGGTAGGTACTTTCATATCGTACCCGACTTCTTTGCGCGACTTGTGCGGCAGGTAAACCTTGGAACCTTGGATAGAAAAGACAAAGTGTGGTGAGACAGGGCGACATCGCGCTGAAAAAGCGCAAACCCCGCACAAACAGCGCATTATCATTTGCCACCCTGATTGGTCAATAGCCATTTCTGACCCCCCGATTCAGAATATCCACTGACCCACTCACCGATCACTTATCAGCATATAAAGCTTCGACGTAGAGCCACTTCTTCCATCAATTTCCAACAACATAAACACACACATACTTCCACAAGCACTAAAACTCGGCTACGGCAATATCTATTACGTTGTTTCTCAGAAATAAACGAAAATTATCAATCAAGATGAAGGGCGACTGCAACTGTGCTGACAACTGTAAGTCGGATATCCACGTCATTTGTCATATGTCTTCCCCGCCATCCTCACAAATAGCCCCCCCCATCACTTCGCCGCATTCATCTCGCGATTTTTCATCAAAGATGAATCCTGCAACCTTCTCCCTTTACTAACTTAACTTCTTCATCAGGCGAGTGCGGCTCCAGCTGCGCCTGCGGCAAATAAGCGGCCATCCATATACAAGTGATGGGTCTGTTACATCGCGCCAGTTTTCACTTCATTCTTCACCGTCAATCATCTACCACCCTTGTTCAGTACGGCCTTTAATCTTTCGGTCCATCGGGGGTCATTCTTCACGATGGGTACAAACGCATATGGGGATAATGCATCTCGGAGGATACTTGGAGGGGCATAAGGGATTTGAGGAATGGGGAAGGGAAACCGTGACGTAGCTAATCGCTAGCCACTCCTTACCTAGCGTGAAATAAGAATTTTATATGCCCGCCTAGGTACCTATACATGAATGATCGTTCGATCCTCGTTCCCTTCCATATCTCATCGTGAAGTGCCTTCTTAGTAGCTAGTGATAGGGATATGTCATGTCAAAATCATCTCAATTCTTGCAATTCTACCTCTAACATCTAGGTAAAGTCTCGATTCTTCGTAGGCATCGATATTACCTATGTAGATACCCTATATAGTACATGCTTATAGAGCTACATGCTACCCACAAGGTAGTAACTTCCATACTAGGTACCTATAGTATAAATAACATCAAACATTATGTAAGCTTGACCTACCTAGGTTAGGTGCTACCCGTAGCACCTGCGGCTAGCCGTCATATGTCAGGCAAAACTCAAATCTGTTGGCCAGGGCAGATACGTACATGGGATGTCCAATCATGTCGACATCCACGACGTCGGGACCATTCTATGATCGAAACCATCAGATCATAAGAGTTACTATGCCGGGGACGTTGCGGGCTTGTGTAACTGCCAAGACCCGAACGATCTAACTTCAGCCGAAGATATCATATATACACGGTTTTTTCGGGAGCCAACTTCCGCGCCGAGATGTAGAACTATGATAAATTTGCAGTCGAGAATCTATACATATAAACGCTAGCTTATCATTTTCAGCTAATAAGATGTTCTTTAAACAGATTTCATGGCGGGTAGTAACTTGAGGTGAGTTGAGGAGATCGAAGAGATCGAAGAGACCGAAGCGGAAAGTATTGGGCGGTTGGGAGTCTTCCCCCAAATTGTACGTATCAGGTATAACCCGGACCGTGATAGTGAAAAAGATGAAATAGGTTTGCCTATTATGTATATAGGACCCTAGGACCTCTTTCATAATGGGCATAATGGTACCTGGTGATTTTTGAACGGAGTATACTAGGTAGGCAGTAGTCACCGGCGATTTTAACTGGCCTACTACATACATGTAGGTAGTATTTATTATATCTTATCCATAAGTAATATGATGGCCCTGGAGCTACAACTGTAGATTTCCGGTCATATTTAAAATCGTGTATATACAAATTGGTGGTTGGGTCTGGAAACTTTGGTGGTCTAGCATGTCAAGGCTGACAGTCGTTACTGTCCCTCCTAACCCAATCTATTGATATCAATATTTACAGCTACCATTTACCACTCGACTTTGTCTCTTTTTTTTCTTTATTGCCAACCTAGTACCTAGGTACCTTTCTTCGCTCAGCAAGATTATCATCAGTCAATGCCTGGTAAGTCATTATATCTCCTTTTCGACTATCAGCTATTACACACATACCAGCGTACCTTCAAGTAGGTCACTTGGATGTGAATACCTCTGATGTAGCGGTACTGTGTATATATTACTAGGTACTAGGTACAGGGTACCTATGTACAAAAGTTCCTAGGTGTTCAACTCCAGAATTTGTCACGCACACTGCTGTCGGCAAATTCACCATAGCCAATTGGCAAATTCACCAATTTATAAGCTGATAGCGACCCCCTCTCTCTATAGTAACTCTTTCAAAAATCCACATTTTCAGATCTTTCATCTTTTCTCTCTATTTCTCTCCGTCTCTCCATCTCTCTATCTCTCCCCCAATCCATACCGATACACACCGTCATACACATAACAGGTTCGATCTTAAAGGTAAGCCTCTTCGTATGTAACATGGTGATCCAGACATTGCGCGGACCACGCCATGCTGCTTCTTTCTTTCTATTTATTCACGTCTCACGTCTCTTCCCACCACCGTCTATTTTTGATTTTCTCGTTACCTCCTCTACTACCGCGTACCTACTAGGTAGGTAGGCAGTGATGCTCGTTCTGTTCCGGATAACGAATTTACTTCTGACAGTCAACCATACCTTCTATTTATTTCTCTTCTTACCTAGTAGGTATATTAACGTTATACCTATCTAGCAGCCTTATTAATGTTCGTTTAACCTTGGATTGAAAACACATTTCGTGAAGGTATCTATTTATCTAGTACCTGATGGTGGTCGACGCCTACCTGTTACCTAGTATCCTACCTATTACAAACTGTTTTTCATTCTCATTTCACCTCTCATTCTCATCATCGTCATCCGAAATTCCACGACTAGCTAAACTCTCTCTCTCCTTAACAAATACAGATTTTGTGATATTTTCTTTCTGATCCCTCTACTACCTATACATTCATTTTATATCCGTCTCTACTAGGTATTAACAGGTCATCATTATAGTTCCCCTTAATACGGTTTCTACGATTTCACACAGTCCTTAACCTACAACCATCGCCCATCTTTTTATTATTCCTGGTGTCATCGACATAAACCGTTTAATCTTTCGAGGTAAATTGTATTTATCAAACAGGAGCAATGTTCTGCTAACTTACGAGACCTAGGGGTATATTCTAGCTTCGGTGACTCTACTGTTGATTGGTAACGGTAGACTGGAACCGGGCAGCTTGCACTATCTTACCATACCGCACCCTCGTTCGTCTTAACTTCCAGGCCGTGAGCACACCTCTTAGCTATATAGCCCGAACAGAACAATTCTAGGATGTTTTGTATATTTTCTTACTGGGAATAGTACCTGCCACGGAAAGAAAGGCTCTCGACCTGATAGTTGAAGATCATAGTTCGTTTCTTTCTTTCTTTTTATTTTTCACAACTCATTGCGGATTACAATACTTGCAGATACGATGAGTGGCTACGTTCCTTACGGTCCCGGCAGCTGTTCTGCTCAGAAACTCAACAGCTTTCCCCTTCAGAACATCGGCAGCAGCCCCTGTAATGGAGATCCTGTCAGACAGCGGCAGTTGACTGGACACAGACGTCAACGCCCGGACCTTATTGGATATAATTTCCCAGAGCACAAGCCCGATGGTGAAGCTGAACGTGAAGCGGAGCGTAAGCCAGAGCATAAGCCACAACAGAGTTCCCTACAGGAGTTACTGAAGAACGCTGGTCCAGACGACGGACCTTACCCTTGGTTTTCTCGCCCTGTGCCTAGGATCGATTATTGGGCGGAGAGCAACGTTGATCGCTGGGACCCCTATCATCCACAATACGCTGGAAACAACGAGAATCGCAAACTCCCCAGCATTGAGCTACCGCCTGCAGTTTCACCGATCTCTTCGTTTCAGCTTCTTGGAATGACCGGCTCTGTGGCATCTAGCCAGGATTCCCAAGAGGAGCCGTCGTCTCAGGGCCGTGATACACGAGCTTCGTCTAGCGTGAATGTGCCTATCCTCGCGTCCCCTGGAACAGGCTCGAAGACGAGGGCTATCGCCGCATTCCACGACGACCGTCTCCGGACACGAAAGTGCTGCTTCTTCTTCTACCCGTCCCACAAGAAGGCGACGCGGATCATCTACTCGAGCATGGGCATCATGATCGTCAGCATCATCATCAGTGCTGTTATCTATAATACTACCCAGGTAGAGGGTAGCATGAAGATAGCAATCCTTACTTGGCTGGGAGGAAGCGTCCTTATCCTTGTTCTGCTCCTTATATACAACAATGCACGAGCTGGCAGACTGCAAGAGTGGGGCCGTTCTTCAGGATATAACAAGGATTGGGTTGAGTTAGCTGACATGATCGACAGTTTATCTGCCCCGAGCCGCGTGCATCTTCACGATAATGGTGTTGTCTATCGCGCCCACGCCGGAGGTCAACTCCCAAGCTTAACTAATGTCAGCACCACCGTTCCTGGCCCACCCGACACGGCCTCAAAGTCCAAGCCCAAATCAAAAACTTCTACCAACGCCCTAGAGAGCAACCGAGCAACCCGAGGTGGTTGCGGCATGCCGGGACTCCTAGGACTCCTAGGGTCCTCACGATCTTCGACCGAGTCGCAGAAATCTGTGCGAAGCACAAGCACAAGCAAAAGCACGCAATATTGCGACGCCAATGGTATTGGTATCGCAAGAAGTGATTCGCTGTGTAGAGAGGAAGAGATGGTCAAGACGATGAAGGATCGTCAAGCCATGCTGCAGAAGCAGGAGGCCCAGTCGGCAGATATTTCTGCTACGCTTGTCGCGGGTTCGGATTCCGAAGACTCTATCAATAAGGCGTCATCGACCGTGCAGCAAGGACTGGCATCGTTGACTAACTTCAGTCTGCCTGAACCTTGTCGCCCCCGTAACAAGTCCGAGTGGGGATATGGTTCGGGACTCCCGCCTCGGGATACCTGGTGTAGGGAACCATGCGGAAGCATGAGTAACCTTCGCGAAGATTACTATGGCAACGAAAATCCAGGATCTTCTTACGCGGCCTCACCTGGAATAGCTAACGGTGGCGTGATCCCGAAGCGTAGCAGCTCCCTTGCAGCACGCTTCAACGAGCTCACACCCATTAGTGAGAGATCTTACGAAGGTCTAACTCCCTGCAGCCTTCTTTTGTCTCCTCGATCACCCTCTCGCTCTCGTGGCACCATTCTGTCTTCACCTCCTTCGGCGCACATTCCTTACATGGGCTCGAACTTTTTCTAGTTGTGCGTTCGGCTTCGGCTTTGGATGACCTATTTCAATCCAGTCACCTTTTGACGACGTCATTTGGGAAGAGATTTGGATTTTCTTTCATGGGCTTACGACTAACTATGGCTACACGATACGACGATCGTGTGCGTATAGTCTGACGATGCAGATGGGATTATGTAAGATATGAGCAATGAGGCCACTAAAATAAAACTGGGGGGAAAGGGGGGAAGAAGACGATCGTAGCACCGGACTTGGGCTGCTCATCCATGTAGGATAATGCTGAGATAGCAAGAAGTTTGGGTTTTGTTTTAATGTCTGATGTTTCATGAGGCCTATAGAGGGCTACGGGACAGATGAATTATAAACGTACCCGAATATAAAACAAAACAATGCACTGGAAGACTAGTTGTATTATTGCATGTTAGGATCCTTCTAGCTTAGATTGCTCTCTCTGCACGAGCACGGTTCTCCCTATATCGCTTCTCCTTTGATGCCGTCTTTCTTCTTTTCCTCCATGAACGGTTGAGATCTCCCCGGCTCTCCCAGAACTGTCTCTGGAAATCACTGGTTGGGACTTGATTGTCACCGTTGACCGTCATAGCTTGGTCATTGACACCAGCCGTGACAGTAACTTTGTTCCCCTGGTTTCCGTAGCTATCATCTCCGTCCTCATCATCCTCTGCTCCATCATCTGCAGACCCATGCCTTGGCCAAAGATTGAATGTCCGACTGCTGGGATGTGCTGTATCTGGGGTAGGGGCTGCACTTCGTACATTCCTAAACTCGAAGTCTTGCTTTGTGAAGGGTGTCATAGGGGGCTGGCTTGGAGGCCCCATGGTCTTCTTATGCTTGATATCATCACCATCATCATCATCATCATCGTCGTCGTTGTCGTTTCCATCAAAGAAACTAAAAGGTTGTGCTTCCCGAGCAACTTCTCCAGAGATAGCTGTATCTCCTTTAGGCCGCTTGTATAAGGCTTCGAGAGGGTGCACTTTTGCTGCAGCAGGCGTTACAGGTGGTATCTTGATGGTGAGGCTTGTGACTGAACTTGATGATTTCGGTCTCGCGAATTCTGTCTTAAGAACAGAGACGGGACTACTTAAGCTGTAGGTTTCTACTTTGAGAGGCTTGGGGGGGGCCTTAGTCTCCGCTTCTTTCTCATCTGAGCTTTCTACCTCTTGGGCACTGACTTCTATGTCATCGGATTCATCGGATGAAGAACCGCTGCTGCTTGTGCCGTCATCCTCTTCAGGTAATGGGTGGGTCTTATGCAAATCGGTCTTCGCTATAGTGGGATTTGAAGCATTGCCGTTCGGTTTCTTGCTCAAGACAGACTCCACGACGTTCCCGTTACCATCTACCCAACCAACACCATCCTGAAAAGTCACCGCCTCAGGTGTAGACTTTTCTATATTGCTTTTTAAAAAGGAAGGATGCTTCATGGTTTTCTCAAACTCGTGTATAACCAATTCACGATCAATCTTCCGCTTCTTCTTCTTTTGACCTGCAATCTCTTCGCTGGAATTTGATGATGAGCTGACACCCGGGAGCTTAGTCTTGAATAGACATTCCGGTCCATCCGTATATTTCGACTTCACCTCCCTCTTCTTCTTCTTCTTTCCCTCCTTCTCGTCCTTTGATTTCTTGTCCCCTTTGGACTTCTTTCGCTTTCCATCAATCATTTCGCGTTCCGATGTTGTCCACCCTCGCTTGACCTTGCGGTTTTCCAGCTCAACGCCGAGTGTGATATCAACCTCGTGCTTCCTCTTCTTTGATTTAATCTTCTCCCTCTTAGCTCCGGTCCCGTTGGTCTCGCCTGTAGGTTTGGGGATGGACTCCGGGTTGGCCTTCTCGACGCGCATCTTGGATCCCCTCAGTGTGGCTCCGTTGAGTTTTTTTTTGATCTTCTCGGCTTCCATAGTGGGTAGATCAACGAAGCCGTAACGGTTCTCAGGGAAAGTCTCGAGGACGTGGTACGAGATGTTGCGCGCGCGAGGTAGGACAGAAGAGGGGACGACAGCGCCCAGCAGCGACTCGTCTAAAGGAGTTATATGTAATCGTGTATAGGAGATGGCTGCGATTGTAGAGGTCGAAGTCTCTAGGGATTCAGAGTCTTTGAGAAACGTAGTCATGGTTATGCTAGCGCGATTGATTCCATGGCGTGCTTGAATTCCTGAAGGTCTAGGGCTTTTGAAGTTTTGAAGTTTTAAAATCTTAAAACTAGAAGAAATCAAGTTCCTCATTTAGCGCCTACTCCACTTTACTGCTTAGATAATCATTGGCATCACTGGGCAGCAGGCAGGTAGGTACATGTAGTCACTTACTTCGTACCTACCTACATATGTATACAATATTCCATATTTCGTTATATATTTCCCCTCAAAGCTAAAGTATAATTATTAGGTACCTATCTAAGTATATATTATACATCCTCACAATGACACGAAAACTACCACCACTTCAACTTGTGAGATCAGTCAGTGAATAAATTTTCAACTTGTTTTTTTCATTATCTCCTATCATTTCTTGTGAAGGTTTTCATTTCATTTCATTTTTCATTTTTATTGATATTTTTTAGGGGTCATTAAAAAGATACGAATTGTGGCTAATCGTCTTTCCATCTTAGGTTATGAAGTCTTTCATAAAAGAATCAGGCCTAGAGCCAAGGTGAGCTCCATTCTCGCGTGTTTAGGTATTGCTCATGCTCATCTTCACGTAGACTCCTAGGCCCCCATGTAAGTAGATGGATGCCAGGATGAAATTAGGGATCCTGCTCCATTGACGAACCTAGTTCAGAGTTACAGATGCTGTCGCTGGCAAAGTTGACTTCGAGCTGGATATCGCCAAGGACCATACGGTGAGATAGCGGTCTTAACCCTAAGATTCATGCACAACAGTGTATGTTAACCACTCGCTCTTCAGAACCGGCTCAAAATACTACACGGAGGCACGATTGCTAGCATGGTAGACCTGGGAGGTTCTCTGGCTGTTGCATCTATGGGGCTCTACGCTACTGGAGTATCGACAGACCTAAACGGTGAGCCTCGTCTCGTGAACAGCACCATGGCGACGCCAAACTCGAGACAAAGCTAATTAGTTTCAGTCACATACCTGAGCAGCGGTGGAAAAGTTGGCGATAAGATCAGTGGTACCGCGATATGTGATATGAGTGAGTACCATCCCTAGGTAGTAGCGAAAATAGGAGCAGAGCCTCACACTGTCGTACAGTGGGTAGGAGACTAGCCTACACCTCCGTCACATTTAGGAATGCCGCAGGAGAGCTTGCGGCAAGGGGAAGTCATACGAAGTCAGTCATCATCCACGACTGTACAATACACATACGATTCACATCTAACTCTTCTAGATACGTGGCAAATGCCTGGAAAGAACAGGAATCACTCTTCGTCCCTCCGGACGGGGCAGAAATTGACGAAGACGACTGATCTACGCTTGCCAAGCTACCTACATGTACCTATCTGGCTATATATGTATCTAGATCTAACCAACTCTTATGATCTGTTATATGCGACCATGGCGAATATTGAATATTGAATATCGAATATCGACGTTTGTGTAAATAATTAATAGGAATAGAACGAATGACTACTGCCGACCAAGAAACCCGGAGATTGCGGGGCGTATTTCCAACGGCTAATAAATACATGAAATACATGAAACACATGATAAAATATACACAAGAATATTGATTTCCAAGGTTATGAAAGACTGCTTTGTGCAATAAACCTTGCCCCCACAAACTGCCGTCCTGACTCTTGCTAGACCCCAGTCGACTAGACGAATATAGTTAAGATCCCGAGGTCACCCTTCGGCTGTATTGTATGCGCGTCTTATCCCCCCCCCCCCTTTTTTTTTTTATTTACTTATTTTTTATACATCTATCTCGTTTCATTTATCCTTGAATGAGGTTGTTGTTCTAAGATGCCTTAATAACATTCCCGGTTTAGTCTCCGACTCGACTCTGAGAAGTACTAGGTCTATGATGCAACTCCAAGTTCTTTTGTCGGATTTCCTACGATAGCGACTTTCTAAGCGGCAGATAAGAGGGAATATGGCTGCAATCGGTGAGCTTCTAGCCCCTCCCGTCAGCGATACAACTGTCGGGTGGGATCCGAGACATGATATTCCAACCCCACAAGGTGCCATGGCTGACAGGTTAACACAGCAGCGGCGTCGATAGCTGCCACGGCGGCCGGTCTCACGTACCTCGACGGGAAATGCAACCTGCGGCAGGATTGGCAGACCATCCGCTCAAAAAGTAAGGGTGCAAAGCAACTTCAGAAAGCAAGTGAGTGAATTGGCACTGTCATCCGTGCACGACAATTCTGCGGAATCTTAGTCTCACAACCATACCTGGAATCTAGTCCAAGAAAAACGTCTCTCATCCTATTATTTCTTCGAGAAGCATGCGCAGTCCCAACCCGGCAAGGAGTGCATCTGGTCGCGCCAGGGTAGCTATACTTATGCCGAGACATATTATCGAGCAAACCAATATGCGCAATGGTTCCTACGCGACGGTGGCGTCAAGCCTGGGGACCTAGTGGCATTCTTTATGGCTAATAGCCCGGATTTCGTTTTCGCTTGGATGGGGTTATTAGCCATCGGCGCCGCCCCTGCTCTCATCAACCACAACCTGACCAAACAAGCTCTGCTGCACTGTCTGGGCATCGCCGAGGCCAAACTCGTCTTCGCCGATGGGGCCCCTCAGTTGCTAGAGCGCCTTGACGCTGTTCAGGATGAGTTGGCTTCTCGGGACGTGCATATCGTCAAGCTCGCCGATGTTCGGCACGCGATCAACGGTACGAAGGGTGAGCGGCCACCAGACGACATACGCGACAACAATGTCCGGCCAGACTCGGCGTTCGGCCTATTCTACACAAGCGGTACAACTGGCCTGCCAAAGGCCTGTGTTCTCCCTGCGGCGGCCGGTTTCGGGTACGGCTCAAGCAAAGAGTGCGGCTTCTCGTATGTCGCGGGCGAAAACCAGCGCTACTACGATTGCATGCCGCTCTACCACGGCACGGGTGGGATCAGCGGTATGACCCAACTCCTAACGGGCCAGACGTTGTGCATCGCGCCCAAGTTTAGCGCCTCTGGCTTTTGGGATGACATCAGGGAGAGCCGGGCCACCTGGTTCGTCTACGTGGGCGAGACTCTGCGGTACCTCCTGGCAGCACCGCCCTCGCCACGCGACAAAGACCACTGCGTACACTCCATCTACGGCAACGGCCTGCGACCCGACGTCTGGAAAGCGTTCCGGGATCGCTTCGGCATCGAGACGATCCACGAGTTCTTCAACTCGACCGAAGGTATCATGCCCCTAGACAACCCCGCGCGCGGCGATTTTCGTGCTCACGCGGTGGGCCACCACGGCTTTCTGCAACGGTGGCGTTTCCATAACGTCTTCGTGCCGGTCGAGATCGACGTCGACACCGGTGATATCGCACGGGACCCCAAGACCGGCTTCGCGCGACGGGTACCTTATTCCGTCGGCGGCGAGATTCTCGTCACCCAACCACCCACTATCACCCCTGGCTTCCCTGGGTACTACCGGAACGAAGAGGCTACTTCCAAGAAGTACGTGCGCGATGTATTTCACAAGGGGGACTTATACTACCGGACAGGCGATGCGCTACGGCGCGATGACGACGGACGCTGGTTCTTCCTCGACAGGTTGGGCGACACATTCCGATGGAAGGGCGAGAACGTGTCGACGGCCGAGGTATCAGAGGTGCTAGGACGCTACCCAGGTGTAGGCGAAGCGACGGTATATGGTGTATCGCTGCCGAACCATGATGGCAAGGCCGGCATGGCCGCTATCTATGTCGATCCGACCGCCAAGAACTTTGATTATCAAGGCCTACTGAAGTAAGTTTTTCTTCTAATTTTATCCCCTATTAATAAAATCTCCGTCACATTGTCATCGATGTACGTGTGTAATGCAATGCAATGCAATGCAATGCTCACCGCTCCGCCCCCAACAAAAAAGAAAAGAAAAGAAAAGAAACAAGAAAAAAAAAAGACGCCACAGATCCTACCTATCGAAGATACTCCGTATAGTCGCACTCCCCTTCCCTCTCACCAGCCACTTATCTCATATCTTACTCACATGCACCAAAAAATTTAGGCACGCTCGAACTCACCTCCCCAAGTACGCCGTCCCTATTTTCATCCGCCGCATCGCCGCTCGCTCTGCCACCCACAATAACAAGCAGGACAAGGTTCCGCTCAAACGCGCTGGCGTGGATCCAGCTCAAACTGGACCCGATCCCGTCCTTTGGGTCGCCGACCATGCCAAGGGCGACGTCTACGTCCCCTTTACCCAGAATGACTGGGAAGCGCTCAAGGGCGGGCGTGCGAAGTTGTGATACAATGAGATGGTTCCAATTCGACCGGTCTCTCAGATTAGCGAATTCCGATTTTGGGTAACTGGAAACGGCATGATGTAAAATTTAGAGTTGAATCTTGATATATCGTACCTAGTATTTGGAATATGCGAAGATCGCGTGAATGGCGGTCCATACGCAAGCAATATACATAGAGGCTAGACGGGAGAATAAAGGTACCTACCTAGCTACGAAGGAAAATGTTTGGGATCGACGAGATGTATACATTAGACATATATGACATTGAATAGGGTACGCATTGCTGTCCGATGTAGCTCCGGTTCAGTTGCGAGTTCATATAAACATTATTTTAACCCGCCAGCCTACCCTGACGTCATCGATAAGCGCAATTGCTAGGATGCGAATGAGCCAAGGCAGAATGTGATTGCAGCTCAACGTCCCGAAAATAAGCAGGATATCCTTCCCGTTTCCGACGCCTCGACATGGGTATATCCGATTCATAAAACAGCATGGCCTCGTGTCAGTACAAAGAAAACGGAAAGTCATTGGATTATTGTCGTTTCTTTCTAACGCCTACTTTGTACCCCGAACTTTTATCTTTAGGATATGGCCGTTGACGAGTGTGATATGCGGGCTATTCAGATGGCGCCGACCGCCTCTAACTTGGTGCAGACCTTCTGGGCCATTGCTCCGACGTGTAGCCAAAGGGCCTATGGCATATTAGATCACATCCATTCACGCGGGAACGGGTGTTGACATACTTACTCGGTTCCGTTGTCTTCGCTCTTGCTACGGATGGGTCGGGAGTCGATGTTGACGTGTCTCGTGATATGCTACCACGTGAGCCGTTAATGCGAGTTCGAGCTCGTAACTCCTTCATAGAACGAGGAATAGCCTTCTAGTATCATATGTTAGCGGTGGTAACCCCCAACCCCAACCCTTAAGGATGTGGCACACCTCGCTGTCGGCGTCCGAGAGATTCCAAGGGTCTTTGTTTGCAACTAACTCCGCGTAGTCCGGGCGTGCTACGCTTCGGGGTGTGCGGCGTGGTTTCTCAACTTGCACTTCTTCCTTGTCAGATTCATCTTCCGCGACGGGGCCTTGAGATTTGCCAGATGGCGTGTAATTATTTTCTTCCTCTTGCCGTTTGAGCGCATTGCCCAGGTCAGCAGGGATTGTTCTCGTTCTTGATTTTCCGGGCACGACTAATAATGTTAATAGTTTGGTACACTTGTAAAGAAGTATTTTAATTGAGGGAATGCATTTTCAAGGTATATGAGCAAAATGTTTATACGCACATGTATGCGGCGATGGTCCAAGATGCTCCTTAATCCAATACTTGGAGACCATGCTAGAACCCTCGACTAGGGGTATAAGTTAGCATGAGAACTTAGGTACTGAAAAGGGGGGGAAAGGGAAATATAGGATGCAGATACTCACTTTCGCAGGCAAAGTTTTCGAAAATATACTCGTTAGTTAATTCATCCCCATCTTTCCCTGTCTCCCCGTGATTTTGGAAATGCTTCAAAGCTCTGTTATAGGCTAGAGGTGGATCCGTGAAGAATCCAGCCTGACAGTTGGATCGATTACATCGAATGACAAATAAACCAGGACGATTCACATGACGAAAAATACGTTCCCCTGTCTCCAAATTTGGAAACGCAATCTTTCGGAAAATGTCAGATTGTATATGGCTTAGAACCTGACAGCATTGTTAGTCGGTAATATGGTGAAGCTCGTAGGTAAAATTCACCTTTCCGCTATCTACTCTCCGTCTCTTTGCGCTTGTGTTTCCATCTCCATCAAATCCAGCTCGCTTGGGGGTTTTATTAACAGCAGAGCTCTCAGATAAGATCTGGTCCTGTATTCGGTGAACGATTTTTGGACCCGTGGTAGGTGATACGTTGATATTCGTAGGGCTTGAACAACGTTCCTTGACCATATTGGCGGCTCCCTGGTCGAGAATTTGCGAAGCCGAGGGGGGTACACCTGATAAGAGATCGGCGTCAAGAACAGTGCTAAAATAGTTGTCGCGAATAGGCGACAAGAAAGGCGTTGGGGGGCGTATTGTCAGGGTCGAAGCACTTGGAATAATACTGAGGTACTTGGGCATCATTGGAGTGAGTTCGGAGATTGTTGTTTCAATAATGTCCGGGTCGACCTCAAGGAGTTCCAACTTCTTACGCAAACCTCTGATCAGCTTTTCCTTATCTTGGTCGAAGGCCTGACGCTCCATGTCCACCTCTCTCAGCAGTGCTCGCAGCTTAGGAACATGACTTCGCGCCAAGGCATCATCTCGCTCGCGAGTCAACTGACGCAATTCTGCTTTGACATAGGTGGAAGCGAAATCGGAAATTGCAGTGTTGAATAGTTTGCCTCCGGGGCTTGCATGATCATCCGGCGGCGTTTCCTCAGCCATCTCGGACTGAAGGTTGAATATTCATGAGAGATGTATCCCGTGACTGTATGATTGGTAATCACTGACTTGACTTGACTTGACTTGACTTGATTTGATTTGATTAGGTTAGGGGTTCGCGAGTTGAGAGTTCGAATTCGCGGGAGTGATAGTAGATAGTGCCTGGTAACGGATCGGGATCGATAAATGGATAGAAACGAACGAATAAACGAGTGAGCGGAAGAATTGAATCGAGCAGATCGAGCTGGTTCCCTTTGACTAGTAGTACGCAGCTTCAGCTCTTCTCCGCACTGGAAGCGCCGTGGAAACGAAGACGCAGAGGCATCAGCTAAAGCAAAGGGAGTAGTACTACTAAGTATGCATACCTACCTACCGACCTTCAATGCTATGTAGAGTGTGACGGAGATATGCACGTGCTATGTGTAGGTACCTACCTACCTAGTACTAGGTAGGTTCCTATAGTAGAAAGTACTGGTCTAACCGAAAATCGAGGGTACCATACCTCGAAAGAGACCGGGACGAATGATGAACTATCAACAGAGGTTTAATTCAAATATATGCCACCTACACATTACTATGTAGTTAGAATAGGTAGAAAAGAAGAGAAAAGAGAAAAAGAGAGAGGGGAGAAATTTTTGGCCGGTAACGATTCGCCAGGTAGAGAATTAAGAAGGGGAGTGAAATTGCGAGTAAAATGTAGGTAGGTATAGGTAGGTACCTAGGTACATACCTACGTAGGTAAGAAAAGTCGTGGGGAGAGCATTCCAGTTGCTTAGGACGCAGCCTGGAGGTGAAGCTTAGAAGGTACCTACTGTATTGTACAATACATGCAGAGAGGGGTAAGGGTACCTACCTACCTACTGTAGGTATCTAATACTATCTGAATCCCACGATTAATCGAGATGCAATACCCCTCTCCTCTCCCCGCCAATCGTGTAACATGGACATGCTCTCCTCCCCTTCCACCCCAAAAAAAAGGAAATGTGTAACACAGAGGTAATAGTAATTAAAGTTATAAGACGACTTTGTATACACACCTAATAGACCGATAATAGGATTAATGCTGAGCTAGATATATTTCACAATAATGCTCCCCTACTAGGTACTTAGGTATAATAAGGGGGGTCGACTACCTCGTCTTGATCTTCTTATATCGAACCGTTTCTTTACCGTCGTCTTCGACAATCCTGTGGGCTTCGATCTTGTAACCTCCGATAGCTGGCCAAAGCTTAGACCAGCACGCCCAGTACACGCCGCCAAGGATCAACACGCCTACTCCCACAACCGGGAACACAAAGTAGGGGTAGCCTTGGGCGTTCCAGTCTCCATTCGGCGGGACGAACGGGACAATCGCGAGGAAGACGTTGGCTAGTAAATATAATACGCTGATAGGCAAGTACGTGCGCCACGGCGATGACCAGTTTTCCGATCTTTGGTAATGGAGATAGATCAGTCCTCCAGTGACGAATGCGTTAATCCAAGCACCGGGATAGGTATATAAATTGACGAGGAAGTTGTACGCGGGGCCGGCCGGAGGTGCAACAAGGACGACGACCGTGACGATCCAGTGTAGGAAGAGCTACATACGCCGGGTTAGTCTCCTATCACCATAAGACTATGAGATCATGAAACCACGAGATCACGAGATCACGAGATCATAGGATCATAAGATCGATTGCATCGGGAGAGGGGGAGAGGGAATGCCTACCGCAGCGGCCGGTGCATTAAATGGCTTGATAGATGCCCAGAACTTTCCGTAGGGCAGAAGAGCCTCCTTTCCAAATTCTTGGTTGAGCCTTGAATGCGCAAAGCTCACAGCCAAGACGTTGCCCAAGTTACTCAACGCGACGAAAGCCGGGAGAGCTCGTGCTGCCGCGCTATCTCCGAATACATTGCGGAAAAACAAGCCAGCCACCAGGACCTCGGACTTGGCGAGATCATCCTTGTCTATGGCAGCAAAGTAAGCTACGTTAGCTAAAACGTATAATACGGTAACGCCCCCGATAGCAATCGGAGCGGCGATCGAGAGCGTCTTGCGCGGGTTCTTCAACTCCCCAAGCACATAATTGGCATTCTCCCAACCCTTGTAGCTGTAGATGATCTGCAACAACGCGGTCGCGTAACCATAGGCGCCCTGGCCACCGTAATTCTCGGTTACCTCAATGGCGAAGGCATTGTGGAAGTTGCCCGGGGGCGGGACAAGGAGTCGACCGGAGATGGCGGCAAAGCCCGAAAATACGATAAAAACAAGGATGACGACTTTAAATATGCCTAGGATATTTATCAATCTCAGACCCCACTTAGGGAGAGTGGAATGAAGCACGACAGCGAAGGTGATGCACGCAATCGCGATTCCACGGGCCGTCCAACCATCCCCCTCCGTGCTCCCGGAGGCAGCCAGGACGTATCGGCCAAAAGCCAACGAATTCCCAGATGAAAACCCTAGAAGAATCATCTGCGCCGCTAGAACACAAGAAGCCAGGTAGCGGGGGTGACGATAGACTCGTTCAAGATAGTTCTTCTCGCCCCCGGACAGCGGAATAGCCAAACCGAATTCGAGAAAGACGCTTAAGCCACAGAATGTTAAAATGCCACCGACGATCCATAATATGATAGAGATGCCAACTGAGCCAGTCGACGCGAAGATAGCCGAAGGCGTCGAGAAAACTAAAAATTGAAAATTGAAAAGACTGGTGAGAACTCGGTCCGTTCCGTTGGAGGATTACTTATCAGGAAACAATTCATCAGCGGCAGCTTACCTCCAGTCCCGATCATCTTATTCAAAATCAAAAATACCGCCCCCGTGACACCGATCTTTCTCGATTCAGAGTATGCAAACTGTTGGACCCCATCGTTTGTTGAGGAGGCATACTCCTCGTCTGCAGGAATGGTTAATTCCCGTGTATCGTCGCGGTCTGAATCTTTGGCCGCTTCCGTCGTCGCCATCTTATTTTTAGGTGGTGGTTGAGAAAATGATTCTTAAAGGGTGGGATGGTAACCGTATACGATCCGTAAGGTTTTGGGATAGCTTCAAGGTTAATATAGCCTCCTAGTTATATACCTCCTATTTCGTTTGGCGACGGTCGAATGGTACACATGTTGTCTATTGGCCACGGCACAATCATGCGGCACGGATTCAATATCAGGTTCCAGATCGATTCCCCCTTTTTGGGACTTGTTAGATTTTTGACCAGGGAATATGTTGTAAATTGCAGGCGGCTGAGTTTTTTGAGAGGTTCGTGTGGATGCTTGGCGATCGCACGCCATCGCACGCCAACGAAACCTTGTGATCTTTGACCGACCCTGTCATGAAAATTTGCGTCCCTAAATGTACATTGCTGGGTTCGAGCATGAGGTTTCCGTGATGTAACATTACCATAGTATGCTTTCAAACCACGGTAAACTGAGATTTCGAAAACAAGCAAAAAATCGCATAATCATTCAAGGAGGAAGGTCGTTCATATCTTAAGTCGATTCTCCGTAACGTCATCCCCCCTTTCCGTCTCATATTCTCTCACCCTCCTCTCTTTCTCATTCTCATCTCCTTCTCCTGCGCTTCTTCGATATCGAATTGGTTGGTTCATCTAACTCTATAGGCTCGATCATCAGACTTCTCTTTCCTGATTCCACGTGTTGGGTCGAACTCAATCCCTCTACCTGTTCCGCCTTCTCCTGACAACTAGCAAAGTCTTCTAGCTTATTCATATTTAACAGGATAATCGTCTCATGTCTTTCAGATACATCAACTACGAACTTGAGACCCCCGAACTCTGTCGGCTGCACATTTTTAATGTCGCTTAGCTGAACGAAATGCATTGGCGCCGGCGGGGCTAGCCTCCTCGATACAGAGCCTTGAAAGTCGACTACTTCAGGATAGAATTTACAGTACCGACATTCGAAGCCCAAGTCGTGGCTACCTTTTTGCTGGTTGTCCCGAACAGTTCTACTCGAATATCTCTCTATTTCAGCCTCTATCTTTGTCTTATATATCGGCCAAGGAAGCTGAAGTTGAAGCTGATGACGCCAAGTCTCGATTACAGTAGATAAACGGACGGGTTTATCTCCTGGTGCTGGGCTAGAATTCCGGCTGCCTATCGGTGTTCCCGACTGACCTTTCGATGTTTTCTCACGAGCTCGTCTCGCTGGCTGAACCCGCGTTGGTGCGGCGGGCCACTTGCCAGTCTTGTTAGGTTTCGCTGTACACGTCCCGATCATACGCTTAAAGCTCTCGTTCTCCTGTAGGTGATATATTGAGCATTCTTTAAGGAAGTGGAACCTGCAATAGGGTTGGTGTAAGGGTGGCGGCCACAGCCAAGATGGATCTCGATAGTCGCCGGCAGCTGAACATACGTTTGCTATAACTATTCGACTGAGGTTCTCCGTAGCATCCCCGATGCTAAACTGTGCTGTGAACATAGTTTTTCTATTATGCTCCTATGAATAATATCTAAACTTCCCTTCAAGGAATAAAGAATCAAATTACAAGTTTCATTATATTTTGGGTTAGTTAGCGGAAGATGGATTCAGTACAAAATGCGTTCGAAAATAATTTAACCGATAAACAGTCTCAATCAGATATTCTGACAATCAATTTTCTTTGTGACTCTTTGCTTGTGAGACAATCAAGACCGTAGCAAATTTGTTGGTCGGTGACAATGAACAATAATCCCGGAAACAATCCAGAAAGCTCAAACGACGATGCATACTTATCTAAACAAAGGAAGACGTGCTATTATAGTGTGTCCAAAGTCTCACAAATCAAAAGGTTATATCATGTTTTGCCCTGTGTTTGTCTCTTGTATTGAATTGAAACATCCAACATCGTTTACCTTCTAAGTTATCTAGTTAGGTACCTACTGGGTAGGTAGGTTAGTAAGCCATCAACTACCGCGATAGGTGATGAGAGTTGTTCACGATTCTATCCCTCTAACGTACCTACCTATGGATATATGAAAAGAGCGTTTGCATATTCAGTCTAAAGTCATTTACTATCTGTCAGGTACAGATACCCAAGCTAGAAAATATCTCCTCATTTAATGCCTAGGTACCTAATCGAACCCCTATTCAGATAACACTTAACCTAGAAAATCGGTTTCCCACTAGCATCAGTGACTGGCATTCCACCAGGAAGCTCTACGAGCCCTACAATCTTCTGTTAGCTTTAGAATCTAATAGCATGCCTATTATAACACTTACAGCTTTCAGTGTCATCGTCCACATCCCTTTTCTTTGTGCACTTGTTTCCTTCTTTAATTTCCTGATACCCAAGCTCGGGACATTTGAATCCATTACAGCCGGTGTCCATGACCTTTTGCAAAGCGTCACCCTTCCAGCCAAACATGTAGTCTCCATGATTGCCGAAACCTGTAGCATCGCCGTAGCTCCAGACAAAAGGCTGCGAGCCGTCTTCTGGCCACTCTGACTTATCGTTAAACGGCGTTGTATCCCACACTATCTCGTAGAAGAGTTGTGGGATATTTACCCTGGCGTATCAAAGCATATTAAGTCAGTAATTTCATATACGTCGAAAGAATAGTTATGCCTAGTCAGTTCTAATAACTTTCAAATTCAATAATGGGGGCGTTGGCAGGAATAACTCACTATCATAAGATTAGCTATCATGCTGGAGAACGTCGGGGACTCTGAAAACCATGTTTGGGGTGAAAGGGAGGAGGAGGAAGGGGGGGGGGGGTATATCGATACGATAGATCCCGAATATACACACCGGATGACTCGCTGGACATGGGCCGCCTTCTTCGAAAGTACTGCTCTCGGGGTATGAGACATGGCTTGAGTGATTAGGAGAATCTAGGTTGACGCCATCCCAACATCTAAATAGACTGGTAAGTGGTCTACGAACCAGAAAAGTTTTCTAGTTTATGTTTTCGTTGCATCGCTTACGTTGGAAACCGGAGGTTGGCCATGATGCCAGCAGGGCATGGCTCTTTTGGCATATCCAAAGTCTCATTTGTTCGCGTTAAAGGGTCTTGAAGGCAAGTACTACAAAATAAAAGTCAGCTTCTGGTCGATAAAATGCAGCTCACTGTAGATCACCAATTATTGACCAATGACTTACTAGGTAAGTTGTCGATATCTTTCGGCCTCCTTTCTAGTACGTATCGTGGGGTCGCCGGTGATCATGCGGAAACCCTTAGTTATATATGAGCGACGTATTATTTTATCCTTCCAGAGAAACTATCTGCCTTACCGGCTTGAACGCAGTGACGGTGGTGTGGTTGTAACTTGAGATGTAGTATATTGTCATACCACCGTTCGACTCCTCAAAGTAAACATTGCCTTTTTGCTCAACGCGTTTATACGTCCCATTGCGCGCACGAAAGAACATCACCGCGGTCCAATAATTAGAGAAGTCCTCTGGGAATGTGCATGTAGTGCAAGTAGCTGAGCCAGGAATGTCCAGAGTCCTGGGGTCCATCGAAGCATTGAAGGAATTCTATGGTTATGGTTTGGTTAGCTATCCGAGTTCGTTCAATATGGAATTAAATATAGGCGCATACCCCACCGATGACTTGGTGGAGGTGAGGTGACCCAATAACCCCTGGGTTGACTAGGGGGTCAAGACGCTCAACAACTAGTTGGGAGCATGAGAAACGAAGGAGAGCTGAGGCGCTAGGTAAAATAAAACCGGCTTTTGTAAATAAGTAAACCCAGTATGATCGCATCTTGGGCTATTGATGTTAGTTAGATTAGCATCTAGTTAATAGGAGTGGAGGAGGACGACGACGATATCAAGCGTTCAGCTTTCAATGTAGATATATTACTGTTTGCTTGTGAATAATCTGGAAAAGCAACTATCTGCTGTGGAATCTACCTACATATGTAGGTAGAGTAGGTACACATATAGGTAGAAAACTTAAGGTATTTTTTGGCACGGTTTTGGTATTATCAGATGCAATACAATTGCCGTTTTCGAGAGAATCGTTTAATATATTTCTACTCTACCTATATTACCGGTTTGGGCAGCGATGTTAAATGCACCAACCAAACAGACACAGACACATGCTCGTGTAGTATTCCATATAATTCTAATCTAAATGATAGTTGGATGCTTGATTTGCAAATTTTATGACTTATTGAGCTAATAACTACGTCGTATTTCAAGTGGTATAACTGATATTATATCTACCTAGGTATGTTCTTGGTTTATAATCTCGCCTCCTTTTATAAAATACATACCTAGGTACATATATTTAGCTAAGTACCTATATATATTAAATGATTCATTTTATTACAATAATTGTATTGGCCGATGCTAAAAGGTTTGCGGTTATAAGGCTACGAAGTACTTACCTACAGGTAGGTAAGTAAATACATTAAGTTGAATGAAATGTCTCGATATTCAATTTTCATATCTGCAGAAAAGCCGTCTATTTGGTTATCATCCCAATTGCTATACTAACTGAATCGTCTGGGTATGAAATAATTCCGACCTAGGCCGAAAACTGCCTAACATGCCTAGCCGTCGATAGGAAGATGCAGTTCCCTCTACACGATGTAGAATCAGTGCTGGGCCAGTTTTACCACTAAGAATATACGCGTCCATAGGATCGTCGGCACTGCAAGAAACTTCTGATTCAACGTCTATGTGACAGTCGTGCCTTTGCATCTCTTGCAACCCCGAGACTCGATACCACCGCCGGTGGTAGTCTGTATTTCCCTCTTCACCCCATAAATGAACCTGAGTTAACACGCCACTGATCGTAATAATATCAGCGCATATCTCTGCAAGTGGGTTTGATATCACTGATTTGTACGAGATATTGAGGACCTCGATACCCTTAGACACAGATGGGCTTAGTGGGTAGTGGAATGAGCCAGACACGGAAGCCCACGACCAAGACGGCATCGTTTGATCTGTGCTTCGTTTCGTAACAATTCCATTGTATTCACCAAATCGCCAATCAAGGGACCAGAAAAGGCCAGGGATAAGATTTGGCTCCCAAAGGCCATTCAAATATCGACCAAGTCCCTTCTTAAAGAAAAGTTGTGCGATTCCAGCCAAGGCAGGGAGTCTATCCCCATCGTAGGTTAACCCCTTCCGTAGGTATGCTTCGATGATATCTTGCCATAGCAGATATAATTTGTCTGGAGAAGAAGTACCTCGAAGCTGCTCATCGAATCTAGCCTTGAGATCGCTCGCAGCAACAATATCACGCGTGTTCTCGTTATACTCCCCGCAATTACACAGTCGTTTGGTGAGACATAACCAGAGCATCTCCCATTGAGTGAATGACAAGACTCGGGGTGCTAGAAGATATTCTGTAATTTCCCCCTGTCATTTAGCTGCGCCGAGGATAGAATAAAGATGGAATAAAGACGAAATGAAATAAATCTAAAAAAAAGTAAGATAAATATATAACAAACATAGAATAGAAAAAGATAACCAACCTTGGAAACACCAGGATCTCTCAAGTAAGGGAGCTTGCACCGATGATTCTAGTCCAAAAGGGCTACTGGCGAAATAAGGCGCATGTTCCAAGGCTGGGCGCACTTCTACTACCACGGCCTCCCCATCCTCGCCAGTACGCTTGACTGTATGCCTGGCGTCTAGTGGGTCGTGCTGATGGAATAATCCACCATGGCTATTGAGCGACGCGGTAGCTAATATGGTGACGTAGGCATTGCCATATACGTCCGCCATGCGCGACGCTTCATCTCTCCAATCCTCGGCGCTATCCTGGATAATACACACAGAATCGATCCAGAGATAACGGCACTGGAGCTGGCGGGTGATGAACATTGCGTCCTGGAATGTTTTGGGGAATGACTCAATTGAGACCCCGTTTTTGAAATTCTGGAGAGTCTTCTTCGTCGTTATAGTAGGCACGACGCCTCCCCAACAGTGGCTCAGTGCTATATAAGGGCCTCTATCACCATTCTCCGGCTCCTGGAGGAAAATCTTATATTGTTCGCGAGAAACATCTAGCACCCTCGTTGGAAGGTAAGTGTTGGTGAGATTCCTCTGACAGATATCATGCCCATTGTCGCAAGAGTCGACCCAGCCTTTCATCTGCGCGATGTATTTCTTACTTGAAGTGTCCGGCTCGAGACCGTTGCTGGGTATGAATATGCGGGATAGCGGATCTCGTACTTTATAGATCAGAATAGAGACACAGCTAGATAGGTTAAGGGTATTTCCCTACAGCTTTTCGTGTAGAAATGGAGTCCTATCCATTCTTTTTCGACAGGAGATTCTTTATATTTGTAGTTAAGACGGAATGAATCTTCCGCCTGAAGGAGAGCCATCCACTGGACTGTGCCGGGACTATCGAGGCAGAATGCCTCTAGACCTTCCCAGAGAATCGAACAGAGCTGACAAGTAGGTGCGGAACGCTGCAAGTCGTTACCTATGCCCCCGGTGATGAAGCCACCAGATAATCCTGGTAGAGCCTCTAAGTTTCGGCAAACTGTACATGAGTTCATATTGATGTAGTTCGATTGATCTTGCCTTTCTGTGGCGGAAGAATGCCGCTCGCTTGTGAACCATCTTTTCTGACATATTAGGCGTCGTATGTACCTACCTAGGTAGGTACTGCCTAATATGCTGGGGGATGTCAACTGCAGGGGGCCGGTATGCCTTTTTAGAATCCCGCATATGCAGGGTACAGGTATGTAAGGATTTATGGGGCGTTATAATGGATCCTAACCTAGACCGCGACCGCCTAACTAGGTACCTAGGTACATATATGTAGTAAATCTATACTTCGCATTCCTTCTTCAACAAATCGTCATGGCCATTATCATCAGTAATACTGCACGATCGTCACGATAAGAATTCATGGGAGAGCCGACGCCATGATGACCTTGAAGTTGAATACCGGCTTTCTGCTTTCTACTTTTTACTTTTTACTTCGCATGAATTCTTAAAACGCGGCACGGATCTACGTGCTCGCCCCCGTGATCTGCACCTGATAATCTAGGCCTCGGCTTACATCATTAGTAAGTGAGAAAGGGTCGTAAAGATATAGAGAGTCCGGTGTGTTAACAATCACCAAAGATGCCTCCTCTCCGCTAGCCACGGACGCTTCTGCCTCGTTATCCGACACCTCAATATATCGAACAGACCCGTTCGGTGCCTTGATTGCTAGGGATGCCGTGTATGGAGCTGCGGTACTTATAGCCACGCTGACCGATGTGCCAGTCACTTTAAGAGGGATGATGTTGGCACCCATGTAGCGAGGCTGTCGAGCGGCTTTGACCCGGTATTTCCCTCCACCTAACGAATCCAAGTTCGCATAATTAAACTCCTTTTTTTGCCTTTCAAAAAGGGCTCTAGCCTTTTCGTGTCCAATATCGACGTATGCCATCCGAGCCCAGTAGCGGCCGACGACGGTTTGAATCTTGGTGGGCGCAGAAAGCTGATCCAGAATATGCAAAGGCGTCTCGTTGCTGTCCCGCTTATACTTTCGCCAGACGTTCGGAAAGTTCACCATGCCTAACCCGGGATAGTTGTCTGGGTTGTTCGTGATATATGTCAAAAATGGCCATGCTTCGTAGTAGTTACCGGTTCCCCTTGATCCGTCTACGATGACTTGATATGAGTCGCCAATTACTTTTTTGAGGTTCATCAGAGTGTCGCCACTAGATTGATTATAACGGGACCTGGAACCCTCACAGATCGAAGAAGTGACGAATGTATCAGCAACAAAATTGGCTATCGTTTCCCACCAAGCCCCAGTGCGTCCTTGGTTGATCCAGTATCTTTCAGCGTACGTTAAGGCGTGTCCGAATTCGCTATCAGACCGACAGTCAGTACCTAGTCTCTTCTTCAAGAGGAGATTCTGGGGGGTGTTGAGCATGTGGTGGGAGCAAACACTCTTCAATCAGTCGAATTGACAAGTTCGCACCCCCAATAGAATCATCAGGGTTACATACTGAACGGTTATCGAAGGTGTGTTCATCCATTGTGTGACGACGTTCAAGAAGCTTAGCCCCGTAGCACTATCGGTCCCCGTGTTTGCTGCAGTGTTGGCTCCTAGATTGGCCACGTCATAAACGTTCATCTTATACCACGGTCCATCGTCGTTCTCCTGATTAAATGACAGGCCGGTTGAACGCCATCCCTGACCAAGAACGAAGCAATCGTAGGCGGATTCCAAAGTCTGAAGTAGAGTGTTCGCAACAGAATCGTCTGCAGCATCGTAGACGCGGAAATGCGGTGAGTCTTTGTACCTACTTCCACCAGGACCAACCTTAGTGTTGGGTGTGAATTCAGCCGGCGGTGCAACTAGTATCCGCATCGGAACAGCGATAACCCCAAGAGCCCACCACAACGAGACGACAGCTGGGTTGAATATTCTCATATCGTCTAACTTAGCCTGATAGCTTCAGATGTCTTGGGTTTTGTACATACCTAGGTATGTATGTAAAGTCGAAATATTTTTTGAAAGACCTAGAGCGACGATCACCGCTTTTATGATCCAAAGCTCGACCTCCTATGGGCTATCGCCACGGAGATGTGACTTGGCCATTCCCAGATCGGATACGTCCGAGGTCCTCGACGACATTAACCAACAGGCTAAAACAGACTACAGCCAAAGCAAGAGGTATGCCAATCAATAAATACTTATGCAGATCTTGAGTGTGTATATTATCTACTTACTAAGTATGTTTTCTTATTTTGGGTATTTTGGGTATTTTGTGGGGGGCAATTTACCTATACATCTTCTGACCTGATAATCCTTGGACATGTTGATGGTTGTATTTTCAGGGACAGTGTAAGGGTAAGGGTCTTTGCTTGTAGCAGCCACACAAAAAGACGATTACTTCAAAAGTAGGTAGGTATAGTATCTAGTATCTAGTTGGGGTAGGTAGCTAGGCACCTAGTCCCTTCACGAGAATTAAATTACTTCTAAATTCATATTTAATATTTACCTTTTCATCCCCATACTTCACAATCTTAAGAGACCCCTAAATCAGAATTAATCGCCAACTAAACACTTTGATAGCTATTCTAGACACAAACCTTAGTCTAATCGGAGTCTGATTCGGAGTCTATGTCGCTAGGAGGAGGAGACGAGAGTGGAGACGAGGTCAGAGAGGTGGAAATATTAGCCACCGTGATACAATCCTTGATACTGAGCGATTCCTCAATAGTATCGGGGAAAGGAGGAAAAGGAGGGATAGGAGGAATGTCAGGCGTACCAGAATTGAAGACAACATCGGTGTTTTGCTGCCCCTGAGTCAACGAGATGGTGTTATATATGGGGTCGAAATCCCTCCGGCTTCCCCCCATCTCATTCCAAAGCACAACCGAGGGATTATCGCCGATAGGGAGGAACCCAGCCTCGAAATTTGGCCATAGCTGAATGAGTCGCGGCCACGAAAATTTACCATCATCTACTTTGACCCATCTATCCGTTCTGAGGTTCAGTCTTCGTGATAGTGGCTCGTTGCTCTCCGGGTTCGGATGGCTGCCCGGACGCGGAGGCAGCGCACCGGGTCCGGTGTTCAAGTCCCAAAGTGTAGCGAATTGACCGATGACCTCCCTGGAGCATGTTATAATATAGGTCAAACGTGCGTATCGCGCCTCGAGCTTTGCTTGCTGGACTGAATCTATTGCCTTACAACCTTGGCTATTATCACTCTCCGCCATCTCGGCAAGAAGTTGCGATATCTGGCTACGGTGCTTGTCGGCAATCGCGAGCTCAACTCCGGACTTGAAGAGCCAGGCAGCAATCAAAAGTAAGGATGGGTTGTACCCGAAGTACGCACTTAGAAAGGAGGTATCTTTAGTTTCATCGTTTGTCTCCTCGACAAAATGATGATACTTAACTTGAGTCTGACAGCTCCCATCCCTAAACCGGCATACGAAGTGCCTCTGAAGCCGACAGCACCTGGGGTGGAAGGGACAAGACTCGCGAGGAGGAATCGGATCGAGTATATGAGGATAATCACAGGGTGGGCTCATCTGAGGATCTTGCCACGGGCTGTAAACCGTATAACCGGTGACTGGATTTATGATGCTTAGGTGGCGTGTATCATGCTCGCGAACAGTGTTATGGACGTATAAGTCGAAACACATCTTGGATATATTTCAAGGCAGATGCGTTATATTACGAATAAACTATAGAGACGATGCAAATACCAACATTAAAGGTGCGATGGGCCTTCTTCTCTTTAGTTCACGATGAGATTTTTGAAACCGGGATTTTCGTAATATCTATTGTGGATTGGGTGGTGAGAAAAGTACGAGTGCCATCGCTTCGGTTTATATATGCCTCTTTGTCTTCTATAATGTGATGGTATTTGTCCTCTACAATTCAACAACGGCATTGTGCTTGAACAAGCTCTTTGTCTTACGTCAAAATGTTTTTAAATGTAGGGAATCCTTTCAATTGTCCATGAGAATAGAACAAAGGCAACCAGGATCGTTTTCTTCGTAGCTTTAAGAAATCGGACTTGTTGCTAAGCTCTTCCTCGCTCCCCCCCCTGGATACTAGTCAAACCCAACTACCGACGTCAGGTCCTGTATCACACCCTCCCTCACCTTCGTCGTCATTTGGCATCGACGTGGACTAGTTGAGAGGATAGAGCCCGCCGATTACACTGGATCATCCAGGCTGACCGTCGCGCCAAGAATCTAAAATAAAATCATCTCACCCCCATGGCAACTGTAGCTCGGTCTACAGAATGAGGAGTAGCTCGGTAGACCTTGATTCAAGAACCCGGAAATCTAACTACTGTAGCTAGCGTAGCAATATGCGGCTGAGCACACAGTAACAGAGTAGGTAGGACATCGAGTAGGCGGATTACGCTGGCGCCATAGTCGTGATTTCCCGGCTGACGACTAGGTACTATGAAGTCTTATCGCGTCAAGACGACGGCAATATATTTTCTGGCGGGTTCGGATACGCGGCTTCTTTTTTGAGATAGCTAGGGGCTGGCTCAACCCATGGGCTTACTGTGATGACCGATGCACCAGTTGGGTAGTCTACAGTAACGCTGCATATTGCGGCTTTTGTGTAACCGATCTATACCGTTCCATACCGTTCCCGTGGATCTTTGCACTGCCGATTCCGATTATAAAGAGCTTGGTGGATGAGATCCGCGACGGAAACTCCCCATCTTAGGCATACCGAAACACCGAGCCTTCGGTTCTCCCCAATTGCACCTGTTGGGGATATCTAGCGGGAGGCGCGTGACCATACGATAAGAACCATTACTCTGCCTTAGAGGAGGGACCTTTTCCGGGTATGGCCGGCTACTTTTCCGTCAAATATACAAATATATGACCAAATAAGTTATACCGAACAAGGAGGGAGGGGGGGAGCGAGCGGATTCTTTGTCAACAGTTGCACAGCTGACGAGGGTGATTTGAGGGCGTGTTGTGTAATAGTTTGGTAGACTACGTATAATCGAAGAAATGTCATGTTCCTAAGTTCGTGTCTAACGCCTTCCCCCCCCTCGCGTCTCCCTCCTTTCTTCCCTCTCCCAAGAAAAACAAAGTCATCGTGATGATATCTCATTACCACGTATCTTTGCCTAGACGCAAGACTGAGGCATTCCTTTCGTTCAGCCAGTGAACAATGAACATGAGGCTAATATATCCTGACGAGACTCTCTCCCTGTGACCATAGTGATATGCCAATTCCGTTGCCGCAGCCCCTTCGCGACTAGACCCGTAAATGCAGCCTTTCATATATGACGTGTGGTATCATACCGCTCTCCAAATAACGCCGGTCCCGAATCAAGTAGTTTGCAGCTGTCCTAAGCAGCCAGGCCCTCGTCCCCCAACCCCTTCTCCTTTCGTTCGTCCTGAAGCATCCGAATTAGTTTGTTGATCGTGTTGCCGTCGCGTAGCTTCTCCACCTCTCTCACTGCGTCGTCTTCGTCCAAGCCCTCGGCCATGAATTCCTTGATCTTATCCCATATGACTTTTCTTCTCGAATACCACGTGCGACCCCGTGGCTCAGGCCGCCACCGCGAGCCCCAAGTAGCGTCCAAATCTTCGATAGCAGGCTGACCGTCCATTCCTTCACGGTATTCCCTCCAAACCTCCTCCACCGAGGAGACAGTTCCGTATTTGTATTGAGGTGGCCCCGCGGATTGCGGTGTTTGTGCAGATGGTCTGGGCTGAACAGCCTGGGAAGAAGTAGAAGGGGAAGCCGGGGGAGGTCTGGCAGGGCGGCTTGGCGTTTGAATAGGAACCGGCGGTCCCCGAGAATACGGAGTAACCGACTGCTGCTGCGGTGGCGGAGGGATGATGGGACGCACGGAGGGGTCTCGAGAAGTAAATGCCTAAACAAATGCAACCGTCAGTAATTAATATATATAAATTGCATTATTATTCTTTATAATATATTTTTCTCTTCTTTTCTTTCTTCCTTCCTTCCTTCTCCTTCCTATTCTCTTAGGCAGTTGCCGAAGAGACAAAGAGATTCAAAAATTGAAATAGTAGGTAGACATACGGATGCTGCAGCATGATGGGAAGCTACTAAGCTTCCACGGAGGTCATTTAGCTGCTGGCTGATAGCGTCGAATTGAGAGGAGATATGGGCGACATAGTGTTGATGTTGCATCTGAATCTGTAGAATGGTGGCGATCAATTGTTCGGGAGACCTGCCTAGGAGCTGCTCTTCGGTGATGACGGCGGGTAGGGACATGACAGCGTGAGGTTGAAGATAGGATTGGGTTGCGGTCGTAGTCGGAGTGGCCGAAACTGAAGATGAAGAGGCGGCGGCGGCGGCGGCAGAAGCAGCAGCCAAGGGACTTGGATTCGGGATCGGGTTCGTTCTGGTACTGGATGTTGCTTGCCTTTTTGAAGGAGTGGCGCTTGTACCGGCACTGCGCTGCAGGTCGGCTGCAGCTGGTCGCTTCAATGTTGCCCCTGTTGCCCCTGTCGGTGCTGCAGGGCCAGGACCAGGTACAGGTACGGGAGGAGCTGAGGTAATGGTACTAGTAATGGTGGTTGAGCCCGTGACAGCGGCCGTTGATGGGGGCGGTATGTTACTAAGGCCGGCCGAAGGCGAAGGCAGCATGGCGGGCCCCTTAACCAGTAAACTCTTCCGAGAGTTTCCAATGTGGAAAAGGGATGGTATAAGAGAAGAGCTTCCAGGTTTTATGGTGGGGGGTGGGGTGAGAGGAGGGAAAAAAGTAATAGCAGGGAAAGAGGAATATAAAAATAAAACAAGTTAAGATAAAATAAGTAAGGTAAGATGTAATAGGAAATGAAATAGATAGAAGTGGAAGTAGAAGTAATGACAAAATAATAATAAAATAAAAAATAAAAATAATATTAAAATACTTCGAGGTACCGTTATGTTCAAGAATGGAAAAGAGAATAGGAAGACGGGGAAGGAAAAAGAGGGTAAAAAGAAAAAGAAACTTTTGAGACGATCAGACGGACGTCCGGGCTAGCCGGGGTCTTGTTTTCTTATTTTTATTTTTATTCTAAAGTCGAAGAAGAGATGAGAAGGTGATGTAAGTGACGAAAATAGTAAGAGTAAGAGTAATAATAGAGTACCTAGTAAGTAAGTGTGTAGGTAGGTAGGTGAGTGAGTGAGTAGGTAAGTTGCTAGGTAGGCAGGTAGGTAGGTAAAGAAGTAGGAAGGAAGATAGGTGTAGTAGGGAGGTAGATGATAAGTGACGACAATGTCAAGGTCGAGAGAGGACGGAGGGCAATGGTCGAGGTCAGATAATAATATAATGGTGAGATGAGAATAGAGTATGGGATTGGATTAGGGATAGAGATAATGCTCAGATGGTGACAATAGCGGTGATAATAGCGATGGCGATGACGATGACTATGACGATGATGGATAATAGATGAGACGCGACTACAAAAGAAAATGTCGGCGCCTGCATCAATAACCAGCAACAACAGCACCAACAATACTAGCAGTGCTAGCAGTATTAGCAGTACTAACAGTACCCGACTACAGCAACAGCTCCTGTAGCAACAGCTACAGCTACAGCTACAGCAACGGCAACAGCATCAACGTCAACGTCCCGTAACATCAGTACCAACATGGGGAATTATCGGTATCGGCATCGGCATCGATATCGACATCGACATCAGCGTCCCATGAACTTGGGTATGGGTATCAGCATCATCAATAAGAGTCGATGTATGTGTGTACGGATCCCGTATCAGAGCAAAGCAAGATTACCATGCGGGAGATGCGGCGAACTTCACCGGAAACCAAGGATGGCATTCCTGTCGTCTACATATGTAATGCAATGTGCGTTGTCCCGGTTTGTGTTGCCATGGACGGGGTCACCTGCGGTGTGTCGGCTTTGTCAACGTGTTGGTGACATGTTGCTGTGTGAGAGTGAGTGAAGTAGGTTATGTGAGATTCTCGAGGAAGAGAAGGGAGAGGGAATGTATGAGAAAAACTAGGTAAACTATAAAGTGTACGTGCGTCGATGTGTGTTGGCCGTTTATTTTTTTTGTTACTTTGTTTTATTTCTTATTTCTTTTTTCTTTTTTCAATTTTTCAATTTTTCCTATTTTAATCCATATAGTTCATTTACGATTTTATTTCTTATGTACATAATACAATATGTATATATGAGATGTGTAGGCATTTTTGGATTTAAAACCCGCTTCTTTCTTGTTTTACTTTTTTCTCGTTGACTTGGTTTGGTAAGATAGTTTTTTTTTTTCTACAGAAACGGCAAGGGTAGGTTGATTCAACAATTAGGCATTGGGCAATTAGTGTCGAAGTCCTCGTTGTAAGGGTACATTTATCTTAAATAATGGAGTACTTGAACAGGTAAAAGCCGGCAGGAAAATACTTCCTGATGTACATTTTGAGTACATGTATATGTATGTAATATTGTTCAGGTGGTACAACTAGCAAGGTTAAGGTCCAAAGAAATGTGGAATCAATAAACATTCGTGGGGATTAATGAACTTAACCTTAAGTATTGAAAAAGGAAACAATGGTAAGCTAAATCACGTGAAATTAAAGCTGTCAATTTTAAAACTTTATTCTTTTCGTTACATATAGAAATCATACACTTAAATTTACACACCATTACTAGATAATATTAAAGTATTACAGTCGTGATATGTACAAACTAGGTAGTCAAGGCACCAGGCATACCTATACATACCTATATTGAGGTAACACTTTATGGAGAACATTAGCTTGAGGTTGGGTCTAATCCTTGGCGGTCTAGCTAGTCTTGGCGGGCATCTTGGCCGTTCGGCAGGGACTACAAGGACCCAAGAACCGCAAGCGACCCTGTAATGGTTCTGGTTTTACAAATAATGGTAATAGGGTAACATCGTAACATGCAAGCTGCATACCCAAACATTGGAAACCTTGGGACCGTTAGAGCCCTTGAAAACGTCCGTACACTTTAAGTACCGACTTACATACATGTTAGATACCTAGCATGTATATGTACTATTAGGTAGGTAGATAGGTAAATATATCAGTGTATACCTACTAGGTATCTCAACATGACAGGCTTCGGCATAAGTTCCGGATTGTGTCTCTTAGGTACCTAGGTATCTTCAATCCGGGACGAATCAACTCCGAGGTCAATGTTAATCCCAGGTACCTAATGTACCTACCAGGCATTGCCAGGTGGGCAGAAGATTGTGAGGGGTCTAATACCTGATACATCATGTGTACTTAGTAACTTAGGTTCCAGGTAGATGACGTACGCGTCACAAAACATGGCAGCGACAACATTGAATGAACTGTGATCTGTAATAGAAGCCGCACCGAGTGCACTGACCGCACTAGAAGCTCCAATAAGAAGTGCAACTTGGAAGTGACAGACATCAACATTGAACAATCTTAGTACCGTGCTAGTACTACCACCTAAAAGGCAACCGATCTGGAAAAGATTACTGTATCGCCATGTATATGTATATTTATTTGCATCCTTAAAGGTACCTATGTATGTATGCCTACCCAGTACATACACTGATGTATAGTAGTACGTAAATCTATTCCTTAAACTCTTTTCCGATCTATCTAGATTATATTTGACAGAAACCCCAATGATGCCCCATGAGATCCTCCGTCATCGAATCATCTGATAGATTTGATATAATCCCTTTTAATAAACGCCCATTGCATCGCTAAGCCCTGCACAACATCCGATTTTCATCGATTCTCATGATCTTTTTTTCCCGGTCCGTGCCCGTCGATGCTTGTAGATACTTGCCGGTGCCTGTCGCCATGCACAAGATAGATTAAGGCGAAGACAAATAGATTGACGTCGTGGCTGGGGCTTTGGACCCCGAAATCCGAAAAATGTGTCTCGTATCCTCAACCGTTGACTACCTACCTACATACCTACCTACATACCTACCTACCTACCTACCTACCTACCTACCTACCTAGTACCTAAAAAGTACGTAGCGACTAGTTATCTTACTCTCTCTCGCTTTCGTACGGCTCAGCTGAGACATACGCAGAATTCACTTCCTACAAGTTGTTATGCTATCTAACGGTCGAAGCAAGACTTCGATTTCTCAATTGGGTATTTCTGTCTTCCATTGTTGTCTGCCAAGTCTCTCAGCCATGCCAGAGACTTCATCATCACAGTCATATTCGACACCCTGCTTTGGAGTCAAATCAATCTCTTCTTGACCGCACATCACCTCTATTACCTAGAAGCATCTATTTCTCAAGGGCGCTACTATTTAAATCGCCCTTGGTTATTATGTAGTTACTAGGTACCTAGAGTATCTGTATGAAGTCACCACCTATATATCGCCAAGGCATTATCAGCTCCGCGATTCTTCTACAATCAATCACCCAAAGAAGCAGTATACACCATCCTGACTCACATATTGATTAGGTAATAATATCATTTAATCATGGTTGTTAACATCTACCTACCTATAGTGTACTTTTACGACGGTAGGATAGGATTAGATCAATAATGAAATTATCCAAATAGGTTAAATGCAAACTAAAAACCACTAGGTATGCTACAGAGAGTGATGCTTTCACGTGATATAATTTGGTTACGGTAGTGTGATATAAATATTTACAATCCCCTCTGAAGGTTTGAACAACATAGTTTCCCGAGACCATATATGACACTACATTCTCAGGTGTCACTCGGCGGAACTAAAAGACAAGAAAACAACGACGTCGTTGCACGGGGAGCTCCAAACTACTCCCACTAAGAACAACACGGTATAGATACAGATGAGGCTCCTTGTCTATGCTATTCCCAGAGCTGACGACCAACAGGATGCTTATAGACTCAACAGACCTCCACAGGCTGAGTTCTGATCTCATAGATCTCTATACCCCTAGCTACTAGTCTTCCTTCGGGCCAGACTTCTAACACCAGGTGTTTGACAAGAAACTAGACACTCAATGGTTTCGTTCTATTTTACAATAACCTTTTTAATATCACCAATGTGATGGGATTCTAGGTCTCTATCTTTATTCCCTCAACTAGAAATAGTTTCTGCTCAGGGGCCGATGATGAGTACCATTCTGAAGAGATCAATTATGCTAATGTAAGGAGAAGGAGCAGAATAGTCTAGTCATGTTATAGAAAATATAGACATCCATCTTCGCATGTTATCACATATGATCACGAGCCGGAAGACTCGCACGCCGTGCCTGAAATGCGAGAAGGCTCAATATATCAGGTTTTTGACACGGTCATAATATCAAGCTTATCTCTTTGGCTGACTGTTTGATGTAGGTGGGCATCAAGAGGTAAATTTCATCTAAGAACCGTAATAAAGGTTTTTTTGGTCGATTGGGAATGCCACTCGTAGGTCAGAAAATCGTTAATACCACTGACACAAGATATATAAGGCGTAAAATCATGTAATATTCATAGTCTTATGTTTCCAAGGTTAGGTACATACCTAGGAACCAAGGTAGGTATATTTTAAAGTTGTCCCACCAAGTCATATAAAACTATATTTTCCTTCTTGATTTATAATTGTAGTAAACTGTTAGTTAACATTATGAAAATAATTATTGCGGGCTGGCTTTTATTGCTTGTAATAAATTACATGTTATCCGGCTTGTGAATGTTGTTGTTTAGTGGTTTGTGTTAGACATCGGTTTTCTTCCAGGTTAGTAGTTAGAGGTTTATGGGATTAGGATTCGACCCATTAAGTTTTTGTAAGGGTCCTGTTGGCTGCTAGTCCTAGTAGCAGGATAGATAAAGAGCTTTACCTGTATGTATACCGTGTTTTCCATAACGAGAATAGTTAGGAGCTTTTCGCGTAACAACGTTGTTGTTTCTTAGTTTTTTAGTTCCACCTCGTGACAGTTTGGCTTAATTGGTAGATATGAATTACTGAACCTGAGGCTCAATCCCATGGCATGACAATAATACTAAAAATTTTTAAAAAGTATAATTTTATAATAAATTTAATCATATAAAAAAAACTTAAGCTTGCATCATTATTTATTATTAGTCGTTTATTATTATATTATATATTGAGATTTAGCTTATCTGAAGGTCCTCTTCTTGGGTGAAAACTTGCCGATGATTAATCTCGTAGCATAGACCTACCTACTTGCTAGGTATGTATTCTTAAAGGGAGTATCCTAACTAGGTACCTATGCACCTAGTATATATCTACCTAACTGCCTACATGTAGGTATTTATCCCCTACTCAGTATCGACGACGTTTGAGCTATCATCTCTCTTAGTCGGTATCATATATTTACAGCTACGAATCAGAATATCATGTCCTCCGCTCCCATTACTCCACTGTTCGCATCTCGCGGCTCTCCAATATGTTAACATAAGCCATTTCATCAGCGGTCCATTCATCGACCGCATATACCTATAGAACGCGGGATCCACTGCCAAAAATACGGCCGTAGCGCAATGTTTTATTCGCGACATACACTAGGTAGGTACCTAGGTAGTTCTATAGATAATTCGAAATATTTAACTACCTACATATAATGGATCACTTTAGTCGATTTACCCCACCCCCCTATTTATTACAACAAGCCATTGCACATATTAAGGATCATGTGAAATCCATATATGCGATTGTCTTTTTCTCGCCTATTATCATTATGAAAAGGATATTACTACGCTCCTTAGCAAAGACTACCTTCGGCTGAATGAAGTTCTGGGTATAACTGGCAAGGATGCATATATGAATTATGACGAGACATGCACGATTGAGATACATGTAATAAATAGCATATATTGAAAAGTCGATATTAAAATTTAACGACAGACCTTTTCCCTTCCCCGCCTCCCCCCCAAACATTACCCCCACGGAAATGGGGTTTCTACCTCTACCTACTAGGTGCATAATGTGGCTTGTAGTTATCTATTACCTATATTATGTATATAGATCCTAGGTACATAGGTATTTAAATTTATCACTCCGTCTCATCCAAGACTTCCCAATCGCATACAATGTTTTTACGCCTGGCATTTCCCTCGTATCACGGCATAGATACCTATATTACATTACCTGCCTAGTCGTCCTGTTGAGACACGTCACGCAGACTCGGCGGCATTGACAGGTTGTCGCGCGCAGCCATGATTTGTGTCGGCGAGTCTTCGGGTCAAACGCTGCTTAAGCAAGCCGTCAACGTTGCTCGAAAATTACGCTGTACATCAAACGTGACCAGCGAGTTCAGGTTATTCCATACATACTAGATATATGTCGGTACATATTTTGGTATGTAACTAGGTAGGTATATACGTACGTACATATTAGGAATGGTAGCCTCAACAGCCTATGCAAAACAGAATGCCCGAGATGCGAGGTCTAACATCTGAACGCAATGTCATTGGAGAAAAATCCTCGGGAGGTCTAGAAGCAAGCGACCGTGCCTGAGTGGGACCGGAGAGCTGCACCAGAACCAGGGTGCCAGGGAGGAATAAAATAGCCTTCTGACGGGGTTTCATCAACAGGTACGCGACATGCCATTATTGGCTGATCGCTGGCCTGGCACATGCACGAAGTACGATTGGTAGAAATTGTGCCAGGTGATAATGGTGGATACAGGTCAACTTGGTTAAGGGATAATAAACCCAAGCAACTCTCATGATGCGCGGGATCGAAAGCCAAGCCACCCCCGGTCGTTACTTGTTACTTGTTGGCTATTAGGTATAATGATGGTTTACTAATAAAACACATAAAAAAAAGCCTTAGAGATGGTACTAGGTAGGATGGCAGGATGACATAGCAGGAAGGGAAGCGAAGCATGTGAAAATCCGGACCTCGCACAAGCCTGCAAACTGCAAGCCGCAAGCCGTAAGCCGACAAGCTTCTGAAAATACATACCTCCAGGCCTACATTGGTAGGAACAAAAAATATCAGCTCGATGATAATTACAATGTCATGAGATCCCCTCATCTTATTATTACATACACGGTAATATTACTTCCTATTTCCTTTCTCTTACAGCGAAACGGATCCCGATTCTCGCTGGTATTTATTCGATTCTTCAGCGACATCGGATTACATACCCAACCCATTCAACCGCCGTCGCAGCGTCGCCAATCTGAAAAGACTAGGGGCCATCCCGTTCCGTCCTGGCGCTGTACTATGTATGCACGTTGATGCAAGGGCTACGATCGTTCTGCCCGACACCCACGAGACCCACGAGGAGCACGGCAAAGAAAGACCAGCATTGGTCGTATTTCGTTATTTAAAGGATACATGTAGTTATTCCCCCCTCCCGCTCGCATATCGCCGTTAATAAAATTATTATTATATACAGCAGGAGTACGAGTAGGAGGCAGCAGTACCTACATACCATTGGTACCGTCACCAAGGGTTGCAAATCGACGGTTTTCTTCAACGACCGGATGCTTACCTACCTACTAGGTACCTACTTAGAAGGTAGCCAAGCCCCACGATCTTTTTATTTTATTTGATTTGGAACACCGGTCCCCATATTCCGGTCCGTCACTACTGCAACCAACGACGGTGAAGGACGTGGGGACCTCTTGGTGCACCGGCGGGGTCACGCCGGCCACGATAATTGTCTCCTGGTTCCTAAACCAGTCAAGCGACGCCAGACCGCTTCTTCACCCAACAGAATCTTAAAATACACTATCTAAACATTCAATAAAAATACCTACCTACCTACTCCTATCCTTACGCTTTAGCCCTGGGGGAAAGAAAGACTATTCCGTACACAGAGGGGAACAGAGGGGGCAAGAATCAGGGTTATTGTCCGTCGTTTCGAAGCTGTTTATTTCCATACCGTGTGCGTTTTCCGCCCTGATCTCTCTTGTTTATGGGTATGTTCCAAGGTTCGCACCGTCAAATCACAAATCACAAATCACAAATCGCAAAATTATATATATCATTTCTTGCCGGCATCCGAAATGCCTACTAGGTTAGGTAGAGGTACCTAGTAGGTATTTAAATCCAATCGCAAGATTGCGCCGCCGCCGTCATCTATGTTTGCAACTGCGCAGACTGCATAACGTTTTGTTAACAGTACCATATCGTCTACCTTGAGCACGATAATGCATATGAGTCCAGAGATATTGGAAGATTTATCTACACTATACATACACGTATCCACTTGCAATCGCCCTGACCGTTTTTTTATCTAATGCAGATTGAATTTCATACACATCATCTCTCCCCATTCTGGAGTAAAATTGGACTCAGACCGCAACTTTTCCGGCTCCCTGACCATCTGTTCTGCGTCACGGTTTCACCGCGGCAACGCCTCTTTATTCATGGTGTTGTCGCTCACTACTTATCAGTTCTTATTCTCCTCAGTGTTTGTCTTCTAGTCAGACATTCCACTTTCTTTCTATGCTTACCTAGCTATTGGGATAATAATTTCTCCCGTGCATCGAAGGAACCGGATCAATGCCATCAAAGATGCCGCGATATTCTCCATTACCCACAAACCTCCGACGGTCTCACTCGGTCAATAGTGTTGCCACGTCCGATTCTACGTATCATAGCTTCCATGATATTGAATTGTATGAGCCTTCGGTGGCGTCTCCCTCTGCAGGAAGACGCATGCTTTCATGCAAAGAGGACAAGTTCGAGTTTAAACCAATACTGCGCCATGACTCGGGTTATGAGTCCATACACCCCAAGACAAGGGCCGGGTCTACTACATCATCTCATCCGCGACGCAATTCTACTATATCCACCACTTCCTCCCATTCCCGCCTCCATTCCCATTCCCATTCCCGGACGCGGCCATCCATACGTCGTGCGGCAAAGTCCAGTCCAAACATACCCCTAAAGCAGCTTGGCGCACAACCTATGCACTCGACGAATTCGCAGCAGCCAACCACGTACTACTACTTTCCGCCGCCGGAATCACTCTCCGGAAGCCATGGTGAGGATGAGGATGAGGAGCACGATACCGAGCCTTCGTATCCCCCTCCACCGCAGACTACGCATTACTGGACGAGTGACCACACCCGGCGCCTCGAATACGCTGCTATCGACGCAGCGAGCCGAGGTGTCAAAGGTTGGTTCATGAAGCACGTAGTACCAGACTGCTTCGTCCCAAAGGCGAGCCGACGGGTCGGGTTTGACGATGACTCAGGTAGTGTCAGGCGGTATCGATTAGAACTCGACTGTGATGAGGCTGGAGAGAAGAATGCGAACGGAGGCAAGAAAATGGGTTGGCTTCTGGGCCGATAATTAACGACGAATGAATTCACGCGGCGACAAACGAATTAGAGGATCACATTTTTGCATCCGCATGGTCGAGGCGTTGTATACCCACTTTGATTTTCTGAATTTTTGAACTTTGCCATTTTATACCTAGATCCCTATCTAGGCATATTTCAATATTTTTCAATTTGAGAGGCTTGGGTTGCATTCGATTGAGTACGGGGTTTAAAAATAAATAAGGGGGAAGGGGAAAGGGAAGGGGAAGGGAGAGGGGGGGACATCTTGAGGTACATATGATTCGACTTCAGTCAAGACTGATTTCCAGATTATGATACGAAACTACCCAGGTACCTAGTAGACCGGTAATACCGCTAGAGCGAAGAAAGAATTGCATAGCATAGCTACATTACCGAGCGCCGAACTATCAAAACAGGACCGAGGGCACGTACATACAGACATGTAATGACGGAGCAGATAACTGCTTGTTAATAATCGCATTCGACATACATATTGCTTAGACCGATGCGAATTGTCAGTGATCCCGATTCGACGAATAGGGTCAAATCTTTGAATGATTATGATATTGCGTCGAGCTATCTCAAAAGATACTCCTAAACGAGCTCGCGAGCCTGAATGGTGTATCAGGTACGTAGCGAAGGCATCTAAGACTCTAAGTGGTACTCAGTAATCAATAGGTTATGACACATCCCCTATTTTCCCTGACACTCTACTTCGTAGATCTGACAAAATACACAGACATGTATCATGATTCGCCAGAGAAGATTACCGTAGAAGTAAGGCAGGAATAGAATCCCTACCTAGGTAGGTAGGTAATTCGCTCCCGTCCCATAGTTTAGGAATAAATCCAAGCGCCTCCATTCAGCAACACTTCATTCTGACTTCCTCACTCATCTGATGTTTCATAACCATCCGTAATGGCAATTATCTCGTCATCTTGTTCTAGGTCTACGGCGGTTTTGATGCCTTCTAAGGGGGGCCATTCGCCTGTACGTAACCGTTAGAGTCGGACCCGGATCAGGCTAGAAGATATAGGGAGGCTCTACCTTTCAATTTAGAATCGACGAACCGTTTGCAAGTTTTCAACCCTCTCTGGAGAACATCGGTTTTCTTTGTCAATTCTTCCCGCTTTGTCCGACTTTCCTGGGACTCGCCAGCGATGAGCTCCACCAGGTCTGGTGACATCTTGAAGACCGCCACAGGGGAAAGTATGTCGGACAGGGGCATGATAATCTTTTGCTCGATAACTTCGGTGGCGATGCTATCGATAAAACGCTTGAGGGCAATCTATAATCACGACGTAGTCAGCAGATAGGCAGCGCCAACTACAAAAAGTTTCGAGCCTTGTAAGGAAGCGAAACGAACCTGGTAGTAGGCAAGCATGCGGTCGAGAGCTTCGCAAGCTGCGGAACGTTCGATACCCGACCCGCTATGCTTCGCTAGGTTCTCCACAAGTGTATTAAAATTATAATAGCTGTTATTTAAGTACTGATTTCCTCCGATGGACGCGAGTCCGAAAAAGTTCTTGACGATCTTGGAGATCTCATCTTTTGAACGACAGCAGTGGCCGTGGATGGTCTCGGCATATTCGTGGTTATAAGTAATCGGGTGGACCCGACGATGCGAATCGAGTAGCTTAGAAGTCTTGTTTTTGGCATTCACGAGCAGCTTATCAAGAGCTGGCTGTATTATTTTGTCGATGAGAGCATCGCTGATGGACGCATCGGCAACGTAGGTGGCGACCAGTTCGAGGAATTCTCCGACCGCCTCCCAGGCCTTCTTGACGTGGCCTTGCGCAATTCTCTCCCACGGTAACGACTGCTGTTGGAATAGATCAGCTACGATCATGCTGCTGAAGATTCCAGGCAGCTCTCGGCCTCTGGTCCTCTGCATGATGTTCTCGACATGGTCGAGGAACTTGTCCCTGGTAACCAGCTCGGGGTCATTAGGAGACTCCTGTTTCCCGCTGCCAATCTCACGTCGGTGGCCGCGTTTCACAAGACCTTCCGCAAATTCCTTGTTCAAGGCTTGTATCACCGCGCGAATGCGTTCTTGGTATCCTTGATCTGTTTCGGCGTCTTCGAAGAAGGCACTGTTGTAAGTACCGCTGATGGAACGTTCTACAAGTGATTGGAACTCTTCGCTAATCTGTAGAAGTCGAAGACGCTGTTCGTCAAGAGTGCGCCGTGGCTCCCCAAGCTTCTCGAGATCTTCTCGCGAGTCATCGAGCTTTAGATTTATCTCACGGATCAAACTTGGCAGTTCAAAAGCAATCTGCCGGAGCAATACATTGCTGAGCTTCTTCCTTAGCTCATTAATACCCAGCATCGACGAGGGCAGCTCGTTCCAAACACCCCTCGAAAAGAAAAGGGCCTCTTCGGCATTGCGATGGCCCAAGAGTGACGACCCTTTCTGGGTTTCCGAGTCGAGGTTCTTTAGGACGTGCCAGCCGAGATCGAAGTTGACTTGATTATTCCTCGCCAGGGAAACATAGAGTGCCTCACTACCGGACCCCTGAACTAGTGTATCCGGCTTTGTGATTACGCCCATAGTCCGACTACCCCTTTTATCCACCTCCCGAGCGAAATTCAGAACCACCTGATTCGCAAAGTCATTCTTGGCGGAAACGACAGCTAGAATGACGCTTCTGGCTTGTTTCATATACCCTTTAACAACCTTTCTGACCAACTTTACATCTGCCGCACTTTGTAGTTTAGTCTCCGAGTGGATGAGGCCGGGCATGTCGATTATGGTAAGATGGGGACGATCGGGTCCTGTTATCTCTACCCGAAGCCTGTCCCTAGAAAAAGCCTTGCCTGATGTTGAGATTCCCATGGCTGATTTGGCTTTCTCGACTAGATCCGGAAATCCCTCGAACCCTTCAAGTTCTTGGTGGAATTTGTGAAGGTCTTCTTGGGTCGGAGTCTTGGTGGCATTATCAGGGATGATAGAGACAGTCACTCCGGTCTCTGTCGATCGCCTCAGAACTAACTCCGTAGGGAAGCAAGTGCAAAGGTTACTTTTAACTAAAAATGGGACTCCTTATCACGAGGCGGAACCAAAAGACTAAGAAACAACAACGTTATTACGCAAAGAGCTCCTAACACTTTCGCTATAAAAAATATAGTATACATATAAATAAAACTTTTTATCCGTTTTATTCTTAAGATTAACGGCTAATAAAACCTTTATAAAAACTTAATAAACCGAATCTTAATTTTATAAACCTTTAATTATTAACTTAAAAAAAAACTAATATTTAATAATATTTTTTTTTCGAATAAATTCGTTATAAACTTATATAATAATTTAAATAATTTTTTTATTTTAAAAATTATAATTATTATTTATTATTTTCTTTTCATTTAACTTTCCCGAATTATTATTATTTTTATGCTTTTTATTTTATTCCCGTAATTATAAAGTTTTAAACTTTTTAAATTAAAAAAAAAGTCCGAGCTTTTTTAAATTATTATCGTAAAATTTTATAAATTAATTATTATAACTTTTTAAATTTTTAAACGGTTATTACGTAACGTTATAACTTTTTTATTTAATAAAATATTTTAAAAATCGATTATTTTTCTTATTATTTAATATATTTTTAAACCGTTATTTTTTATTTTTATTTCTTTTTATATTCGTCGTAATTATTTAATTTTTTTTACGTAAATTTATTTCGGCATTAATTTTTTTTTATTTAATATAATCCGATTTTACGTAAAATTTAAATAACGAATAATAAAAAATAAAAAAAAATTTTTAAAAAAATTTATTTAATATAAATAAATAAAACTTTAAATACATTTTATTAATTTTAAATAAACCGCGTTATTTATTATTAAATTTTTTTAATAATTTTAAAATATATAAATTTTTTATATTTAATTATATTAAATTATTTTTATTATATTTAAAAAAATTAACTTTTTTAAAATTAATATATTTCGTTTAATTATTTTAAAACTTTTTTATATTATATTTTAATTTTTTTATAACCGCGTATATATTTTCCACCGTTTTATTAATTTCATTTTATTCCGTTACGTTTTTTTTTAATAAATTTAAAAATCGAAATATTTAAAATTTTATTTTAATTTTTAAATAAAATTTATAATTAATATAAAATAATAAAACTTTTATAATATTAAATATAACGTTATTAAAAATAAATTCGGTAAATAATAATTAATTTATTTAATCGTTTTAATAATAAAAAATATAAACGCGAAAATATTACTTAAATATAATATTAATAATTTTCGTTTACCCGTTTATTTTTAAATAATAAATTATAAATAAACGAAATTTTATATTTAATTTTTTTAATAATTTTTTTTAAAAATTCGAAACGAATTAATAATTTTTATTAAAAATTATAACTTTCGAAATATTATATAAAAAAAAAACTCGTTAAATAAACGCGTTTATTAATATTCGAATATTTAAAAACTCGTACGAAATAAAATAACGTATTTTAATTAAACGATTTATTATTACGAATATATATTAATACGTAATATTATATTAAATATAATATAATAATTTAATAATATAATTAATTAAAATATTTAATTATATTTAAAACGAAATATTTAACGTTTTTAAAAAACCGTTTAAATTTTAATAAAAAACTTTAATTTAATAATAAATATAATAAATTTTAATAAAAATAAAAATTTCGTAATATATTTTTAATTATTAATACGTTTTATATATTAATTTTATTATTTTTATTTCGTTAAAATATTTTATTATTAATATATTATAAATTTTTTATATAATTTATATATAAAAATAATTATTTTTAAAAATAAAAAGTTAACTTTAATAATATATTTATTTTAAATAAAGTTTATAATTTTTAAATTATATTTTAAAGTAATTTTTAAACTTTTTTAATTATATATTTTTTTATAAAATAACCGAAATTATATTTTATATAATTTTATTATAAACGTAAACCGTATTTATTAAATTTTTAAAGTTTTTATTATTATTAATTATACGTAACTTTAAAAATATAACGTTTAAAGTTAAAAATTTATTTAATAATAATTACTTACTTATTTAAAAATAACTTTATCGTTTTAAAAATTTTCTTTTTTCGATATATTTTTATATTTTTTATTTAATACGTTTAATTTTACCGTAATTTTTTTTAATTTATAAATAATTTTAAAATTAAATTAATTAAAAAACTTTATTTATTTCGTTTATTTTTAACTTAATAATTTAATATTTATAAAATATTTTAAATTTTTATAATTTATAATTATTTTAATTAAATTAATAATTTTTTATAATTTAAATTTCCATTTTTTAAAAACCTTAATAATTACGAGAAATTTTTTATCGTAAATTTCGTAATTATTTTTAATTAAAATATATTTTACCGAAAAAAAAATTATTAAACGTAACGTATTAAAATTATTATATTAAAATAAAACGCTTTTAAATATTTAATCGAAAACGTTCGTTTTTATTATTATTTTTTTCGTAAAATTAAAATAAATAAAAATAAATTTTTTTATAAAAATATTTTTAAATATTTAAAAAGTTAATTTATATTTATTCGATTAATTTTAATTTATATTTTTATAAAAAAAATATATTATTAATTTAATAATATTTAAAAACTTTTTAATGAATTTTTTATAAAAATTCGTAAATTTTAAAAACTTTTATAAGTTTTTTTTATTTTTTAATAATTTTTAATTTTAAATTATTAAAACTTTTTTTTAATTTATTTTAATTTTTTACGTTAATATAATTAGTTTAAAATATTTTATTTTTATCGTATAAAATTTACATTTATTAATATTAATTTAAAAGTTTATTTTTTTTAAAAATAATAAAACTTTTTAAATATATTTTTTATATTTTTCCATAATATTAAAATAAATAAAAATATTATCGAAATACGTAAAAACGAATTTATTAAAAAAATTATATAATATATTATTAATAAAATATTAAAAAATGCTTAACGTATTATAAAATTTAAAAAAAATCATAAAATTTTCGTAAAAATTAAAATAAATAATAAAAATTATTTTCCATTTATAATTTTTAATTATTCGAACTTTATTAAAAATAATAATAACGTTAAATTTAAAAAAAATCTTTATTAAAATTAAAACATTAAACGTTTTTTTAATTAATAATAAAAAATATCGATTCTTAAAAATTATATTATTTAAACTTTAATAATCGATATATATACGCACATTTTTTTTTATTTTTTTCGTTAATAATAAAAATATTATTATAAAAAATAAAAATAATTAAATAAACTTTATTTATAAATTATTATTAAAATATTTTTTAATTATTTTTAATTTTAATTAAAATATTAATTTTATTTTATTTAAAAATAAATTTTTATTTTTTAAAATTTTAATTTTATAATTATAAAAACGTTTTAATAATAATTTTTTTACTTTAAAAAGTAAAAAAAAGTTTAATAAATTATAATAATTTTTAAAAAGTTTTTTTTTAATTTTATCGTTTATAAAAAGATTTTTTATTTTTATATATTTATTAATATTTTTTATATTTATTTTATATAAAAAATATTTTTTATATATATAATTAACGAAATTATAATATTTAAAATTTAAACGTGTTTTATACGCATTTTTATTTTTAATAACGTTTAATAATTTTCGTAATTTCGTTTTATTTAAATTTAATAATTAAAAAATAAAAAAATCGGTTTATGTTAATTTTTTAAATAAAATTTTTAAAATAATAACATTTTTTTATTTATAAAATTAAACGAAAAATATAATTAAAAAAATATATATATCGTTTTTATTAATGTAATTTCGTAAAAGCTTATTTAATTAATTAATTAATAATTTTTTAAAAACGTAAAGTTTAAAATATTTTCGTTTTTTTTTTAATTATATAAATTTAATTTTTAAATAATAAATATAATAATAAAGTAAATTAAATATTACGTAATTCGTTTTTTAATTAATAAATAAATTATAACGTTTAAGTTATAATAATTTTAAAATTAAAAAGTTTTATTCGTTAAAATTAATAAAAAAATATTTAATTAATTTAAAATAATTTTTAATTTATTAAATAATTAATACGTTTTTTATTATTTAATTTATATAAAAATTATTAATTAAATAAAGTTTTTTCGATTTAATTAATTATATTTTTTTAAAATTATAAACGTTTATTATTTTATAATTTAAAAATATAATTATAAAATATTTTAAATCGATTAAAATTAAAAAGTTAAAATTATTATTTTATTTTTATAATATTAATATATTTAATATAAATAATTTATTATTAATTATTATTAAGTTTAAATATAATATTTTTTTTTGCGGATTTTTTATTAAATTTTAAAAACGATTATTTTTAAAGTTTAATTTTTTAAAATTTCCGTTTTATTTTATTTTTTTTTTTATTTTTATTTACGTTATTTATTATTTATAAAAAATCGTTATAATTTATAAATTATAAGTTTTATTATAAGTAAAAATATAATTTTATAACCGGAAATTTTATTATTAACCGAAAAATGTTAATATTATTTATATTTAAAATTATAAATTTATTAATAATTTTTTATTATTTAAATAAATTATTTATAAAAAATAAAAATATAAACTTTAATCGTTCGAATATTTAAAATTTAATATTTTATAAATTATTATATAAAAAATTTTTATATTATAATAAATTATATTTTTAATAATTTTTATATCGTATATTTTTTTATCGTTTAATTTTTAAATATTTAATTTTAAAATAACTTTTTTTTTTATAATATAAATAAAGTTCGTTATTTAATTTTTTTAACGTTTAAATGTAAATAATTTTTTAACTTTTATTATATTAAAATTTATAAAGTTTTTTATATTAACATTTTTTTTTTAAGTTATTATATTTTTATAAAAAGAAAAAATAAATTATTAAAGTTAATAATAAATAATTTAAATATTTAAAATCGTTTTTATTTATAATATTATAAATTTATAATATTTTTTAAAAAAAAACGAAATATATTTATTTATTTTTTAAAATTCGTCGTATTTAATTAAAAATATATGTTTATTATAACCCCTTATAATTTTTAATTAATTTTAAATTTTAATTTAAAAATTTTTTCATAATTATTTAAATATAAATTTCCGAATATTTTTATAAATTTTATTAAAAATACGTTAAATAATTAATTTTTTTAAAATAAATTATTTATTTTTTAAAATATTTAAACGATTTTATTAATTATATCGTATATTTTTTTTAATATTATTATTAAATTTTTAACGTAAATTTATATTTAAAGTTCCGGTTAAACGAAAAAATTAAAAATTTATTTTATATAAAATTATATTTAAAAATTTATTAATTTTATTAATTAAAATATTACGTATAAAAAATAATTATAAAATATTTTATAAATTTCGGTTTTAATATATAATTTTAAATAAATTTTTAATTTTTAAGTTCGAAATAAAGTTTATTTTTTTTTTATATTTTTTTTTTTCCCGTTAAATTTAACGAAATTTTTAATTTTTATAATTTTATTTTTTTACGTACCGATTTTAAGTTTAAAAACTTTTACTTTTTTTTTATTTTTATTAATTATTATTTTAAATTTTTAAATTATAAATATTTAAGTTTATTTTATACTTTAAAAATAATTATTATTTTATTTTAATAATATATTATAATATTTAAAATAATAAAAACGTTATAAAAAAATAAAATAAAATTATAATTAACGTATACGGTTATAATTAAAAAATAAAAATTATTATTTTTATAATATTTTAATAAAATTTATATTAAATAAAATTAATTATTATTAAAAAATTATTTTAAATTTAAATTTAAGTTTTAATTTATTTATTTAAATTATTTAATTATATTAAATAAAATGTAATTTAAAATGTAAAATAATTTATAATAATAATATTTTATTTAATAAAAATTTTTTTTTTTATATTTTTTAAAAATTAATTATATATTATATTATAAAAATTTATATTTTAATTATTTTATTATTTAATATTTAATAATATATTTAATAATAACGTATATAATTACCGTATATAAATTAATTAATTATTTTATTTTTTAATATTAATAAATTAATATTTAACGTATTATTTTAAATTTTTTTTATTAATATATAAATTATTTTTAATAATAAATTTCTTTAATTAATAAATAATATTTAACGAAACTTTAATTAAAATTTTAAATAAAAAAATCGTTCGTAAAATTTTATTAAAATTTAAAATATTAAAATAATAATTAAAAAATAAATGTTACGAAATTTATAATTATTAATTAATAATAATTTTAAATTTTTTATATTTTAATAACGTATAATAATATGTAATATTATCGAATAATTTATAAAATTTTAAATAATATAAAAACTTTATTAAATAATAAATAAAATTTTTAAATAACGTTATAATATTAAATAATCGTAAAAATGTTTTAAAAAATATAATAAAAATTTTAAATAATAAAAGTTAATTTTATAATTATAACTGGTTTTATAATTATAATTAAATTGTTAAAAAATCTTAACTTTTTTCACTAAAAATATTAAAGTAACTGGTAAAAAACTAAAAGGCTGGGTATATTTATTATAAGGATAAGGCGTAACAAACTGTCACGAAATAAAACTAAAAAATTAAAAAATAATAACGTTATTACGCGAAAAGCTCTTAATACTCTCGCTATGGAGAATACGGTATATATATAAATAAAGCTCTTTATCCGTCCTATTCCTAAGACTAACGGCCAATAAGACCCTTACGGGGACTTAACGGGCCGAATCCCGATCTTATAAACCTCTAGTTACTGACTTGGAGGAAGACCGATGTCTAACACTCCTGAAATAGCCTCGAGTACCGAGCTCTTTCCAGAAGATTGATCGCCGCATACAATGATCTGCGGTAGAGAAATGTAGTGATCGATGCCCTGGAGGCGCAAGTGGTCGATAGAATCGAGGAGCTCGAGCTGATCTTTGGAGCAAAGACCGTTGAGCGTCTCTACGTTAAAAGCTAGCACCATCTTATCTCGTACTCTCAGCTCCCGGCTCAAAGTGCTGAGTGATTAGTTTGAAACGGCGGGCGTGATGGTAAGGTACCTAGCAGGTAGCTCTATGATAAATATGGTGGTCCTAGCCAGGTATAACCAAAATATAGTTATCTCTCATGAGTGATAGAGTCCCTAGGTATGTTTTCAAGGCTTCTCAAATAATGAAAATTAGTATGAAATATCTAGAATATTCTGTGTACTGGCATATCGTAAAATTTTAGTCGTAAAGATTTTGCTTTGATGGAAATGAGACATAGCCATGCAGGAAAAGACATAGGTATTTCGGCCTGAGTCCCATGATTCTCGCCTGAGGTTTTTCACGTGCTTTTTCTTCATAGGCTGCCCTAGCTTTAAGACAGAAAGCTGATAGGAACACGTAAGTGATGAAAAAGAAGCTTCTTGGTTGAGATTATTCTTCATTACGTCGTGTTTCCATAGACGTTTTCGCTCGTCAAGTTTTGAAAGTGACAGACAGGTATGATTGGGTGGTAATATTCTCAATATTGGAGCTATCCATTGGGGCAGCCGGTCTACTGTCACATTGCAGAGCGGCAGCAAAGAACAAAAATCGAGGTTTTCAAGTAGATAAGAGAGAACACCTATCCTTCAAGTTTTGGGTACCTATTCATAATTGGGTTTCTTTCCAAAGAATACCCGGATCAAAGGATCCATCATCGGTTAACTTTGATACATACCTAAGTCCCTACCCATCTACCTACACGTCCGAGTAGGTATATATATACATTTACCGACCAACCTATTTGACGAACGTACATCGGTGTTGGCAAGAAATCGAGCGTGATTCTCCCGCACATACTCGTTGGCACGGGTTCAACAAGACGGGCAATGCAAAACGTCCAGTTAACATTGTCGATAAATTACTGCAAGCTTAGACTTAGCATATGCAGACATGGGCCCAAGAAAATAAGACGATCGCCAGACTTAAGAGTCGACTTACTTGTTCCACTACCTGGATTTGCGTTATTCCAAACTCCTCCTCCCGCAACAAGATCGTTGGCTGTCACTGCCCGATCGTAACATGCACACTCCCACAGTATGTGATCTGGCGGGTTTCCTCCAGGCGTGTTGACAAAAGCGCCCTGAAAGTATTTACCACTTGGCAGCCAGGTTCCTGGGTATGTAGTATCGTTGCCCGCTAAGCAGATGCTACCACAGGTGTTAAGAACTTTAGTTTTATTGTTGCCGAGCCAGTCGGTCTTCTGAAAGCTATACAGTTCGTGCATGTCTGAAATGTTTGCTCTGACATGCCATATGCCTTCATTTCCTCGGTTTATGGTGGTTTGTGTGGCGAGTGCCGACGACGTACACCCCGTAGGCGTTGGCTTGTTGTTGACACGGAACGGTTCCGGCACATAGAAGCGTTTAACTGCCATTGCGCCGGTGGTAAAGGCGAAGAGAACGAGTGAAGTGAAACGCATGATGAATCAGTTTTGTAATATCAAAATACTGCCGTCTCGTGTTGAGCTGTACGGAATGAAAGAGCAGCGAAGTCTCGCATTTTATCACCATACATTTTGAATAGATATATACCTACTAGTATATTCCTTGCTGAGGAGTATGGATATTTAACCGGGGCTAAAAATAGTGATAGCGGTGCAGTTGGTTCCTAGCGATCGACTGGATCGTACGTCGCCTATAGTAATAGAACGGAATAGGCTGAGCTGGCTGAGATGAGATGAATGGTCACTACAAGGTTTCAGTCATGACTGTCCAATGGAACCCCAATAAACCATCGCACCATGGTCCCCGATCTCCGCCATCTTACCCCTGATTTACCCCTGATTCGGATTTCCGTACGTCAGATTCGGCCACTACCAATGCGATGATCAGAAATTCTTAAGATCTTCCAGTTTCCTTAATTACCCTATGCTTTCCCCCAGGATTACCCATAAATCATGAATGTTTTCTTAACGTTCCATTACCTATATATGAACCAAGCGCATTTTTTAGGTATGAAATTCCTTGGAAACGGCCACCATTTACCCCGTCCTACTATTTCAAAGAGAAAATGTGTCCCCAAAACGATATGCGAGGAATTTTCTTTTCATAAATGATCAAGAAGATCTTAGTATTGCGATCAGAAATGAACATTGGGCGGGCTTCGTCTCTCACGGGTTGAGCTGTTTAGAGATGTGTTAGCTAAACGTACACCTTGATCAAATATGCAACTGAAGAGGCCTCCGGATCTACACGAATGCACCATCTAGGATCATTGTAAGAGTGTATACCTCATCACGTAACGTGTGAGCTTTAACCATAAGAAGTAGCTGTAAAATGGGTAAGGAAGCTACCAATGAACCTGTCAGTATTGTCAGGTCAGTTTGGGAACTAATATGCTAGGTGCGGATTTAACAAGATTTCATTAGATACCTAATAGGCTATTAATTTATTATTCCCCCATAATATGTTCCTATTCGCTTTACAATCGGTTGTTCACGATATGGCTTAACTACGTTCAAACTAAATATAAGTATCATGGATGTTTGTTGGCGATTTAAAGATAAGAAATGAACAAAATTTTTTAAATTACGTAGAGATTCTTTCTCTTGCTATCTTATTACTCTGTCTTAAAGTATTTAATATTGAACTGCGAAAACAAAGCTCTATAGGTAGCAGGCTATGAGTGACGTCACGAGGCGGAAACAAAGAACAAGGAAACAATGACGTTGTTGCGCGAGGAGCTCTAAACTACACTCACTAAGAAGAACGCGGCATATATACCTAGGCAGCTAGGTACAAATGAGGCTCTTTGTCTGTTCTATTCACAGGGTTAGCGACCAACGGGACCTTACGGAATCAACGGGGACTACTTTTAATAAGTGGGAATTGTTAATGTACTTAGTTATAATGATTGTTGTAAGATGTGAGCGAATAGTCGAGTAACATTTTTTAAAAGTTTGTAGTTAAGACTTTTTTACTTATTACTTAGTTAGGCACTAGGTACTTACCTACCTAAGTAAATAAATAAAATATGACTATTCGAAGAATTTGTTTATCTCTCTTTTACTTCATTTACATCAAGATCGTATCCTGGAAACTAATGAGACGACCTCAAATCTTTACGGTAGAGTTGATGATAAAGTAAAGGATAGGAGGATGAATGATTGCTTGAACCGAACCTAAAGGAGACTAGTACATGCAAATACATGCAAAGATGCAAAGATGTCACATTGCACGGGATTCCTTGAAAAAATTCAGCAAGACAGTGTTACGTAGGTATATTACTTCACTCGTCCAATGGAAGTCCTCTCTACGGACCTATTGTCGTTATCGTATGCATGACTCCAATATTCTCTAAGACATTGACAGACATTAATTACAGGGCTGAGACTCTTTAGCACTTTTTATTCGCTTAAAGCATCGAAGTGTGGTAAGACAGTATATAAATCTATAAGTGGACTTGTTCATTACCCCATTTGAAATTATATACTTATTTTTCACGGTCTTATCTTATTTAGTATGTATGTAGGTACCTATTAATTGTTGGCTTATGTACATATTATCGACACCCACTTCCCCGGAGCTTTCAAGTTCAGGGGAAGGTACATGGGTTGTACCTGCAAGCTGCAAGGGCATTAACGTAAAGAGTTAAAAGTTGCAGGGTACATAGGTGGTAGGGACTTGGCAAGCGAGACGCTAGCGGCACATTAGGATATCGGGCTATCGGGTTGCTGGGATACCTGGCATCCCACCCATACACGCTTCTACATAGTAACCTAACTACTTGCTGGCGAAGGTGGGCAAATTGTGAACGCGTATGGAGGACTTGAACTCCCTTTCTGCTTCTTAATAAGTGGCGTCCCGACGCGGTTCCTCAAAATTTGCGGAAGTCCCCTAGCGACCCGTCTTTTATGTTGGACTAAACTTGAACTTACTATTACGTACCTACTATATACCTGTATATATGTAGGTACCTAGTAGCATGTACTACTATTGTGTAATAGATGTACCTATATATGTAATGATCAAAGCTCACCAAAAGCCTACTTTATTCATCTAGACAGCTGTTAGGCAGACTCATAGCTAAATTAATAGCGCTTTGACCTCCAGGACTCTTTCTCCCCAAAGAACATTGGAGATCAAATTACGATCCAATACCTAGTATCAGCCTCCTGTTGTTTATTGGTGGCACTTTCTTTAACCTTGTCTACCTATTTGTGTTAGGAAAGTACTTAGTACGTGTAAGCAAGGTTTGTAATAATAACCCGAAATCTAATATTGACTTGGTTTTTTTTCTTCTATTCTACCACGAACCCTCCCTCTCCTTTCTCGAAGATTCGTCACATCGATTGTACATTGCACCGGCTCAACATCATTTACGCCGTCTTTGTCAACGGCTGCCATTACTCGTCTTGAGTTTAGGGTATCTGGCAGATGCACTCACTATCTTAACCCGCACCGCCTTACCACTGCACCAACGCACCGCCGCGTTATCGTCAAAATGGACGAGAAGCGTTTATCCGGTGCTACTGGTAGCAGGCTCAGTGCCATCCCTAGACCGACGTCACGGCTCCCTGTGCCTCGATCGAGTATTTCGAATGTGTCAGCTGTCACTTCTACGCCTCAAACACAACAACCTACTGAGCCCACACGCGGACGTCCGACCCAATCGGTGAATACGAGTGAGGTTCGAAATCCTCGATTACGCGCGACAGCTTCAAGAGAACATATTGGTGCACCAGGCGCACCATCGACAGTACGCAGAACCCAGAGGTCGGCCGCACCACCCATAAGCTCACAGGCCAATCGCCGAGACCTGGGTACTGGAAGTCGTAGCGTGTCTCGCGGATCTGGGCACGTCGCTGGAAAAGATAGTCGAGATATCCGTGACGACTCTTTCAAGAAACCCTTGGTCCCCCGACGACGACCTTCAACTCAGTTTACTATTGCCTCTCCCACGCCATCAAACCAAGGGGCGTTATCGCCCGAAGAAGATGACGATGTAGCTGTCGAATCGCTTCCACCGCTGATGAGGTCTTCCGACGACGACGTTACGTTTGATACCCTTATGTCGAAACCGAGGAAGCCTCGCCCGTCACTTACAGAGAGAACGATGGAGACACTTTCGCAGTTACCCTCGTCTCCTGCCTTTAAACGACGTGGCAGTGACTTTTTTGGGACTGAAGCACCACGGAGACCTCAATCTAAGGGAAGCATGGGATCGAGGTCAAGAGCAGGCTCGAGACCTGGCTCTAGTTATCAGTCCGATGGTTCGACCATACGACCAGCTAGATCCTTAAGTCGGCCAGGATCTAGCTCGGGTCAAGTAGACAACCACTACCCCAACTTCCGAGCCTCCACCAACACCTACAAGCCGCCTCTATCAACTGTCGTAGGAACTCCAACAAAAAGGCCATCTGCTACCGGATCCAGGACTCCCCGGCCTGGCTTAAGCAAAGCTCCGTCTCGGTCTTCGTTGTCGGGTTCGGTTGGCCCGTCGACGCCGAGTCCAACCAAGCATCTCGATGCTTCCGTCTCTAGGCTCGGGTCGAAGACCGTTTCTACCCGTCCCCTCAAGCCGAGGGCCTCGATGAATAACCTATACAGACAACCCTCGTTACCATCACTGGATAGATCGATCTCGGATGTGCCACCAGGCCCCTATCGCAAAGCTTCGCTTGTGTCCGCCAAGTCTTCTAGCACGTCTGGTGATGGCCGTAACCTTTCAAGTGCCTCCACTGCTTCTACGGCGTTGACAGTGGACTCTATCGAGGAAGCGCCCGCGTCTGCGGTTAGAAAGTCGTCTGCCGCACTGCGGGACCAGATTGCAAAGGCAAAAGCCGCGAAGCGAGCTGCGTCACGGCAGGCTTCGGTAGCTATGAGACCCGAAGCCGAGGAAGCCCCCGTCGTTCCTACAGACACTACATTTGATTTCGGGCTGTCCGATGACCCTTTCGGCCAACGTAGATTCGAGAATGCGAACCGCCAAGTTATGCAATCTCGAATTGATACTGCAAGAACTACTGGAAGACTTAATATTGCAGCTATGGGTCTTAGACAGATCCCTGTAGAAGTTTTGAAGATGTACGACTTGGAGTCCGTGGATGGCCCTGGTAGTGCATGGGCCGAGAGTGTGGACCTGACCAGGTTCGTGGCCGCCGACAATGAGCTAGAAACTATCGACGATGCCATCTTCCCAGATTCTGATCCGAATGATTTCTCAAGCGAAGAGGAATGTGAGGGGCGCATATTCGGCGGACTGGAGTCCTTAGACTTGCACGGTAATATGTTAATAGCTCTACCTATGGGCCTGAGGCGTCTCCAGCTACTCACTTCGTTAAACTTGGTAAATAGTCCCCTGCTTCTCACATTGCCTAGATTAGGACGCGAGCTAATTATCTAGCAGGCGTCGAATAAACTTACGAATAATTGCCTCGAGGTAATCTCGCAGCTGAGTACGGTTCGAGATTTGAAGCTCGGCAATAATCTTCTTTACGGCCGTATGGAAGAGAACTATTTTTCTAACTTGCAAAATCTCGAGATCCTTGATCTGCACGGCAATAATATCTCATCTCTGCCAGATGGTATCGATAAGCTGGGGCGCCTCCGCATGCTTAACTTGAACGAGAATGCTTTCGAGACATTGCCATTCGGAAGTCTCTCGATGCTCCCGCTTACTGAATTGCTGGCTCGCAAGAATAAACTCTCTGGGACACTGATAGGCCCTGGCGTAGAAGGCTTCCCGCAGCTTCAGATACTCGACGTGGCGGCTAACCAGCTACAATTGATTGTAGACGGCGCTCAACCTTTGGAGCTGCCATCGCTCCATCAGTTTACCATATCTTTGAACCGCATCGTATCACTTCCCGATGTGAGTTCCTGGGCCAGTCTCCTCACCATCAATGCGGACGAGAACAGCATAACTGCCTTCCCAGAAGGCTTTACCAGTCTCCGAAACTTGCGCCATGTTGATTTTACCAGCAATGATATTCGGGTCATCCCACCAGAGGTCTCTCGGATGGACAGTATCGCAATGTTGCGAATCACTGGCAATCCTTTAAGGGATAGGAAGTTTACGTCGCTCACGACAGAGGAGCTGAAGGATGTGCTGGCGGCAAGGATGGAGCCGGCAAACCAGCCTGAAACCGGCGGAATGGTGCATTTTGGAAATGGATCCTCGGCCGCTCCACCTGTCAATAATAGTAGCGCGAGCTTAGTCGCGCCAGCAAGCGGTGATGACGACGACGAGGGACGCTTGACAGATGTTGACGACTTTGCTACGCCACCGACCTCAGCACCTCCTTCTCCGGCTCGTTCTCGATCTCACACACTGACTAGCCAATCGTGGCCTATGAAGCCAGGCGGTCTTCTTGATCGGTCGGATACGCAATCATCTAGTTTACATCCGGTCATTTGCTCCAAGATTTCTGCGGCTCATACTGTGCGTGAAGTACGCCTCCAGCAAAATACCTTTACCCAATTTCCGAACTCGTTGTCCTTTTTTACGGATACGATTACCTCCCTGTCGATGGCACAGAACCAGCTTACGGGAGAGAGCTGGTTAACGGAGCCGATTGATCTTACGGCTCTCCGAGAGCTTTCTCTAGCTTCAAACTTCATCACAAGCCTTACGCCTCTCACGACAAATCTCTGTGCACCGAATCTAGTGAAGGCAGACTTTTCATTTAACAGAATAGTAAAACTCCCGGTCCTGCGGGAGTTCTTCCCAAGCCTCACCATCCTACTTGTCTCCAATAACCGCCTAGAAGAGCTTGACCCGGAGTCCATCAAAGGCATGAAAGTGGTGGACGCTAGCAATAACGAAATTGCGCATTTGAACCCACGTATCGGGCTCCTCGGCGGCACGGGCAGCCTCGAGAAGTTGGAGGTTACCGGAAACCGCTTCAGAGTTCCTAGGTGGAATGTGCTGGAGCGAGGGACCGACGCAACGCTCCGGTGGCTCAGGGGTCGCGTCCCAGTTGCCGAAATGGCCGAGTGGAAGGCAAGATCGGGGGAAGCTGAAGAGGATAGTTCCAACGAGGTTGATTGATATTACCTAATAAATTAATAGACCAGAGCCGGCAAATGACAGCCACTGTATTTCTGGTTGAGGCGTCTTGGGTGGTTATGATGCGATACCCTGCCGGCATATCCTATGCCGTGATATAGATACTAGGTCCCGTTCGCACGACACTAAGGGAGTTGGTTGAATTGGGGGGTTTGAGAATGCATACTGGTTATGGAGTTTGGGGAAAAGGAGGTGAAGCCTTACGAGAACAAAAACCAGTCATGTGAACTGTTAATATTTGCGTGTACGAATAAAAGGTGTGAATTTGCCCTATTATTCTTATGGAAGTTTCGACTGGTATATAATAATTGTGTGCATTCAAGAGCATTCAAGATATCTGGATTTGTCTACTAGGCATATATCGAAAAAGCCGCCTGGGCATGTTTATAGCGTAGATTCAGCATATTACTAATAAGTACCTAATAGGTACTACCTACCAACCCACCTACATACCTACCTGGTAGGTACCTACATAGTAGTAGCCCTACCTAATAGTACTACTAAGTACCTATCTATGTAGGTACCTAGGACCTAGGTAAACTTTCAACCCCAGCGGGTCTTGCTAGCGGCATCCATAATGTATCACTGGGCAATTGCACCAGGTACGATTCGAGGTTACAGGTACCTAGGTAACCAGCCTTCAAGTTTTTCAGGGCAACCAGGATCAAAGTTTTAGTGGATTCTAGGTAGGTGCTGGTCGTTGGGGGACCAATCGACATCGTTCTTAGAAAGTTTTCCCATCCACCTCATCCACTTTGCACTTCACATTTCTCCACTTACACGCAAACGTCCTCTCTCGTTTACCTACCATCTACAGTCTACACACCTACCACCGACATTCCCTCGAGTCTTCATACATCTTCGTTCAACAAGTCTGATGTGATAATCGAGCTTGTACCAAGATCTCTCTCCCCCTTCTCATACATTTTTTTTTATCTTGCCCCCCGACCCTTCGAGGCATCTTTTGATCTCTTCCCAGGAGCGTATATCACCTTGGACTTAAAAACGCTTCCCCTGTTACCGCCTCGTATACGGGTACCTTTTTCTCTCATCACCAGTATCATTTCGAAAACATAGAATACAATTTTTGTTCACAGTATACTTCAATATTCTACTTTATTTGGTATATTAACAACGAATGCAATTATGTTTGCGGACACTGATGCGATAACCTCACGCCCGAACGGCATTGGCGCCGGACTCGTAGAGAGCGAATATGACCACATTCCTTCCACGCCGCCTGATGTTATGGCCATCCCCCATTCTGCATCGCAACAATCCATCCCTTCCACTGAAGCGCCAAATTCACCCGTCGATCCTCACTCTCCGTTCAAGGCGGAATTAAACGACGATCACAATCCGTCCTCCCAGGTCATTCCCTCATCCTTGACTCCGCCTCCCTCGTCCCAAGTTCCCCAGACGAACGGTGCCTCTGGCATGCCTCTAGGCTATGTTAGTTCCCAAAGAGCTAACATGTTTTCCCCACCCGCCACGATACCACGATCCCTCGTTCGCGATACCGGCTCTACATCCGATTTTGTTGCTCCAACCTCAGATCAAATATCAGACGGTTCGGCTGATGAGCTTCGTGCTATGGTTCAGGCATGCCTCGCCGAGAATGCGAGGTTGAAGATGGAGACAGCACATCATAAGCTGCAATATAGTTTACTTAGCATTCAGGCTGATGAAGATGCGAAGAGAGCCGCAGTAGAGCATGATATGACACGGCGGGAGGTGGAGGTGTTGCGTATGACGGAAAACTCCCGCCAGGCTCGTCGTGAGCTGAACGCGGCTGCCGAATCGACGCAGGTCAAGTATCGTGAACTCCAAGCTCAGCATGAAAATACTGCCAAAGAGAACGAAGCCCTTCAGAAGCGCATTAAGTCTGCTACCAAGCTCATCCAACAGCAGAGCGAGGAACGAGACGGCTTAGTCGAGGAGCGGGATATGCTCCTCAACCGTATCCGCGAGAACCGAGAACATTTCCACATGCTTTGTAGCCCTGGTGGGGTGTTCCACGGGGCTCTAACACCTAAAACCCCAGCAGCTGCTTCCCCACAGCAGTACCGAACCACACCACGCCAGACGCCTAAATCTGCAAATCGGGATGTCCGTCCTGATAATTACAATAATCAGGTCGGGTTCGCCGCCCTGCTTCAGGCTCTGAGTCACGACAATAGTGCGCCGTCGACCCCGACTGCGGCCAATCGCCCAGCCCTCCGAGCACCACCAAGACATACCCGCGGCGTTCAATCTCTATCTTCTCTTCCCACTACGCCAACCTCGCGCGCTCGCGGAGAATATTCAGCTCTGTTACCCTCGGTCGATTTAGTACCGCAAACCGAACCGCCGAATCGATACGGTAACAGTCGGTTTGCTCTTGAGACTCCGGTACAGAAAAGAGGGCGTCAGAGCCGGGAAAGCACCATCTCTGCCGATGACAACAATGAAGAGTTGGCTCGCGCGGCTCTGGAATCAGTAGCAGCGGCCACGCAATCATATATGTCACAGGAATCGCGAGCTTCTCAGCGGCGGGCCGAGAACGAAGAGATTTTCGAGAGCCAGGCTAGTCAAGCGGCATCCGAAATGCTTCGTCGCGATCCACGTGAGAGCTTCGAGGTTGCCAGTTCGGTCGGGTCTCGCGATGGCACACCGGTACCGTCCGAAAAAACTGCCAAACTACAGTCGAAGCTCTTTGCGGGTCTGAATAAGGCAGGCCTTGCTTCAGAGAAGAGGAAGTTCGGCAGCGGCGCAGATAGTGGTGACACCCGACGAGAAAATGTCATGAGTCCCACGAAGAAAATTAGGTATGGGGCCGGGAGCGAGGCAAATGCTCGGGTTGGCCTAGGAATTCGCTACAGCCAGGAGGCTTAAAAAGCCTTGGATGATAACCCTTGATTATCTCCTTGAAGGCTGAAAGGTGGTTGGACATCATTTGGGGGAATCAATGGCTTTGGTATGATGATATGGTTCTCGCTTTGGACCCGGATGATGACGGCGTGAAGGGATGGATGATGAATGTATTATACCCCATTTTGATGTCACGGCGTTTGGCTCCGGTTTCATTTCGTGCTCAGAGCTAGCTACGGTGTACAGCAGCTTAGCGGAATGCTCCTATCGATGAATTTGATTGATGGACTATATACCTACCTAGGTAGATACGTAGAAACATGATAGGCAAATTGACATAATAGCTCCTAGCTACGAGTTTTCCTATTGATATCATCAAATAAACCTAATATGAAACGTGAGCGGTTCTCAAAATATACAAAGATTAGACCTTGAGTACCTAGGTAATCATCATTTCATACCATTATATCAATGAAAAAGGGGGTTTTCTAACTACCTAGGTATGCATGCATTTCAACGGTTATAAATTGATGGTTTAAGAATTATTTTTATGCAATGAATTCAAAGTTTATAAATCGAGGTTTTAATAGAACCCCTCTCCCCCAAAACCCCCAGCCCAGCCCCAGCCCCAAAACCTTAACGCCATAGCCGAAGCCGCACCTAGACTTAAAGTTATGTAGCTCTGTAGACTTGGTCGCCTCGTCGAACAAGCAAACAATTGTGACATTCACGACAACTTCCACTCCGGTTCCCTTTTATTGCACAACTCCACCTAGCCTCTTTGGGACTCATCTCTCCCATCACGATGGGTCACCTCGTAACTGTCGCGACTTGCTCACTAAACCAATGGGCCCTAGATGTAAGATTCCCGCAACCGAATATAATCTCAATAGCCATCGACATCGGCCTTTAGCGAGAGACTAATAACGATATGCAATAGTGGGAGGGAAACGCTCAACGTATCATCGAGAGCATACAAAAAGCCAAAGCAGCTGGTGCACGGCTACGTGTCGGGCCAGAGGTAAGTCTCCCCCTTTCGGGCCAGGCTTGATCTTCTTACATGACAACCCTTTTAACTCGGGGCTGGTCAGTTAGAAATATGCGGCTACGGATGTCTCGATCATCTGATGGAGCAGGACCTCTACCTACACTCCTTGGAGATGCTTAGGCTTATCCTCCTTGATGAGAGTTGCCATGGAATATTATTGGATATAGGCATGCCTATCCAACATAGGAATCAACGATTTAATTGCAGAGTCATATGCCTCAACTCTAAGATACTCATGATCAGGCCTAAGATGTGGCTTGCAAACGACGGAAATTACAGGGAAATGAGATTTTTCACCCCGTGGATGCACCCGCGAGAGGTCGAAGATTATCACCTACCTCGTATGCTCCAGGAAATCCAAGGGGCTATACATGTACCATTCGGCGATGCCGTTATTTCCACCCCGGACACTTGCATGGGCGCGGAGACTTGCGAGGAGCTCTTCACTCCCGCAGCACCTCATATTCCCATGAGTCTCGACGGTGTCGAAATAATCACAAATTCTAGCGGGTCGCATTTCGAACTTCAGAAACTTGAAACTCGACTTCAGCTGATAATGGAGGCTACTCGAAAATGTGGAGGTTAGTGCCAGTTGTTCGGCTCCTCATGACACTGTCTTTGTTTATGTCTATAATTTATATTCCTTATTTGTCAACAGATCGTTCGTTTGTGGCACATGCTAACCTTCGGCCGTGGCTTAGGCATCTATCTTTATGCTAACCAACGTAACCATCCCAGACTCCGGTCAGAGAGACAGGCGCTAACATAATTGTAGAGGGTTGCGACGGTGACCGGTTATACTATGATGGTTCGGCCATGATTATTGTGAACGGGAACATTGTTGCCCAGGGTTCGCAATTCAGTCTCAACGATGTTGAGGTGGTAATAGCAACCGTAGACCTAGAGGAAGTCCGTGCCTACCGATCAGCTATCTCTCGAGGCCTACAAGCCGCCAGCTCCAATGCGAAGTATAAGCGTATTCAAACCACATTTGAGCTCAGCTCGGAGGAAGACGATTTCGACGTCGGAAAGCGTCCATCGCCGCCAATAAAGCCCCGGTATCATACGGTGGAAGAAGAGGTTGCCCTCTCCGCAGGTTGTTATCTATGGGATTATCTGAGGCGTTCCGGCGTAGCAGGATACCTAGTCCCTCTAAGCGGTGCGTGTCGTCATGGACTTCCTTCCCATTTACACATCGGACTAACTTGTATAACATAAAAGGGGGCATAGATTCTTGTGCTACGGCAACTATCGTTTATGTGCGTATCTTTTTTCTTTTCCAGTTCCTATTTGATGGCTGTTTCGCGAGTAGAAGAACTCTGGACAGTGTGTTTTTTTTCGCGTCGCTACTCTCGGGATAGATAGAAGCCGCTAACACGTGCTATCACAGTCCATGTGCCGTATCGTGATGGACGCTATTAGAGAAGGAAATGCTCAGGTAATTGAAGACGTTAAGAGACTCGCTAAGTACAAAGGTGAAGATATTCTTCCTGATACACCCCAAGAACTTTGCAACCAGATATTCTCAACCATATACATGGGCATGAAGGCGCAGAGTTCCCGCGAGACGAGGGCGCGAGCGAAGAACTTAGCAGAAGCTATAGGGAGCTATCATGTTAACCTAGACATTGACAACATCTATAATGCCCAGAAGGCACTAGTCGTTAACACGCTCAACTTCGAACCGAAATTTAAGGTCCACGGCGGCAGCCAGCAAGAGAATCTCACGTTACAGTGTCTCCAGGCGAGAATTCGTATGGTTACGGCCTATGAATTCGGGCAGATCTTGCCGACCGCTCGAAGTAGACCCGGCGGCGGAAGCTTGCTTATCCTTGGAAGTGCGAACGTAGGAGAATCTCTACGCGGCTACCTAACAAAGTACGTTCTTAACTCCAGTAGACTTTTATTATGATTCTGACATTCTTTCAAGATATGATTGTTCAAGGTCGGTGAATGGAATATTCTATACTACAAACTACACTCATTGACATTCTCCGGATCTAGTGCCGACATCAACCCAATCGGTTCCATCGACAGTACGTGTCCCCTTCAGCCTAGACTCTGACTCGGCAGTTATCGATATTATATTACTAAAAAGAGTGAATAAGTACTAATCCTCAATATCGTTGCAGAAGCCGATTTAAAACTTTTTATAGCATGGGCCGAGAAAAACTTCAGCTTGCCATGCCTACACGATTTTCTCACTGCTACGCCGACTGCCGAGCTGGAACCTGTGACGGAAACGTATGTTCAGAGTGACGAGGCAGATATGGGAATGACCTATGCCGAGCTCACGATTTTTGGACGCCTGCGCAAAGAAAACAAGCTGGGACCTTTTGCCATGTTCCAGCGACTTGTTCACGATTGGAGCGCTGATCGCGACAAGGGTCCTGACGACGATGCCCCCGAGTACACGCCCGCCCAGGTAGCGGAAAAGGTCAAGCGATTTTTTCATTTCTACGCGATTAACCGCCACAAAATGACAACTCTCACGCCTGCTCTACACTGCAATCCGTATTCTCCAGATGATAACCGGTTCGACCTCCGACCCTTCTTGTATCCCTCGTTCTGGAAGTCGTGGTCATTTAAAAAGATCGATTGGGAACTGGAAAAGATTGAGAAGCGCATGGCGAAGAGATGACCCTGTACCGAATAAGCTAGCCTTTTATTACATGAGATATAAAATATATCGATTACAGAGCTGTTACTTAGTGTCACGAGGCGGAACCAAAGAACTAGGAAACAACGACGTCGTTGCGCGGGGAGCTCCTAACTCCTCTCTCTATGGAGAATACGGTATACGTATAATAAGCAAAGCTCTTTATCTGCTCTGCTTCCAGGACTAACGACCAATAAGACCCTCGGGGACCTAACGGGGGCTGAACGGGGACTCTACGGGCCGAATCGCGATCCCATAGACCTCTAACTAGCTACCAACCTGGAAGAAGACCAGACGTCTGACACTTAACATCAACTGGTAAAAACATACAAACGTTGCCTATCGATGAAGGGCCATGCTAAGGCTCTGGGTTAGAGGCCGAAATAATGGAAGATGTATGTATCCATGGATGTGTAAAAGACTTCAAGCTAGTCTCACGATAGGATACGTAAAATCGCATACTTCTTTACTTGCTTCGTAGAAACCACGAAAATAAAATGTGCTTCAGGCATAGATTATTATTCTTGGGTACCTAGTAAGAATCAGGTGGCTGTCTTATTATTCACTAGGCAGCTAGGTACCTATCGAGTCTGCTGAGTACATCTTTGCCGCCGTAACAGATTCTGCTGTCGCTATTAAGAATCTCGGAGATGATAGAAATTCCGACATTTTCGAGGGCTTCCTCGTAAGGGGAATATGGGAAGGCCATTTCACGAACTCGCAAGACGACTTCCTACCTAGGTAATGCCTTTGCTAGTAAGATTAATTGAATAGGAGGTTATCGTTGAATTCCCCGAATTTTGAGTCTCTATACTAAAAAATGTAGTTCGTCGATGGTTTAACTTGTTGGGAGGATTTATATGATTACCTAGGTATAAGAAGTTTAGATAACCTCATACACTACAAGGTAGACACGATAACAATGATAGACTAAGTACCTAAGGAAAAAAAGCCCAACAATGGCTTACCATTGACACATACTTGGTTGGGTACATACTGTATATTATCCCAATCATTAAATTGTGAATTAATATAATTCTCGTAGAACTTAGCACATAGATCGTAAGACATGGTGAAAATACCCCCCTAGCGATGATCCCTCGGGTTTGCCGACAACATGTCTATGACCAATTCGCGTGATTATAAGCTGGAAACAGAGAGAATCTTCGCCGGTGAATTTCTTACGCATAAACGGGGGTGATTTCGGACTAAAACTAACCTTTGAGGTCCGGTGACTGCATTGGTAGTACTCTCAGGGGTCGTAGTTCTCCGTATTCCACGCCTAACGCGTGGGGGCTATATTAAACCGATTGGCTACCGCTATGTGTAAGGTCTCATGATGAATGACAATGCCCTTGCTATATCTGTGGAGCAGAAGAAAGCCCTCGTGAGTATAGTCCCTACCTAGGTAGGTATTCGGTATTGATATTGCCTAGGCGATCAGAATTTGGCTGAGGTCGGCGAGCATTGAGTTGTACCTGAATTGCAGAAACTTGAATAATACAAAACAAAATTTAACAACAAATGCGAATGTAATCCATTATTCTCGTAGTAAAACGCTATGGTTGCCGTACCGACCGGTTTCCCAGGGGTAAAATGTAGAACCTTGAGGGCCACGACCACGACTTTTTAAACCCTGGTGGTTTCCTCATCCGTAATTCGTAGTCCGTCACCCGCAATTCGTCTCGATACTCTTACGCGCTCAGAAGAAAAAAAATCTTGCAATTTGAAACGACAGATCTCTTCACGATACAAAAGGGGCGCGCATCCTCATCCACCCCTAAAAACCGATAGTCCCACTATCCAACCATCCGTGTTAGTTAATCCTCACATAAATTCGGCAACGGACGAATGGAATAAGAATGGGACTGGAGTTCCAATACTCTGAACTCCAACAAGTTTAGAAAGTTGTAGGCTCGGTGTCTGAATGGTGCCTCGGCTCATCCCACGTCAACATGTCTAAAGCCGGTCTTTCCACGCACATACATACACATGTAGAGGATATATTGATATCACTAGCAGGGTCAGAATCATCAGACCTCACCAGACCTTCTACATGCTGATTAGACCTGCCCACTTGCTACTCCTAGGCATATCTAGCCAAGACGCCTCAAGGAGTTCCAACCAAGCAGGGAGCAGAAGCAAGTATGATCCGCATATGTGGCCTAGTCGGACTGCATCTCTTTGTCCAAGGAGTACCAACAAGTCCGGTTTATGAATTATACGAAACCGCACAGTGTAAGATCTATGGGGTAACTTGACAGCGAGATCAAAACAGGTTGATGTTTTATGGATCCTGTCCTCTGTGATCCGAATTACTGCCTACCTTTTATGTTAAACTTATGCTGAACTTAATGGAATACTTGGGCTTGATGACAATACGCCGGAGCCTCGAAAGACAAAAGCTTCGTGGTGGTTAATAAAGAGCGAGTCTACCTACCTACCTACCTACCTACCTAGTAGGTACTAGGTAATCATAATATTGCCACCGAAACTGGTCCGGGGGGACTTCAAGGAACGCAATCCCTTGCAGTCCTGTCTGGCTATTTATTCTATCCACTAACCTACGGCGTGTACCATGGACTTTTGATTTATTACCTGTAGAAAAGGGAGTTTAGATGTACGTGCCTAGTAGGTAGGTAAATGTTTTCCGCCAACCACAATTGTTGATCCGGTAGATGGAAAATTGATGTTATATTCAGTGATCAGATGGACTTTTTTGAACTGCCTAGGTAATCTAGTTCTATCATCTATTCGTAAGATATTTCCAGAAAACCGTGACACATCCCTTTCCAGAAGTGGGAACATGGTAAGGGTAATGTAGGCGATTAACCTTTTTGTCGAAACGAAGTAGAGTCGTGTTGTCATCATGAAAATAGCATCGGCAGGTAAATATGTAACAAAAAATCACCATCTAGAGAGGTGCTTTCTATGCCAATCCCCATGCCAATTTAACTAGGTCAGTACTCACATCGCGACATTCATTGGCTCCTTACCACCGAGTTCATTAGTCAATGAATACTACGAGTATCGGCACAAGAACATCAAGCCGGATTACAAACAAAGCTAACACGGCATACAGGTAAATCAGGTAAATCAGGTAAGGTTAGGTCGGTTCTTTGGGAAGTGAAGTTTTACGCTGTAAGAAAATTTTCCGCTGATGTCGATGTTGCATGTAACCCCTTGCAGGTCTACAGCTGTTAGGCAGTGAATATCTCCGGGTTCCCAACTATGGCACACAGTGTTAGCCTACTGCGTACGAATCTAGATTATCCCTTGTCGCCAAGACTGCCTGACGCATCGCTACCCATAGTTTAGCTGCCATTGAAGCAATGTTCGAATGGGCATTAGAAAGCAGACATCATACTGCGTACCGTATAACTGCGGGACATGTTGCAATCCTGAGTTTCGATGTTGCTATTTTCCTACTTTCGTCCACACTTGTTGATCCTGGTTCTAAGGTAGCTAGATACCTGGTAATAAGTGTTTGACGGAGATGCCCCCTATAGCATTTCCTACTTACTATGTAAGTGTCTAGATAGGTAATCAAGTGTAGGTACCTACTTTTCTTAGTTTCTAATCCTCTGATTTACCCAAGCTGTTGGGTAATCTTCAAAAGGGAATCCGCTGAGCACGTTGGCTTAGAATTATCTCGTCTCTCGGCTTGCTTCTTAAGAGTCGCATTGCTATCTAGTCTCTAGGCAGGCTATGATAGGCGTGTTTCACTTGCATGAGCTGAGAGCTACCTAACTTATTTCATCCAAGCAGCTACCTCTACGTACATACCTAGAGCTAGAAGTGACTATGCTGTGATGCCGTTTCAAGCGCACACCGTGGGAAGCCGATATCAATCCAACCCACGTAATGTACCTAGTAGATTAGTAGCGGATGCTGAGCTCGGATCTCAATGTGTTAGTTCATTGGACCCCGTTTCTACTTACGATACCGACAGCTGGATTCTATTTGTCAAGCGAGCTCAAGCGGATCGAGCAACGCGTGGGCATCCTGATATGGTCCCGAGGCGTCGTATATCACCTGCAGGCCAAGTCTGTGGGGCTCTCGAAGGAGCCAAAACTCGGAGAAGACCGTCCAAACAGCAGTTATCGGATACCGCACCTGACCACACTCCCGCAGCCTCGATCAGCATAAGATCCCACGCCTCTGATCAGAAACGTAGCAAATCCCGTTCGAGGGCGACGCCACGAACTCGACTAGCGTATAGTGTATAAGCCGACAAGTGTAGGGATGACAGAGGACGGCAATGGGGGGAGGCGCATCGAGGGAAAAATTGGAAGTCGGGCTTAACAGGTGGGAAAACGTACGTAGGCTTGGCCGGCGGCGACGATGCGGAAATTAAAATTGGTAAAAGGGGAGAGAAATGTGCGTCATACGAGCATGGCGAGGAGCTTCTCTCCAGAGCCGCTCTATAGATTCTCTGACGCCACGGTAGGCGGAAGCTCTAGAAGATATTAGTGAAGCTATGGGTGAAGCTCTCTCGACATCCCTGCCGATCGATACCTAGGCATACATTAGCTGGGGTTGCACGACTTCGACGTATTGAATATCCCCCGCACTAATCTCTATCCTATTCGGTATCACGATCTGAATGGAGGGTCAGCATGTGATAGCAAGCCGCTCAAGCCGCGTAAAGCGCCAACTCACACACCCACACCCACATCCACGCCCACGCACACACCCTCTCACACACCCTCACACACACCCTCACACACACACACACCCCCCACGACAACCGTGGAGATAGTTAGCTGTAGACGATCGAGAAGGGCGAAGGTGACGTTGGGAGGATTCCCGACACGACTATTCCTCGTAGCTAAAACGACTATTTAAGGCCATCAAGCTCCCCCCTTTTTTGATAGATTGGAATAGCTACAGAGACAGATAATAGCTTCGTACAACCACGAGACCTCATATATCAAACATATTTCGCCTATATATAAACTTCGGTTTCCCCCCAAGCTACCTACATTCAAAATGGAACCCGCCAGCTGTGGATGCGCTACTTGCTCTTGCTCTGACTGGTAAGCTCTCAATTCCCTTGCATGTAGTTCACATCTCTCTTCCCTTTCTCTGAAATGTTTATGGCTAACGTCGGACTAAAAAATACAGCAACTCCTGCTCCTGCTGCGTAAGCACCCCCTCCCTCCCATAAGACAACTCTGATATGCCGTCTCCTCAACTCACACGTACGTACAGAACCACTAAGCGCAGCACTACTCGGTTCGGAAACGATAAGTCTTTGCAGGATTGAGAGAGAGAGAGAGAGAGATGAGTATGGTATGAGGATCAATTGAGAGATTGCAGGGGATGTATACATCAAGGGGTGGTGCTTGCTTTGCACGAGACTCCCGTCGCTCGAGTCGTTCGCGCCGCATGTGGTAATAGTAGATTGGCTAGTCGCGTCGGGAGAAATATACGCTCTTTTCTTTGAAAATCCATTGTTCTATCATGCTTGCATATGGGTATCATTATGCCAACCTGCACCAACGCCGTCTATCTCGTATGCCGTTGTTCGTAAATTCATTCATTAGAGGGTGCCCAATTGATTAGCCAACCCCTTGCCCTGTCTAGATTGGGGCCCTCAGCTTCGCATGCCGCAATACACCACTCTATATCCCAGTCGTCTTCGGCCGCCAGCATCTCCGCGAGCTTCCTCCTCCGCTGATTCGCCTCGTCGACGCAGAAATTCATCGATTTCTGCGTGTCGCGGACGTAATCCATAAGAGGTCGGATCTGGGGTAGCGCGAGCTGCGCGGTCGACGGTTTTGGCTCCAGCTTCAGATTGGCGCGACCCGTCTTACACCACTCGTTAGCACACCAGCTCTTCCCACATCCTTGCATCATCTGCGTTAGATACCGACGCTCGATGCGTCTCTTCAAGGCCTTCCCCTCCGGATCGTATAAACTCACGTAGAGCGGCGAGAAGCATAGGGAACATAACCCGATATCGTTACCGGGACCTTGACCCATTCTGGTACCAGCATTAACAGTCCCGTTCCTGCCGACGCCATGTAAGGTCCGCCCGCAGTTGGCATTCCTGCAGGTGGCAGGTTTTGGCCGGTGGGCTTTCTCGAGTTCGTGATACTTAAGATGCGTTGACATGTCGCGAAGCCGGATGATCTTGGAGCACAAATGGCAATCCGTAGTTCTTGCACCATCGACGAGCTCATGTTCTGTGAGGCCAGTATGGAGCATCTCGGCGGACGGGTTGAACGGGTCGCCTTCTTGACAAACCTCTAGGTGGCAGAACTGGCACAAGATGATTTTACCAGGACAAAGCGTAGTACGGTGGCGGGCTATATCTGGAATGGAATTCGAAGTAAACGGACAAGACGGACATCGCCGTTCGGTATGGTAGATGGAGTCGTGTTTGGCCTTGGTCATCTCCGACGAACCATATGCCTCGTCACGAGGACAATGCCAGTGCTCCCTCCACTCGTCCGACATCTTCTGGAAGACATTTCGACATTGAGCACACGCTATGTTATTGCGAAGACAGAAGTTTTCATGCAGAATAATGGTGCGCTTAGGGATCGGCTGAAGGCAATTCTTGCACATCTCCTCATCCGGAGACACCTGCATTTCCAAAGTCGTCGAGTCGGAGGCTGGTGGCGCTTCCGTCGTCATCGCGTTGTTCTTAATCCTCAACTTGTATGGGAGAGGGAGGGCGTCTGTTGACGAGGCGCCCGAATTAGGGACGTATCCAAAAACGGAAATCAGCAGGCTCTCGGCATTCTCAAGCTCGACATTAGTGGGCTGGATAATTATACGCTTGCTCCCATATTCTGTGTAGCTGAAGGCACCGAAAACATGTTCTGACTGGCGAGGCACCGCTCTCTGTCGCGAAGATTTCGGACTCACGAATAGGTCTATACCGTACTCGTCCTGTAGCTCGCTAACCTCAATCTCGAGAACCCTCGACCGAGCCCACGAGGGAAGTTCGTAGTCCACATAATCTCCAGGAAGAACTTGGCCGCCAACAGCTTTCCAAATATTCAGTTCCTGGCCAACCGAACTACCACCTACGGTACCTGGTGCTTTCTGCTGCCTGGCTATAATCTGTCTCACGGTTTCCCTAGCTTGCGCCTCATCCAAGGCCTCGATGTCAACTTCGAGATCGGTATTCACGACGCAAATCCCGTCTCCCTCCGGCCTGAACCTATCAACAAGAAGGCGGAACAACTCGCCCTTAACGCCCGGAACGGATAAGATTGCGCCATTTGTTAGGGTTGTGAAACTCTCACGAAGTTTCCTCTCGAGTAAGGATTTCCAGTCGTCGGGATTATAGCCAGCTTCCAATGGCCTCAAGCGAATATATGCCCCTTTTGGAAGATGTTGCGCGTGGACAGTAATCCGTGACGCCGTGGTTCCGTTACTACACAAACCATCCTCCTCCTCGCCCGACGTGTCTTTAGTTAGATCAAACCCTAAAGCTTCTGCTAGATATGGGCTAAGCAGCACCTCGCCTTCATCGGCTGAGAACTCGCGTATGCCAGCGTAGACAGCATTTCCGTTGGACGGGTTGACCAGACGAAACATAAGCGGGCTCGGGAGGTGCTGATAAGGATCACCGTCGAAAGCATACGGGGCCCGGGCAGACGAGGACGCGGAAGTCGACGTGTATGGGCTACGAAAGGGATTTGATGAGCTCGAAGCTGAGGTAGGGTTCGGGGATGAAGTCGAAGCGGCGAGTAACTGCTCGAGGGCGGATTGGGGGAGGATGATCTTGTCACCGTTCAAGTCCTTAGACGGGTGCGTGGCTCGGGAAACAACATTCAGAGTGGCAGACCACTCAATAGTAGCTTGTTCGGTCATATTGGATAAAGGTTATACAATGATGTCGGATCTAATAGCCACCTTTCTTATTATAAGCTTATAAATTTATGAGTGTATGAGAAAAAATTAAACGGTTTAGAAGCTGCGAGAGACATCCATCCCTAAGAGGATAGAAGAGGGAGGAAACAAAAAGGATGAAAGGTGGGAAAAGAAACGGAAAATAGAAGGGGAAAAAACAGATGGATGTGTGATGGGGCCAGCGGTCAGGCCAAGTGAAAATAAGTTGACAAGAAACGAAGTTGTGTGGAGAAGTTCATTGTAGTTGAATCGTGGATGAAGAAGTGCAAATGATGAAAATGACAAAAATGACGAAATCCGTCAGCTATTTCCCTCGAATTCCATGACGCAGTTATCTAGCCTGCTAGCATGCTAAAATTAGTCTGTACTCGAGAAATACAAAGACTCACTTGAGAGAAGGAGTGTTCTCGCAAGTAGATCGGTAGTTACTTCCGTAGATTGCCGACGAGGACTACTAGGTAGGTAGCGGGGTTTTTAGGGGCCTAATAGGTACCTATGTAAGTACTGTAATACATCCATGGATACATGGTAAATAAAACGTGTTACCGGTATCTCCGCCGCTTACCGCATCAAGACTAAATATTTCTAATCTTGAGAACATTGCCAAATTACACATGGACAAACCAGAAAACATGAGAAACTTAACTAATTAAACTGGACGACGGTTGATAACAATAATAATAATAGCTCCAACCGCCACAACCACCACAACCACCACCATTATCATCATCGTTATCGACATGTATGTATGTATACTCCGGCCGAGAAGTTCCAAGACGGAATAGTGCAGGATTGTAAATCTAGAGGAGGCTAAGCAAGGAGTCAAGCATGATAGTGAGATGGTCGAGGATGTCGATCCAATCCTATGCCTACTAGGTACCTACCTACCTACCTATGTATTAAGAAGAGTTATTTAAACAATGGCGACTATCCAAACAACGACCACCAACGAATGCACTATGATTTATAGTTCCCGCATCAACAAGGAGGCGAATAACTCGAATAAGTTGACTATTGAAACCTCGGACAGTTCACAGTCTAGATTCGAGAGTACTATGTATTATCTGATATCCAAGTGATGCGATGTGATGCGATGTGATGCGACGCTGTCGGATCAACCTGCCAAGGACGGGCAAACTGCAAGACTATTGCATCCTTACCACAAACGATACGCAATAGTGCATCCGTCTGAATGAGCGAGAAGCCCTCTGCCAATGCTTCCATATCTCGGCCCTTGGGATTTGGGTAGGGAGTAGAAGTGATTAAACACCTCATTCATCGCCCTCTTTCTCCTCCGCATTGTATAGGTATTCATAAGCCTATCCATGGATATGATATCGAGCACTCATATATTAGGTAGCTACGTCTCTCCCGCAGTCCCGTCATCTTCCAGCTACATACATATATCCCTACCCACTTCTGGTATAACTACTGCTAGGTACCTCTTACCCCAGAGTCCCAGAGTCCCAAGCTGCCCAGACCCCACCACCCCTTGCTGCCCTTGGTAGGTACTATCCACGCCATCTAAATCCCCCTCCTTCTATTAATAATACCTAGGTACCTTAACTTCGTACCTGACTACCTTACTTCGATCTTTCTCTGTCTAATAACCCAGGCTTCTTACCTTATTCATTCTTAATCACTTTCTTTTCTGGCTTATCGTCGCATCGCGTTCTTTCTTAACCGGCAGCTGGTCTGTATTTGTCTGCATGTATGTAATGGCATCAGGACTCGTCATTCAACAACACGCGCGCGACTTTTCCGGTTCCGGTTCCGGTTCCAAATTCGAATCCAAATCCGAATCCACGGACGAGATCACTCTCAACCCCCTCTTAAATCTCCTTACCAACACTCTCGTCCTACACCAGACCATCCCCTACCTTCCCATCTCGAGCCTTCTCAACCTCTCCGCCACCTCTCCATCTTTCCGCGATCTTTTACTGCGCCGTACCCCCGGTGTCTTCCGACATCTCGATCTAACCCGAGTCAAGACAGCACAGTTCGAACTCGACGGCGGCATCGATCATGGCGGTGAGGTATGGCGCAACGTTCAGGTCGACGAAAACCTAACCGAGGATGACTTTTACTCGGGCCCGTTACGTGGCATCATTCAGAATATCCGCCGTCGCGACATCTTGCATCATGTGCAGACGCTAGTTCTCGACGGTCTCTCGGTCACAGCCGAGTTCTGTAACGACATCCTTGTCGATCCCACCCTTCGTGTGCGCATTTTGTCTATCCGCGACGTCAAGAACCTTAACGAGCGCAAGCTGATGCAAAGCCTTCGATATGTCTGCCGGTCTACTCGACCAGACGATACCCCTCGACTGAAGGGCCTATACGTGTTTGGAGCCCGGGACTCACCTGACCTAATCGCATCATCTTCGCCGGTGGAAGGACGGAACGAAACAGCTCGAGGAGGCTCCAACATTAGCATTGGGTGGAACCACAAATCTCAGCATGCATTGAAGGAATCATTCCGGGCCGAAGGTGACGATTGGTATCACAAGAGAGGGCGCATTATCGGCAGGCACATCACTGACGGCTGGGCAGAGACGCTTCTAGATTGTCGGGATATGATCAGGTTCGACGCCGTCTTATGTACTGGACCTCGTCATCAGAACTCGTCTGCGTTTAGAAAGATGCCGGTCGTGCCGGGCGGAACAGCGCCAGGCGTCGAAGGTCTGTGGGGCGTCGCAACTTTCGCCCTCGGCGGGTGCGCGTCTTGCGGATCTTCTCCCGAGGGCTTCACAGAATACGGGGATTCGCCGGCGGAGCACTTGCCGCTGCTGGCTCCCATCCCGCTTCATTCATCGACCATCAAGGCGGCAACTCATCCAAACCCAACCCCAAACTCCGGACCCGGGATAAGTAAGGAGGTGCACAAGTTTATTCCTAGGTGCCTGGAATGTATTCGCGAGAGATATTGCTTTAGCTGCGATCAGTGGTGGTGCGAGTCGTGCTATCAGGTACCGAGCCGGCAGGAATTGGGTGACCAGCACGTCCACATCGTCGACCAGACTAATGGCTTGTTGGATTACGAACTGGCAGCTCTCGAGCCGTCCAATGTCAAGGTACGGAAGGGTTACTGTCTCAATTGCCACCCGCAACCTACGGAAAGGAGACCCGGAATTCGGAACCCCTTTCCATCCTGAGCGGTTGCGAAGCCATGTAGCGAGGGACATAATAGCCACCACAACCCCTATGACCCAATTTCATGTAAAGGGATGGGCGAGAGTGGACATATCGACTGCTTTCGATCATCCTTGGAAATTGTATGCGGCGAGAATCCCCAAACGTAGCCACGTCCTCTCCAGAGTCCCGTTGAAGACTTCTCTACAAAAGAAATTGTGCTAACATTGCTATTCACCCTAGAAGCCCAAAATTAGCCGCAGTTGCTGGGAATGCGAACACAACGTAGGCTCCCTACCTCACATGCCATATAAAGATAGTAATAGTCCTGATATATATATTACAGTGCCTTGACTGCATCGCCAATACCCAGAAACGGTGTAGAGGATGCGGCGGGGGTTACTGCATTGTTCATTACGAAGGTTCTACGCTCACATTCGTATGTCTTCGTCACCATACAACCTCCCTCCTCTCCACCCCTTCTTTCTCTTTTTTGGTTAGGCTAACATGGGGAAAAATAGTGTGATTGTATGGGTTACCATCCCTATCCGTATAGGCTCAGACTCCGTTTACATCAACTAATTGTTATGCAGGGTGCTCAAGACGCCGTGGCCGAAGATCTCGAGAGATGTATTGACATTAGTGATCAACTGGGCTGCTAGGGTTAATTAAGATCATGATTTTCTATCACAACTTGTTACCTGCCTTTTACAAATGAACAGATGCCTCAATTATTCGGTACCTGCGGTTTTATGATCGATTGGAGGTGTTAAGGAATCTCTACTCTTTTTTTCTTCTTCCTTTTTTTTAAAAAAAAAAGTTGTGCTTGGTTTTGGCGGTTATATACTAATTTGAAGATGGACTGCACTGCTTGCTTCATTACATGGAATTTAGTACATATCGCGACCTCACAATTGTTGCCCTTCACGGGTTTACAATTTAAGAGAGCGAGAGGATGATACCCGACTTAGTTATTATGAACAAATTAACTCCCCGTTTCTATCAATAAATACCGTAGCGGCAAAGGGTGTTTCCTCAAAATGGTTGTTTTACTGTACAATGATTGTACTCAGGGAAATGGTTTCTTATCCTGGAATGATTTCCTGTTTTGGGCGCTAGGGCCGCTTTTTAATTCGCCGAGGTGAGTAAACCTTATATAGAGTTTCAAACCTTACTCTTTTAGTCAATTGTGGGACTGGCCACCCCACTAAGACTACTTAGCTCAGTTGTAATGCGCGTTTACTACACGTATTGCGGAAGGGCCTGGGTTCGAGCCCTACCCTTTTTAAAATTTTAGGTTTTTCGAAAGTACCTTTGTATCTTTTACCCACTTATCGATTATTTCAACCAATCAGAATCTAGTATATTGAAGTCATTGCATGACAGGAAATCGTTGCAGCCCAGGAAATCATTCTCTGAAAAGAAACGTTTCCCTCCAACCGTATCGTTATTATAATTTGAAACCATTTCATCTACCTACCCACTGCCGCTGTGGTAGGTAGGTACCTACACTTTTATGCAATGAGTTTGAGTCCGTTTTGTTAAGCCAAAAGTCGCGCCAAGCCTCCATAACGAATCTGGATTAGATCAAGATAGCGCCAAAATCCCCGCAGTTTCTCACGAGTAAAATTAAACCAGGAATAACTTCACGAAAATAGGTCTAATTCTCATATAAAAGTATCAATCAATTAATTAAGAATGTAGCTTTCAAATGAACCAGGTTGCATTATAATTGACAGCTTTTATCAGCATCTGTGTCAAGTTATTTCCAACAGTTGTGATTTCGGGCTAACATGAGGATGACTAAGGACGACTGGGGTGTTTGAAAAATTCGCCCAAATAGGTAATTTGTTTCTTTTGCCAATAACGGAGCGAAATAACATCCGAAACCAATGCAACCAAATTCATCTTATTCGCCTACTAGATAGCTATAATTACATACTATCAAAAGTCTTTCAGATCATATATTCATAAAGTTATCAAATGTTGATTCCAACGAGTAATTGATGATGGTCTTAGGGTGAAGAGTCTAAGGCTTTTATTGGTTGACTCTTCTCAGTCTAAATGCGGTATAGTGGCTTGGCACAACTTGGGGCTTAACAAAACGGACTCAAATTCATTGCATGGAAGTGTAGGCGTGCTAATTTATCGTGTTCTAAGTAGGCGATACTTCTTATCAGATAACCACTCGCCGTGGATGCCGTTCAGGTGCATCTACCTATTACTGGGTCTGTCACAGAGTGGCTGTGGCAAAGAGGACAATATATCCACCCTTAATCCATTCATCATCCTAATGATATGATGGTTGGATTATTAAGTCTACTGCTGACATGCATATAAGTTTATATATATATGAAAACCAGGTTCTCTTGCGTCTAATTAATCAATGCCGTGAAGAAGAGTAGGCTATCGATCTCTCAAGACAAAATAGCACGTAAAACACATACCTGCTTGGTACTTATCATGAAAACTTTTGGGGTGTATATGCACATGGCTGCTTGGGTACTTGGTAGGTATGTTTGAAGGTGTCGCCTATGACGCGGATTAGTACCTGTACAGGCGTCGAATATTATGGAAATACCCTTGACATTCGATCTATTAAGCCACGATTTTTTTTTTCACGACTCCAAGCCGACTGAGAACTTGCGTGCAACCCAGGCAGCCCCAAATTCTTCGTACTCTTGCTTCGTAACGGAGAGGGCGTTGATATGTTCGTGCGTCGCTAGATTGGCACCGCCTAACCACGTGCTTATTATGGGATCTACAGGACGGGCAACCCGAACAAAGCAATCGTCCGGGACGAGCTGGACGATCTCTTTCTGTAGCCGTTCGACAAATCCATCCAAGAGGGAGCTGCCGCCAACGACGATAACGTTAGAAAGGAACCCAGGCCACAGTCCAATAGGCAGATCACGTAGCGACTGCATGACGAGATCCGCAATGCCTGGCTGGGGTATGCCGATATCTGAAGGATGAAATAGAAGTTCTGGAACAGTGAAGCGTTCGTTCCTGAGGGTCAGCACATCTTCGCTAGACTCGCCAACCCGACCGGCGGCTAGTTTCCTGGCCCTAGAAGCTTGGACGGGGTCGAACTCGCGGACTACGCCTTTCATCCTCGTATGAAAATCAGGCAGTACGTAATCTTTAGCCACCCCTGCGCCATTGAGATAATCCTCTCGATGTTCACCCCTAGTACCCTTCCAGGTACGTTCGAGGTCTCCCTTGAAGTCGAGGGAGACGTAGCAAGCCGTCTCCTTCATCTCGTTCACGATATACGTCTCGTTGCGCATATCATAATGGCGGAGGGAAAGCAGTCGCGTCAAGTAATTTGTCAAGAGCTTCCCTCCTACATCAAGTCTCCGGATGGCAGGGTGAATCGGCCTTCCTTGAAGGATAGGCGTGATGGTGGTGTTGGAATATCCGCTATCGATGAGTAAGAGGATCTCGGCTGGGAGCTGAGCGATCGTTCCTGGATCTCTGGGTGTGCGGAGGATGCCTTGGACATCATGGTAAGAAATCAATGCCGGGCCTATAATAATATGATATTAGTAAGGTAAGGTACTCTATATAATATGAAACATGCTGACGACGAGAAGGAAAGAAGGAAAGAAAGAAAAAAAAAAGATCAAGACCTACCCACGGCTCTGCAATAGCTAGTAAATCCAAACTCCTCGAATACCATTTGGTCGCAATTCGTTTGCAGGGCAGGAAGAGAGTTGGGCGGCTCGGCAAGTAAAAGTCGAGTATCAGATGGATCACACGGCTGAGGGGCTTTGTCGTCGAAGAATTCGCGCTCCCATATTTCTTTCTCGGCCTCCCAGTTCACGATAAAGCCTTTCTCGACCGGCCGCCGAAATGCGACTTCGCTGAAATCCGCGCAAGTGTCTAATTCGGATGCGACATAGAGTTTTCTATTACGGTCTCTAGCGATGCAGTTGGGTATAGCGCGAGGATGGTCGACAACATCCCCGGTGACATATCCAGCTTTTATCGTGTACGCGCCGTTATCGAGCACTAGAGTTCGAGACGGTGGTGACGGTTGGTGAACCTTTGATTTCCGTGCCGGCGCCATGGCAATGTTCTGACTTGAGCTGAGAATATTTACTATTCCATATTCGTCGGGGAGCAAATTACGATCCGCCGCAACGTATGACGTGTAGAAGAGCTTTTACGCATGTGATGTCAAGTGGACGAAGATGAGATATTCTCCATGCAGCCATGTCACGTACCTACCCAGTAAATTTTGCATAAATACATAATATATACATGTACATACATATGTAGCTAGTAGGTACCCATCTGCCTATTTACCTCCATGTACATGCATAACATCTCCAAAGTGGAACCTTCCAATTGTCTAATGCTAATAAAAGTTTATCTGTAATTCATAATTAATCAAATACATAAAATACCTATGTATACCTAGTAGTAGCTTTTTAGAGCTTTTCTTTCATTATACCATTTATTTGAAGCTATCGCCACGTCACTCGCATATTCTTATTTCGTACACGAAGTACATACTAGGTTATTAGACGTATATATACGATTGCCGAATCTTCATGTTTCATGTTTTCTTCTATTCGTTTCCCTCTACCTAGGTAACAAGCCATGGGCACCTGTCTAAGCTACGCCATGATAACGAATGCCTCGAATATTATAACTCTGTACTGCTCCGATTATAAGTCCAAGTTTCCCCGTTTACTTATTGGACTAGCATCACCTACGCTGGGGTGTTGGTCGTCACCCACTCTTTGAACTTGTCAGACCTCGCCCCGGCCAAGTCATGAATCCATCGTCCGACGTTGTCATGGATGCTAAAGCTAGACTCCGAGTTCGCCGGCTCCTCCACCTGCGTATTGGAGAAGGCGTACGCGAAGTTAGTATCACCCGCACCGTTAAGGATGTACGGGTTTCCGTCAAAGTCCGTCCAGCTAGCGCAGCCCGTACAAAGAGCCGTAAACTTGAAATGCGTCTCGTTGACGCCAGTGCCTTTAAGAACCGTGTACTTAGCATCGGTGTACGTCGCGGGAACGTAATATCCGCTATTCTTGATCAGCCCAGAGCTTCTTAATCTTCGAAGAGAGGCAGCCTATGGAGGCTAGGTCGATCATTTAATCACTCACGTGGCTTGGCGCGAAGATAACTGAACCGAATTGCCATCCTTCCATACAACAGTTAGAGGGTTGTATGTCATCGCACCACCCCAAGCCCATCCGGCCCAGCCTAACGCAACCGGTGCTACAACTTGAAGGATCACATCGTAGCCCGCCTCCCCGCTTGCCTCTGCCGGAAGGGCGAGCCGATAGGTGATTCCGTCCGTGCTCGTATAGGACTGGAAGGTAATCCCAGTGTCAGCGTCGACAAACGGAGTCGAGTCTGTCTGAGCGAAGACTGCGACGGCACTGTTAGTACCATACTCAACCCCTTTCTCCTTCATCATCTCTCGCAAAGACTATGTAGTACTACTCACCAGACACGGCAAGGCCGATAACACCGATAGTGACCGTGGACAGCTTCATAATCGATCCTCAGGTAAGTAATTGAAAAAAGAAGACCTACAAACAAGCCGACACGGTCAAGAAGGGGGCGCCGCGCTTTATATCAACGACTACGAATATCAGACAGCGTCATCGCACTCCAGGGGCATGGCTTCAACCGAGAGAAATTAATTTGGAGAGTTCCTCCGCAACGGCCAATACGGGTAGACCGATATAGTGCCGCTGCCCATCAAGGCACCATCTGGGTTATCATGCCGGATAGATTCTTCACGATGTAAGATCGAGGGATACCAATGTTGCCCCTTGTTACGTTTACATGAATGGGCGTGTACCTTCAAACGCGGCTAGAGCCAACGTGGCATAAATGGCTGACTATTTTGAGCCGGAATAACATACATAGTAGAGTGCCGAGTACGAGGCCCTCGAGTTGAACGCGATAGAGTGATGGACCACGGGCTGTGAAACAAAAACTTCTGCCATGGAAATTTGGGAATGGAGTTCTTCACTCCGCGTGGGGACTACAGATTACAATAGCCCGAGCTGGGAAGAGACGCAACCGTAATCTCGTAGTAGCATACGCCCGGGTAGCAGCAAAAAAAGGCCAAGAGACTATCCTCTCCCATACGTATTAAGATCGTGGATTGACCGAATTAGTTTTATCTCAAACTTGATTGGGTCCCTCGGTTCCCCTGGCGAGGATTCCCGGCGTCAATATTAGCCTGAATCTTTAGGTAATTCTATTCTACCTCTACGTTCCGCGCATGCTTTCTGGCAATAATACTCTCATGGGAAAGCCCAAGGTGATCATTTTTAAATGTGAAATTACAAGCAAGCATTTTTTGGTTTTGTTTTTCCCCATCGAAGATATCTTATACCCCCACACGGAAATGGAACCGTCAACTAAGATTAATAATTTAGCCTGGCGGCGCACCATGACATCCACAGAATTCGTGCTACAGCGATTTGGATACGTGCACCAGACCCAAGATAAGCTTCATTATTTACTTTGAAATGTTGTTTCTTGATCTCAAACGCAGTTATAACCTCGCCGTTCGGTCAAGGCCAAGATCATCAATAGAACCAAGCAATTAGCAATATTGATCATCGTACCTTGCGGTTAGTAACATGTTCAATTTATATCCATAGAGTGATTATTTATAACTTAGTTATGTGCCTTGATATACGATTATAAATAGGTTAAAATTTTATACCAAGGCTTTATTCATATGTTCTTACATGTCATAAAACATTGTAGTTACTTATAATACTTCTCAACCGGCAGTCGGATATCTACCTAGTAGGTAGGTAAGCATAAGACTTAAATCCGTTTACTTAGATTTTAATATTAGAAAAGGATAAAGAATGAAGCGAGATTTGTTCTATGACCTAAATATTAGGAGCGTTCTTAACCGTTAATGTCATTATAAACCACCACCGTAGTCCGAAGGTATGCTATACCTAGGTACCCAGGTAAGCAGGTAATGAGCCATATATTTATAATATGTAAAAGGAACAAGAACATGATTAAATAATATAGTAGGTATATATAATATAATGAAGTATTTACTTACTTTCTAAGTTTAAAGTGAAGTAAATATTACTCTTATTGATATTCAATCATCCTCATGCTTAATCATAAAGCCTTAGGGTATCATGGCCTACCTACCTACATACCTAAAAACTTGTTGGTAGGTATGCATTTCGTCAATCAGCCGAAATGAGTGAGCCCGCCAGCTCTCACCTTAAGTTATTTGCCCGGGGGGCAGGGATCGTAGATCCGTCACTTCGCTATCCATTTCCCGGAGGTGTTGGACAAATCACGCTACAGGCAATGGAAATTCACCTTTAACCAAGCTGCTAGTGTCCCTTTTGCCTTCAGAGTTGTATTAAGTTAGTGGGTTCAAAGAGATCGTCCCGGAGGACTGGAACTGCAGAACTTAAAAGTTTAACTAATTGTTTTCTTACTAGGTACCTACCTAGTATGTATTGTATTGTACCTATTACCTACCTGCCTACCTACATGTAGTATGTAGGTAAATAGTACTACGAAGAATACGTTGAACCTTAATGTTTAACATCATATTCAAACATTAGCATAACGGATGGATTACGAGGCGCACCCTGCCGGTAAAGGGGATAATAAATACATATAATACAATAGAGGAATTGATAATTCTCCTTGCTAGATTCAGGTCCAGCACAACCACTACGATAGGTACTAGTAGGCACCTACCAGCCTACCTAGGTACACCTAGTACTATATACCTAATGACGCCGGTGCTGTTTCCGTCTTGGTAAGTACCGGAATAGCGACGCCACATCAATGGCGCTGAGGTCCTGTACGTACATACAGAAGTACATACTAGGTATACTCAAATACATACCTAACTATGTATAATTACGTACCTAGGTACATAGTTGTATGCATCGATGTACATATGTAGGTATGTACGTAACTGCGTGTGTACTATGTAGATGACGTGCTTCTCTTATCTTGCATGGTTCAAGATTAGATTCCACATCTCCCCGAGGTTTAGTTCATATTTTGCTTGTTCTTCACCTAGACAACACTTCCCGCTTCATGTAAGACATATCGCTCCCTTGGCTTCTTACATACCTACCTACCTACCTACCTATCTACCTAAGCCGTGCATGTACCGGTCTCGTAGATCGCTCACCGCCGTTCGCAAGTTCTCTTTGTTAGAGTTTAAGTTTGTGTAGCAGTTAGGTGGTGATGATCCGTCTATCATGGCGATGATGATGATGATGACAACGACTGGAACGGATATTCTGGAGAGAACAGTAGACGACCACCTACACACTAGACTTCACACTAGACTACCCAGTCTGCCAGTGTAGCCTACATTCAACTAATGAATCTTTTCTTCTCCCTTCCCCCCTCCCCACTTTCATATGCGAGACCCTGAAAATCCCTCGACCAGGTATAAAATTTATTATATTTCATTTTCATTTTCTAGTGCCCATTCCGCGCATCCCGTCAATGTAAATGTATATATGTGCCTAGCACATTTCTTCCAACCACCTAACTAGGTAGCCATAGTTACATTAACAAAACAGCTAGTTTCCCGAACGCGATATCGTCACCACATCATACCGTCAAGATCTAGGTCAGCCGTGAGGTATACCCTAAAACATACCTAAGTGTCTTATCTGGTTGAAAGGAGTCGACCACCTCTCTTGGCAATGGGTTCCCTAATCCCGGACCGCCAACCCCTCCACGACTCCATCCCTCCTCTAATCCTTGGCACGGCCACCTTCAACACGCAGTATGTCCCGAACCCCTTCGAATTACCTGCACTGTCTATCGTATCACGCGCCCTCGACCTCGGCGTCCGCGCTTTCGATACGTCGCCGTACTATGGACCCTCGGAGCTCATCTTAGGCGACGCACTGGCCCATCCGTCCGTCACTCGCAAGTACCCTCGTCCTTCTTATTTCCTTGTCACCAAGGCCGGCCGCATCGCTGGCGACGTCTTCGACTATAGCCCAGGCTGGGTCCGGGCCTCGGTCTTGCGTAGTCTCGAGCGCCTGCATACTTCCTACCTAGACTTGGTCTACATGCACGACGTCGAGTTCGTCTCTCCGTCTGAGGTTCTGGCCGCCGTGCAAGAGCTACGCCGTCTACGCATCGAAGGCATTGTCCGTTATGTCGGCATCAGCGGATACCCAGTCGACACGCTATGCACGCTCGCCGAGATGGTTCACCGCGAAACAAGCGAGCCGCTCGACGCCGTGCTGAGCTACAGCCACTATACCGTGCAGAACACGACACTGGGTGCCGAGGCGATGTTGCGGTTTGAGCGCGCCGGTGTAGATGTCGTCCTCAACGCTAGCATGTTGGGCATGGGCCTGCTGACGACAAGAGGCGCCGACGCAGGGCCTCTGGCTAAGTGGCATCCGAGTCCAGAAGGGTTAAGGAAGGCATGTCAGGACCTTGTGCCTGTCGCGGTAGCTGCGGGTGAAAAGCTAGAGGTCGTCGCAATCCGCTGGGCTTTAGACAACTGGGCTCGAGTTGGCGCGGGTAGAGGCGGTCGAACCCCGAAGTTTCCTATCGGCGACCGTGTCGGTGTTAGCGTCATGGGCATCTCTACCGTTGCCGAATTGGAGGAGACGTGTCGTGTTTTTAATAGTGTGATGGAGGGTTTGGAATCTGAGACAACCGACATCGAACAGATGAAACGAAGACAATGGAGCGTAGATCGACGGCGGAAGATTCAGGAGGTCGTTGAAAAGATGTGGGCTGTCCTGGGCCGGTGGAAGGACTACAGCTGGAGTAGTCCCGATCCTGGCTTCGTCAACGCTAGAAATCCTACTGAGGCCGCCAAATCACCGTTAAGCGTCAATGTCGACGAGTTACCGGTATTGAGTGTTTGACGCTTCTTTTCTTCCCAAGTCACCTCGTCGTTGGTATGCATACACACACACCTTAGTACCAGTAGTCTCTGGAGTTAGATCTTCTATATCTGCGGATTGATAAATGTTCGCAATAGTCGTAGCCCTGTTTTTAAGACATCCTAGTATTGCGATACTCTGCTGTTATCCCGACTACAGACTTGGACTATCAAGTTATGTTCTGGGGTTGCCTAGGAGAAGACCTAGGATGAGGGATCCGAGACCATGTGAATTTCCGTGTCTGCGGTGTGTAGTACTAACACGTTGCTCTAATGGTGCGGTCGTAATTTGGAGAGTTCACATATTCTCCGGCTGCGTGCTTCGAGACGTGATGTACCCACTTGGGTATCTAATTATAGTGAGTAATTAATGAGATTCAAATCTACCTCCTACCTAGGTAGGTAGAGATCCCCCCCTTGAATGTATTTTATGGCGGAATACTTATCCCTAACTCATGGTTTCCACGGTTGTTCAATTGAATTCTCATTTTGTTATACGTAGACATATAGCGATTAACTCAAACGCATACCATTGACGCTGTCTACCCTAATCTCCTTATACCGACGTTGCTTCTAGCACTTGGGTTAGGTACCAATGTTATTAAATGCGTCGGCGGTGTTATTTACTGGTCGCAATAGTGCTAGACATAGGAGACAGCTACACACACTACTTGCTTAGGAGATCTCAATTTCCATCGAAAGAGGGGGGGGGGTTTTGGGGAACCCCGTATGCCTCATCGCTCAACAACCTCGCTGGAGGGGATTATCTTAATCACCATTGAATCCACGTAGTCTATGTATACAATCCTTAACTCCGAACGAATGAAAGTCGACAGTGCCTACCTCCCCACTTGATGCAAATATCATGAACCTTTAGACCCAGTATCTCCCCTTTACCAAACTACCTACAGGGTATAAAAAACAGCGAGGAAACGGGGAAAGCTTATTGAGTGACTTCGTGTGATCTCTCTGCCAGATCGACGTGCCCAAGTCGCTTGGAATCCTCTTCATCGCCATCAGCAGGCGCTGGAGTGTCGGGCGTGACCATGAGTTGTGGTGGTCGTGAGGTGCCGTCTTCGCCCTTTTCTCCTGACCTATAAATGCCCCCCTGAACCTCTTGAGTCTCCTGCCCGGTCAATTCCTCTTTGCTATTCTCTCCGTTCCCAACAGGATCTGTGGCATGTTCTACATGCTCGCCGTGAGCCTCCTCGGCGTCCGCCGGTTTACTGCCCGGACTCATATCCTCGCTATTAGGTGACTGGGCTTCCCCGTCTATGGGAACGCCAACCATCTCTGCTAGACTCCTAAAATTAAACATGGGTTCCGAATTCGTACTATCACCCTCTTCGCTACGGGCGGCTATGCTAAGACCGCTTGATCGCGGATCTTCGGAATCGGCACCTGGGTTCTTGCCAGTATAACTGCCCGGCATACTATCGAGTCCGCTAGAGCTGACAGAGCTGGCGTTGCTCATCTGGCGAAGATGGGACGATCCTCGCGCCGGCTGCGATGATACAGGAATTGGTAGTGATGCAACACCGGAACCGCTTTTTTGACCCTCTTCATTATCATTGCGGTCAATGGCCTTCCCCTTGTTGCTAGACATCAGAGCCGAGGTTGAGGCCGGCACGGAAGATGGGTCCGTCAGTTGGTCGCCGGCTTGGCCTGCGGTGGTACTGCTGGCAGCGGTCACGCTAGCTTCTATGCGCAGGTTGCTGGCGGCACTATTGCCACGTCTTCGCCCGAGTCCTAGACTAAGGGAACTCGCGCTCGCGCTACTACCGCCGCCGCTACCACCATACACATCACCCTTCTTTTTAGAGGCTTTCCGGTCCTCCTTCTCGCGCTTCTTAGCTTCTTTTCGAGCTTCTTTCTCGGCCTTCTTCCGTCGCTCTTCCTCGTCCGCCAAGCTCAATCTTATCGCTTCAGCCATCATGAGGCTCTCGAGATGTGCTGCATCTATTCGTTCCCGGCTCGGACCAGCTCGGCTGGAGGTGGTGCGAGCACCTGGATCAGGAGCAGAGGCAATATCGGCCCCGCCGTCGTTTGGCTGTAGACTAGAGCCGTTGCCTGGACTCTCGTTACCCCGATGCCCCCCCGTATTTCTACGGCTGAAACGGGAAGATCGGCCAAAAATTGTACGTGATTCCTGATTCCCCATTACGAAAGCGGCATGATGTAGTGCATCTGCAGCTGCTGCTCTTCGACGCTGCTGTGCACGAGCCGCGGCTAGCTTAGTAGACCAATCGGGTCGGATGCGGTCGGTGGTGATAACCCCGGGCGCGTTGGCAGACACACTCTGTGCCCGTCGGCGATTAGCATTGGCGGAAGGTGTAGCTAATGTCGGAGAAAGGGTCGAATTAAGGGAGCTAGAAGATGACATAGCCGTGGTCATGGCACCTAATGTCGACGGGCTGAATGCGTACGTTAGGCCGCGGCGGAAAGGAGGAGGCTCATATGTCACGCCAAACTCGGTCTGAGTACAGTAAGGACATTTGGCTGGCTCCATGATGAGCTCACCTTCACGCTCCTCCGGGTTGGCGGGCGCTTGAACACCCTCCTCATCTGCGTGGTGCTCGGGAAGATGCGGATCGGGACGCTTGATCTGCACGAAACACTCGCTACAGATGATCTGGCAGCAGCACCGGGTACGGTTCAAGTATGGCGGATAGTACATGAGGCAAAGCGGGCACTCGATACCTTCTTTGTATAAGAATACTTCGAGAGGTTGCCCGTTGACAAACGGGTCATTAGGCAGATTGATCTCGCGAGGGGTGATGATATCCGTACTTGGTCCACTGCGAGATAGATTGAGAGCTGCAGCTAAAGACTTCTTATGGGGTTTAAAAGGAGAGCTAGTTCTTGGCGCAGCGGGTGAGGTGGGAGATGGTAAAGCCGAACCAGGATTGGAAGCAGGGTTATCAGACGAGATCGAGAGGGTTCTAGGACCCATGGGGACAGTGAGAGTCGGCGTTGAAGTAGCTGGCGAATCGACAGACCTGGGCTGCGGAATTAGACTCTCAGGGACTTCGTCTGCGAGGGGAATTTCGAGACCACGAGCCGCAGCGATGATTTGGTGCTCAGCCCAATTATCGTTGAAGTCGTCCAAGCCACGCCAGAAAGGCGCTATCCTTCTCTCGATCTATTGTCGCCGACAAACGCATGATTAGCTATGCGACCAGCAGACAAGCTTAAGATGGCATTGCGACAAGGATATGTTACTTACTTGCAATTGACGAACTACGGACTTGTTGAAGTCCTCGGAGGCGGAATATACGCCCATCGTAACCAGAAAACCCCCATCAATATGTTCCTCTCTCATACTACGCTCGCGTTCCTTGAGTCGTGCTACTCGTTCTCTTTCAAGCCTTCGTGCTTCCTTCTCTTGTTTTGTCTCTCGGTGCTCAAAAGGAGAATCTTGGTGACGGGAGCTCGACGAAGCGCCGAACTGTAATGTTAAGCCGCCTAGTTCTGGCCGACTAGCACGCCTCGATCGATCAGGTAGATCCCCATGATATCCGGCGCCAGTGGAACTCCCACCAGAATCCATGTGAGACCCATGACCTCCTATACGTGAGCCACCCCTGGCATCTTTCGTGTGAGTATTTCCCATCTTTTGAGGTTACCGGAGAACCTTTCAAGAGGTCCTATGCCAGCTGCGTCTAGGCAAATCGGTTCCCTGTACGCTATGAGAAAAATAGATCTCTCTATCCGTTTCTCTCTTTCTTCCCCCCCTCCTTTTCAGAAGATACTTGGGGACTAAGCCGTCAAAGCCGATCGACAAGGACGTTGGTCATATGCATTTAAGATGTTGGATGTCGGGCTAATGAAGGTCGGACGATGACGATGAAGAGTTGGTATATTAGGGTCAATTAAACAAATGGCGAAAAGGTCGAAAAGGTCGCACGCGTTCGTTCGTTTATATCGCTATTTAAAGGTATGACCCGATAGACTCGATCCGTAGGTGCGCCGTATTTATATCCTATTTTATCATATGGTCATCAGAATGTGGAACTAAATACAAAAGCAAGGAAATGAAGTAAAAAGGGAGGAGACCAGATTAGTAGGTGAACATGGACGTGTGGATATGTATAGATATATAGGCATATACACACCAGATAGACAGGTAAACGTTAACCAAGTCGTAAAAAAGAGAAAAAAAAAAAAAGAGGTCAAAGGGGCAGATAGATGCTGTCAGTGGTGAAAGTGGAGGTGGAGGTGGTAGCACTGTAACACATATTGTTGATGTTATCCTAGTAACATGAAGCCAGAGTCCATCTGGGGAAATGGCTAGTCTTGCTAGTGTGGTGCGTCACCGTAGTCAAAGCAGAGTGATGTAGCGAGGTGGTGTAGAAGGGTAGAAGCAGAAGGGACTAAGGGTAAAATGTCAAAATGTGTACAATACATACCTTGAGGATATAAGAGACTACTAGCCCTGGAGGTACATAGGTATGTAAGAGTGTAAAGAAAGTCCAAGTAGGTAGGTACCTCTAGACTACCCGGTATTGATGCGGGCAGCTCTACTTCGTAGCAAGGTAAGGTACGGGATTGATAGGAATTGATAAGGATTGAGGAGAATTGATGCGTAGATGCATCGGTGCGTAATGCATAAATGCGTAAATGTGTAGACGGGATTTCCTTATTCCCTTTTCCTTTTCCCATAGGTACTTATCAGGTAGATACAAAGTAATTATTCCCAGTTCGTAGAAATGTTTCCGGTTATATTTTCAGTTCTCGTTCTAGGCACAGGGCTGGCAGGCTGGTTACTTAGACTTAATCTGATTTAATTTTTTCGAGTTTCGATGTTCCTTATTCTGTAAAGAACGAAAAGAAAAGAAAAAAAGCAAAAACTATTTTATAAAAATGAAGGAATACCTTATGCACCAAAGTACCTAGTGACGCACAGAATATATAGTATTTGGAAGACGGTTTAATGTCTGGAGCATTTAATGGAGTGTGTTGGTGCGCAACGAGCATCATTCGATTTTGGTATCGACGATCCTTTACCTCATCAAACCCCATTCCCCATTCCCCATTCATGAGGGACCGATTCATGTATAATTGCATACTACCACGGTTTAATTATCAAGCCGTCTTCAACAATAATATTCTTTTTCAACGTCACTATCCTGTCACGATGAATGGAATTTCCATAACACTACAGATATAGGACCATCAATTTTTTTTTCTTGTTTTCCATATTCATTCATCCTAGTCAATCACCATATCTCTATTTCCTTCCTAATCCTAAACATGTCACCACCCACCCTACCAAGCGCATATGTACATAGTGTGTATAGAAACATCATATTGCTACTGTCTATTTAACCAGTTACCAGTTATAACAGACAAAGAGACTGAATACCGAACCATCCAGCCCTTCTCAGCTACTACTATGTACGGGAAACAACCAGAGAGAAATCATCTAGATTTGGTTACGATGACGTTGAACCCCGTGCTTTCAAACTGCTGCCCCTGAACCCACTCGTCCGACGATACGCGCTTAGTCGGCCACTTGGGAATAGAGAATGGCAATTGTTGCAAAGCCAGATACCGACTACATACACCTTTGACACATACGAGACCTTCACAATGCTCGTTGGCTTTGAAAATGCTAGTTTTCCCCTTCAACGCCACCCTCAGATTATCTATCGGGGGGCTACAACGCTTGCCACAACGCTTGCCATGTTGCAAAGCTTGATCGATTGTTCTGCGGAAGGCACTGCTCATTCGATCGAGGTACCTAAAATTTCGACTTGACTTCGAATATCTTACGAAGTGGGCGAGAACCGGTTCGACCAAGGTATTTCTCACATCCATCAACTATCCCAGTACAAGTTATATGCATAGTAAGAGAACAGGATGAAGCCGTCGGTTCTATAAGGAATATATTGGATTTTGTTAATTTAGATGAAGCTCAAGTAATTGATCGGTCAACGCGTTGTCATTTGTGACGGCTAGGATATTAAACTTCATGTATATTAAATAGCAAGAAATACTTTATGATTTTAAAATTCACCTTTATTGGAATTTATTCCGTAATATTATACGATTCTTAATTATCGACGCGTTTACCTCCAAGTAAAGAAGATACTTACCTACATAGGCTGCTAGGTATGTAATACCTATCTAATTTTCTTTGTCTTAGGTAATCAGAATTATATTATGTAACGTGGATGGCGGGGCATTGAAGATTGCCCCGCAGTGACAGATTTGAAAATGAAAAGAAAAAAAATCTTAACAGCTTGACTTTCATTCTATGCACGATTCTACTATTCGATTACACTTACACGGTAACTATGGCTACTAATAACATAACCGGCGACTCCATCGAGCCTCTAAAAACCGTAGTAAACTCCACGATAGACCTTATATCCCAATTAGAAGACTATCTTCACTCGAATGCCTTCGATGCTGACGATACTTCCGAAGCCGCTGCCCCGTTATCGTCACAATTCTCGACCGTAGATTCGGTAGACCCTTTCGCCCTCGCCCACGACTCTGCAACTCTTATAAAGGCTCACGCAACAAAGCTATCCCTGCTTATTATCAATGAACCATTCACACCCTCGGCTATAATCAAGGTCCTCCGTGAGATGGTAGCCGGCCCTATCCCGGCTCTTGCGTCCGCCGTCCAAGTTTGTGACGTCCACAAATGTACCACGGTGGCTCGTCAAGACCTCTCTTGGCGATGTCACCGAGTGTTGAAAGAACTTAAGAGCTTTGTCGGCATTGTTCCTCTCGATGGAAATGTTCTATCTAACGAGAAGAAGAATGGCACCAAGGGAGGGAAAGGAAGCATGGCTTCTACTGGTGTCATATGGGCTGCTTGTGACGACGTAATCCTTCTGAAGAACTTGGGCATTGCTGGGCTGCTTGTCAAGAAGGTCGAGGAATATAGAGATACTTTGAAGGACATCTTGGAAGAATTGAAGGAGTATAGCGAGGAAGATGACGAGGAAGATGAAGAAGAGGGCATCAACGATGTCACAAACCAGATCCAACACACACATATTTCGACGCAGGAGATGCTAGATGACCTCATGAATCCGCGTCACATACCTAAAGATGATCCGGACAAGATTAGAGAACGTCTCGAGTTTTGCATGAAACGGCTTCGACTCACCACATTACTTTATACGGCCATCGTGAAGAGGCGACTCAAAACCCTACCGGCGCTCCCTAACACCACACGGATACCAGTAGCGCAGCGCCTCGATGAAGTATTTCCCCTACTCAAGCGATTACCCCACCGGTTCGGCGAAGTGGCGTGCGCATTTTACGAGCTAGATCGTGACTCTATCGACCGCACTATGGATTCTTGCTTCTTCGACGCTTTTGCGACATCAGAGATGATGATGAAACCCTGGGAAGGCCAGAGGGACGAATTTACCGACTGGGCAGAGAAATTCCAAGTCGGCATTAAAAAACCAGATTAGGTACGCTTTACGAACTGTGGAAACTTTTGAGAAGCATATATATATATATATATATACAAGTTATCCGTTAAGGATGAAGGATGAAATCTTTTCTCCAAGCCTACCTAAGGGATAGTAGAAATTTAAAACTAGCAGACACGAGTTCGCAACGGCCGCACTCCGAATACGATTCTTATCACACCTGGATCGCGACAGAGTTGAAGTTAACCTATTTAGCTTGTCAGCTCTGCGTGTAGAAAAATAATAGTCCGTTAAGTAGGGGACTTACATGGCCTGAAGATGGACATTCTGCTGAAATCGCAGGGCCAGTCGTCGACTTGCCATTAAACGTAATGGTAACGGTACCGGACTTTCCGCTGAAGTCTATTTCATAGAACGAGGCCTTGCCGACTGAACTGGACGCGCTTACGGTCTGAGTCGTGCCTCCAATGGCAACAGTGATGTCCTTGGGCGAATTGGACAGCGCAATGATCGAGATCACATCCTTCGTTCCACTTGCCGCCGAAGCGCTTCCACCTTGGCCCCATACGGTCCCTACAGCTGGGTGTTAGAGAAGACGATTAGGGATTGTCTAATGCAACTGCTACTCACCGCCGTTGCCGCACACCGCTGCTGGCGTAGTCCGATACCATGCCACAGCACCCTCTGACGGCAATTCTACATTTGTGTTGCCAGTCTTGTAGGCGCTGATGAAGTAGGGCAATACAAAGCGGAAAGCGGAGTGTCCAAAACCGTCGACATACCCCTCGGCACCGCTCACAATCTGTGCAGCAACCGGATCGTTGATGTAGCTAGACTCGCCGTAGTCGTTCCCTGCTCGTGTTAGCGTTCAAACATGAGGATTTGGCCACAAGCATGCGCAGTTAGCTTACAAGTGATGATCTCGATATACTCGGGTTGGATATCCAAGACTTGCTTCCAACGGTCGTACCAGAGTGAATCGCTAGACGAATACCAGTTTTTGTTATATTGGGGAAGGTCTAAGTTCTTGGTTAGTATGTGGAAATTGTCCGTATGATTTCATGACTAGGTAGACGTCGTCTCATACCTGTATAGAAGTAAGGGCTAACGCCCATCATGTATGGCTTGCCCTGGAGGGTTGATTTGTATGCCTGGTCATTCCCAGTCGTTATTGTATACTCGTTTGCGTTTGGCCAGGCACCCCAATTGACTATATCGCGTTGGTTAAACGATCACAGAAACCGGTAGATGATGGAAAACACTAACAAGCACCATCGATCTGACTTAATTTACTACCGACTCCTTGAGCTCCCAATGAAGACCAGTCAGGAACCACTTCGACATATCGAATTAGTGCTTGCCCTTATCAAAATTCGGTGTAGCTTTGAGTTGTGAGGGTTGGCTAATAAACCCAACAATTTTATAAAGCCTTTCACAGGTTGGTAGGTAGGTTACTCACAGAAGATACCACCTGTAGCAGAGCGCACCGCAGCCCAGTTGTCAGCCCAGGTTGGCCCCTCGAACGTCGAGACGAACGGCTTTCCGTTAACCTTGAGCTGGCTGTTGGCGCCCTTGTACTGGTTGACGAGCGAAACAACCTGATCAACAGACCAGGAACTAGCAGCCATATCGAAAGATAGAAATAGGTCGAAGCTATTGGAGGAAGCGGTGTCGTACGCTAGCTGCAACTGTTGTGCATTCCACGAATCTGCAGAGCCGACATTCAAAGCAAAACCATCGATACCGGCCGACTTGGCTTCCGTGATATCTTTTTGCCATTGATCTTTGGACTGCCCGCTAGTCAGGCCTACCATATAGTGCGCGAAGACCTGGCGACCGTTTCCTTGTCGAGGGATAGCAACGCCGGCCGCAGTGGAGCCGACGAGCAGCACAACCGCTGCCACAATATTCAGACGCATGTTCAAAACGAGTCAAGCACTTCGATTTTTAGATCGTGGGCGAGGTAAAAGGATGTGATGAGATCGTTGTCAAAAGTGATATCCAGACCATAGCTACTTAACCTATGGGGCAATCGCAGCGTATATATATATACAATGCGAGCGCATACGATGGCTTTCGATATTGCAAATCCTATATTTAAACCCAAGTGTAAATCCTATTCAAGCCTGGGTGACATTAGGGGGGGCTATGCCCAAGTGGCTACAGAGCTACACTGGGAAGATGGAGGGAATCCGCCGGGAATGGCAGTCGTAGACCGGCAATATCGCTGTCACTTTTGTCCCCATCACGATTACTCTCGTGTTTGCATCAGACATGATGAAGCTGTCGTCAGGCGACGAAGATAGGTCACATAAGCCTAATGATATCGGTGAGAGGTGCACAAGGGAGAAGCATCGGAGCTCTCATAAGAGACGCACTTACTCACGAATACCCTAAAAACGATCTAGTTATAACAATAATGATGGTCTTACTACGATATTGACATATTTATTGCTTATTCTTCTTTCCTCTCAGCGAGACGAATCCGCTAGAGGATTATCCAACCGACCGAAAGAGGCAACCCTGGTGTTCAAGAGCATGTCACAAACCCCGGGTAACGCGTGACGGCGCCAGTTCAGCTCTACGCCCTGGACCTAATGTATCTACCTAGTGCCTATGTAGGGACGTATGTGCTTTGAGGATACTAGGTACATACCTACCAGGTAGGTACCTAACTGTAGGAATTTCAATTTAATTACTAATAGGGGCTCTAATAGCCGTTGAAGTTCAGCATGATGTGAGACTTTTATTAAGGAAGGTAGGTACCTAGTAGGGAAGCTGGGTAGGCAGGTAGGAATATTGAATGTTAGAAAATTATTGGATAGTCAAATTGAATATCAGGTACTAAGTAGGCTAATGGTCCTTTTACTGAAGCTTGCTTATTTTTCCGTATTTTTTCTTTTCTTTCTCTCTCTTTTTTTCTTTAGATCTTGAGAGTTTTAGATCCTCAACTGCTTCGCCTCTTATGTGCAGCTTCATTTAAATGATAAACTACTACTTAGGTAGTACATGCTCCTAGGTACCTAGCGCAGCTAGCCTTAGAAATTCAGACGTCGATAAAAATAATATCCAATCATCGTCATCCAGTCTTCAATTAATGGCTGAAACGGGCTGAATGCGTTGCCCCTTACATATCCAAGATCTGACATACCCGGGTACCTAGCGGCCTACCTAACCTAGTGCCTAGCTGCCTAGGCAGCTACAGCCGATGCGTACTATGTAGCTGTATATGGATGTCCACGATACCAGGTAGATAAATATGAGGATTGTAGGGCTGCGAGATCGAGATTACACCGGCCCACCCATTTAGGTATCTACATAGGTACATTAGGTAGCTTTCATCCATGGATGCCTCTGCCCCTTTACGGCTAGACCCCATCACGACATAAATTCCCCACTTTTCCCCTTTATCATTTTACGATCTCGAATGTGGACCGTAGCTGCAGTAATATGGATATGAAGATCTTGGCTTTCCATAAATCTATGGTTTTTCCCTTGACGTTTACGAAAAAAAAAAAAAAGGGAAAAACCGAGGATGACGATGACAACAACACCAATATTAGTATTATGTATTCTTATCCTCTTCATCGTTACTTTTATAGTTCTTCTATGAACTGATCGTTTACATAATAACTACCTTCCTAATGAAATTCTTCTGACAATTCATCTGATTCATTTGATCCATTTGCTTTGCTCGCTTAATAATTCCGTCAATCACCTCATCTGTCGGGGCACACTGACTAGTTTATTAACCTTACTATCGCGCCGTTATGCGTATGATTGACTTCTGAATACTCGTAGCGTTGCCCCGTCCATCTCGATTCGTCTATACAGCCGAAACCATGGCATACCAAGAACTTCTCGACTCCCCATCATCGTAAATACCCTGTGCCTTTACCCCACAACCAGCTACCTAGCTGAATTCCGCCAATCATCACAGTGTCATAATTCAGACTGAGTATAGTTGAAGGACATTTTCTCGGTCTTGTGCTAGACCGAGGTAGTTCAACGGGAGCTTGTTTCTCTCCCTGTCTTTAAAACGGGGAACATGCTTGATGCGCGTAGGTGTAGATAAATATTAAATATGTATATATATTACCTACCTAGTGCCTAGGCACGTATACTGTATGTGTGGCTATCTGGTTCACGGATCTAGCTAGGTCAACATAGTTTGACGATCTCCCGCGCCTGCGTTAGAGCTTCTTTGCTACTGGGTATCGGTGCGTAGCTGCAGATTAACGCTATGTCCCTACATCTCCTTGTCTTTTCCGTCTTGACTTTTGCTTCCTCGGTGTTTGCCGCATTTGGCTTCACCCAGTCCGGGAGTAATTATGTCATCGACGCCGGCTCGAGCAATGCGTTGATCTTCACTGTCAATGGAGGTAGCTGCGATATCACTTCGATCAAATATCGCGGCACAGAACTTCAGGATTCTTCCAGCAATACGCACTTGTCGTCCGGCCTCGGTTCGGCAACCGTCAAGGTTGAGTCCGTCACAGCTAGTATGTTATTTATACAAGAGACAGATGATGATCTGGCATCAGAAGTTAGAACTTAAACAACTTGGAAGCGTTCTTACTCTCTACTTAGGTTCTGTCAATTATGTCAAGGTAACCTGCACAACTTCGACGTTGACTCATTACATGGTAGTTAAGGAAGGGGAAAGCAACATCTACCTCGCTACCTACATCAAATCGGAACCTTCGGTCGGAGAGCTTCGCTTCATCGCGCGGCTCAAGTCATCCGTGCTCCCTGAGGAGTACCCTTACGGCAAAGTATCAACTACTTCGGGCAGCTCGGCTACCGTAGAGGGCTCTGATGTCTTTGTCGTCGACGGGGAGACTCGATCTAAATTCTACTCGAGCACTCGATTCATCGACAAAGACGCGCAGTGCGTCTATGGTGGTTCTGATGTAATCCACGTGTGCGTTTTAGCTCCACACCCCGAATCGTCATCTGGGGGGCCGTTCTTTCGTGATATCGAAAGTAATAATGCCGGCTCTGCCACAAATCTCTACTGGTACATGAACAGCGGTCACGTCCAGACCGAGGCTTTCCGAACCAATGTGCTTCACGGGCCTTACATCTTGACCTTCTCGCGATCGGGTATCCCTAAGCTTCGCGAGGCCGACACCTCCTTCTTCTCGGGGCTAGGCGTCACCGGTTACGTGGCCGAGTCCGGCCGTGGTTACGTCTCCGGTACTGCCTCTGGGATTTCAACCAGCTTTCAGAACGTCGTCCATTGGTATAATGCACAGGCACAATACTGGGCCATCGTATCATCTAAGGGTGCTTTTACGTCACCAGCGATGAAGCCTGGCGCCTATACGATGGTTTTATATCAAGGCGAGTATAAGATTGCTACTGCGACCGGAATCTCTGTCAGCGCCGGCAAGACAACGTCCAAAGATATTGCTAATGCCGAGACGTCACGGAATTCTCTATGGAGGATCGGAGAATATGATGGCAAGCCCACAGGATTCCTTAACGCAGACAAATTTCTTCGAATGCACCCCTCTGACTCTCGCATGTCTGCTTGGTCTCCCGTCACCTACACTATCGGTTCCTCGTCCCTAGGTCAGTTCCCCATGGCTCTGTTCCAGACGGTCAACAACCCCGTGACAATCAAGTTTACTCTAGCTTCTGCCCCCGGTGCCGCCACCCTCAGAATTGCGACCACTTTGTCATTTAGCGGAGCTCGCCCCCAAGCCAAAGTCAATTCCTGGACGGGAACGGCCCCGTCGGCTCCCACGAAGATCGACAGTCGTGGTGTAACTCGTGGAGCGTACCGTGGCCATGGTGAAGTCTATGATGTTAACATTCCCTCCGGTACTCTCGTAGCCGGCTCAAATACTATCACGATCACCTCTATATCAGGAAGCAGTGGCAGCACCTTCTTAAATCCTAATTTTGTAAGTACTATGCTAGCGGTTCCATCCATATGAACCACATTTGAATTAACGGAAATTGTAACAGATCTTCGATGCCGTCGAGCTCTACACATGATACTACCTACTTAAGTAGGTATATACCAAGTGTCAACGACGAAAGGGGCATGGAGTATTTACATGCCTCAACCACCAAGGATCTATATCTTGTGATCTCATTTGGTCGAAGATGGTTATGAAAGTTTTGCCCCGATGCATTTCTCACCTTCCAACTTCCACCTTTGTTTCCTCTAGTTATATATACCGTATGTAGTTCGACCGTACCTACACTAGAAATTTCCACATCTTAATCTAGATTCTATTGAAATGGTAGTCGTATAACCTTTTATATTGTATACCTACCTACCTACCTACCTACCCTCATATACTACCTGGGTAAATACCTATCTAGGTAGGTACCTAGTAAGCAGTATACAAAAAGACAACCAATTCACGCCCGCCTAGAAAGGATGCCTGTGAAAAAAAAACAAAAAAAAAAACATACCTAGCTTTTATTGGTGCTTTAATTCTTTGGGGCGTCTGAAGTCATTCTATGCCAATCTACTCATTTGCTTGCCAAGTTCAGGATTCAGTTTCCGTCCCCCTCCATAAGATACGACCAAACCAAGGCACACAACGCAATAGCTACTAGGTATAACCACCATACAAGCCCAATGACACCCTCTTCAACCCCTAATGCAAACACGTATCCCCCAACTGCTGGTCCAACCGTACGAGATAGGCTCGCAAGCATATTCCCAGCCCCATGGATGGTCCCCAGAACTGTCTTTGAGGGTGTCGCCTCGGTCAATAAGATGACGGTACTCGGTATGGCCATCGTACGTGCCATGATTTGAGAACACACTACTAACCCTAAAAATACCCAGCGTAAGGCTCCATCACCTTCGCCCGCCAAGAGAGACAGGTACGGTGCTGTCGCATACGTGACAGGAAACAGAAACAACGAAACCCGGAAGACACCTCTCGTTCCAATGCGTGCTTGTAGTCGTGGATATATAAACAGTTGCAATAAAATCCCGCATATACCGAAGGCTGAAAGCCACATACCAATAGTTGAAGAGCGTAGACCCAAACCGCCGGCGAAGGCAAAGAATGTGGCCTCACCGTTATCAGCTGGTGGGCTACTGAGGTATACTGGGAATATATGCATGAAGGCCGAATTATGCAACGGCAGCAACCCGAACGAGACCAAAGCGCATAGTACCCTACGCGTCCAGATACCTCGAAAAGGGAGCTCTTTGCGAGCGTCGGGTGTTATCTCGGGTGCGGGTTTCTCGAAATCTAATCGAGCCTGTCCTAGGAACGTGTCTTCGCTACTGTCGATTTTTACGTATTGCTGTCGTCTATGTAGTATACGTTGGATCCATCGCATAATCGCCTCTCCAGCCTTTAGGCCGACATCTTTCCGATCCTCCTTTCCAGGAAGCGTTTCCCTGAGGCCGACTAAAGCTATAATAAGACAACAACTCAGTACAGCGGCGTTGAGGAGCGCAGGGAGCGCATATGGGAAGGCAACAGCCCAAGCTACGCCGGCGGGATTCCGACTCGTATTGAAGACACCGTCTGGTCCGAAGAGCCACGGCATATTAACGACAGGCTCCGCAAGGCAACCCCCTAGAGTCAAACTGGCTACCATGCCCGCATTAAATACCAATGGTAGTAAGAGGAATGCCTTAGTCTGGTATCTTCGCTCGCATACCACCTCCGCCGTTACCGTGCGCATTATACCGACATTTCCGTTGGCGAAGCCGGCCAAGACTCTCCAAAATAGGAGAGAGCCGAAGGACCGCGAGAAACCGAATCCGATGTTTGCCAGGACGGAGACTGCTAACCCGGCAACGATAGAAAGGCGCCGCCCGTGTCTGTCCGACAGTCTTCCCCACGGGAGGCTCACGAGAAACTGCGCTAGCGGGAATGAGGCAACGAGCAAGCCGGAAAACTCAGATATGCGGGCTGCAGCTTGAGGTGCTTGGTCATCTTCGGAGGAGGCCAGCGTCGGCGGTAGGACCGATCGAACGAGGTAGAATATATAGGGTAGAAGGCAGACATTAGAGAGGGGTTCTGATAGGCGACAGAGTGACAGGATGAACAGTTGGTCTTTGTTTGGAAGGTCACACCACCGAACCTGTGTCGTCTTTGGCGTCGTCATCAATTCAGGGCGAATTCTCTCGTCCCCAACATCATCGCGGGCTATAGGTGTGAGATCTGGTAGGTCTTGCGGCCAATAATAAGTTAGCTTTTACATGCTCTGATAATTCCTTGGTGGGATTGTTTATCGGTGACTAGGTATATCGTCTAGAACGCTTACCGTTTCCTGAGCTCACCGAAGCACTGGCTTCATCATTTTCTTTTCGGCCCATATTATGTTCAACGGGTCATACTGGTGAGAGGGAGATTATTCGGCTCTGATGCCGTGACTGATCACGCAGTCTTATATCATCGCTAATCTAGCTAGACTAGCAATAGCAAGAATAAAAAAAATCTTTGGTCCTTTAATTTGCGAAAAAAAAACACGAAAAACAATGTGTGAAAAGGGGGTAAGGACGAAACACGAACCTCATTACACAACATGTCATAGTCATCCTTTTATATATCCTATAGAGGCTTTTCTCTGCTAAATATTAATAAGGGCTAAATACTCGCTGTCTCATCGTCGCCAAATGCATCCAAGCTGGCATTCTTGTGATAATAATGTAATTATCCAGACTAGATCAAGTAATCCACAACGGATCCAGAGCCCTACCAGCTCCGAACTTCCTGACGTGTCTGATAACGGCAATTCAGGTGATACACCAAGTCTAATTTATCCGCGTCCAATGATACTCGATGCTCTTAGTATATTGTACCTCCGCATGTAATGTTTATGGTCCACTCTAGGTCGTACCAAAAAAGCAGTCTTGGCTTGCAGCTTCGAACATCAGTAAATCGGGGAAATGGCGGGGGGTTCTCCTCCCGTAGCAATATCATGCCATCAAGGCACCTAGCTAAGACAAATCGATGGATTCCTAGCCTGGATGGCCAGCTTATGTAGGGGTGACATGCGGGCACTTTTTCGATGCGGGACTTACTTCTCGGGGCAAGGATTGGTTATGTTTCTATCTTATAATCGTCCATGTTATAAGATAGGAGGTTAACGTGCTAGGGGGAAGTATCAGACTATGAGCCGAATTGGGGTTCCTGAGATGGTGTGAAGCATTCTGTTTTACTCTGCTTTGTCGTGGTATGAATAAGTTATTAGTATTCGGCTTCTCTATACCGTCAAAAAGATATCTATTCTCTCTCCTCTCACCTCCATTCATCGCAAGCCTGACTTTGGTCTGTAGATAGCGTTATAAGACTCTTTTGAGTTTTCCTGTTGCATGGTCTCTTTGTGTTGTACCTACATAGGTAATAATTCTTGTATACATGATCATTATCTAACTACTATGTCGTTCGTAACGAAAGCAGATATTCGGCTTCATCTACTATGTATCTTTTTTGCAGTTGGCTCATTCGTTTGGGGGTAAGGGATCACTTCAGTTTAACATTCATCAGCCTCACTAATCTATAACTGGCGATCTGTACCCAACTCCCGAAACAATTTCATTGAGGTATACAATGGAGAACTGTGAGTCACTGCTAAGATTGTCTACCATAGGTATAATGTTGGCATTCTCTCTTCCGTCCTTGTTCATCCTGGGTTCGTCAAAATTATGGGTCACCTTACCCCTTCAAGAAAAGGGGTAATTACTGCTATCTATTATCTAGGAACTTGGTATGTTGCTGTCACAAAACGGACCTCTGTCAGCTTCTTGCTACATAAACTAAGAAGGTGACAGTGAGTGATTTTCGCCGCGTAAGGCTCCTAGAATCCTCTACCTGGGAAACTGAAACGTATCAGGGTTGAGCTACATATTCATTTCCCATCCAGCGAGCGATGTCTTTGGGCGAAGATACGCAGCCTTGGGCGGCATCCTCACCGTCGCCATCGGTAATGCTTTTGAGTGTGGCGCGACGGGGTCTGGGGCGTATGCCATGATGATCATTGGTCGCATAATATCAGGAATTGGCGTAGGCATGCTATCGACTTCTGTTCCCTTATACCAAAGGTTATCCCTTCATTCTCCCCTCTCTCCTAAGAATAGCTGAGAAAGAGTTCATGCTGATAAGCCGCTTTTTAGTGAGGTGGCCCCGGCCGGTAAACGCGGAAAATATGTCGTTTTGAACCATGTCGGTTTCGTTGGCGGCCTAGCGGCGGGATTCTGGTGAGAATTTCTCAACTTATTATATGCCTAGTGATATGACAATATGCTAATGAGATAATCGATACTTAGGGTCGGGTATGCTGTGACATTTTGGAACACCACAGACTACGACTTATACGTCTCGTGGCGCGTTTCTCTCGCCGTCGTTTTAGTCCCATGCCTCATATTCGGAGCTGGACTTCCATTCCTTCCTGAAACGTAAGTTCCGCTGTTCATACATAACTCAGAACAAATAAACGATTCACTGAAGGTTGTTGAACTACTTGCATAAATGTGGTTAACAAGCGGGGACAGTCCGCGCTGGCTTATCGAGCACGGTCATCACGATGCGGCGCATAAATCATTGTATTGGCTGCGTGAAGGTAGTTTTACGGAGCAAGAGATTGACACCGAGTTGATGCATATTAGAGGGGATGTAGAACTACATCATGCCCCAGGAGAAGCGAACTGGCTGTCGTTATTTAAAGATCGAGGTTTATTTGAACGTCTTTGGCGCGCGTCCCTGCTCCAATTCATGGCGCAGATGTGCGGTGCTACAGCCATGAAATACTATTTACCAACGCTTTTCTCAAAGCTTGGTCTACCTACGAGGGTTACCTTGTTGGCTGGTGGTATCGAGTCTACATTAAAGATCGGCATGACGGTTATCGAGATGTTTCTCATAGACCATCTTGGCCGTAGGGTGACGCTGACCGCAGGCTGCGTTGCGATGGGGTTTAGCATGTTAGTATGTATATCTAGTCCTTCACGAATCCTCCTCCCTCTCCCCTTCCTCTTCGAGGGTATACGGTATACGGAATACGACTGGCTAATACATATCACCCTCCAAGGTCAATGGTGTGCTTGGCCAGATTTATCCGGACAACACAAACAGAGTCGCTGACGTAGTTTGTATTGTGTTCATCTTCATTTACGCTCTTGGGTATAGTATGGGTTTCGGCCCAGCGGCCTGGGTATACGGCTCCGAGGTAAGTAATATCCAAATCTCGCCCTGAATCTCGAATCACGAAGACTGAATGTTACATTCAGATATTTCCGACTTCTGTTCGAGCGCGTGGACTCAACTTTTCCGCATCGGGCGGAGCTATCGGTTCCATTGTCGTAGCCCAAGTTTGGCCTGTTGGCATCGATACAATTGGTTCCAATATCTATTTCTTCTTCATGGCGGTTAATTTTGTCTGCATCCCCGTAAGGTTTCTTTTCTTCTACCCCAACAACTCGTATTCTTAGTCGTAAGTCCTCTAACCCCCTGGATTAGATCATCATTCTTTTCTACCCCGAGACTAAGGGCCGGCCGTTGGAGGATATGGACCTACTCTTTAATAAAGTTATCGGAAGAGTTGGGGAAGATCTTGACGAGCATTCTGAGCCAGTACTACCTAAGAATGTTAGCCGTCCACCACAGACCTGATGGTATCGAAGCGAAGGGGGTTCTAGAACGAAAGGCCGGGGTGATATTATCAATGACGGTCATTCTAATTAATAAACCCTACGGATAAGAATCGTATGATGAGAGTGGGATCGTCTTTGTATATTTCGACCGCTGTTATAATAGCTAGCGAGGTAGCAAAGTATCATCGGATATAATGCAGAATGACTTACTACGTATGATAGGTTTTCAATTGAACGCCAAACGGATTGATGCTGCACTTCGTCGAGTCGATATTTTTTAGTCCTAGTCTATCAAAAGTGACTTGAAGAAACGAAAATGGCATTTCATTGGTATCTACCAGAACGCCTGCCCAATGCTATTTGCTATTATCCGTCATCATCATGATAGGGCGATCGGTTCGACAGCCCTTTCAGTGATATATTTCATTCAAGACCCATTTGAGCCTCATCTCCGATACCCCACTGCCCCTGATCTTTACCGTGCCCTTGGATTTCTAACTCGAGTGCCGGCGTTAAGCGACCTTCGTCATCGTTAGAACGTAGACTAGCCGCTTCGCTCGTTCTCCTAGATCGATGCGTGCCACCTGTGGTTCGCCGACGCAATGGTGGGCCGGACATCCTAAGCCTAGCCGACTTGGACGAGGTGCTAAGAACCGAAACTGCGTCGTCTTCCTCCTTTGATGGCCCATTCTTATCGGGCTCGATATTCGTAGATAATTCTGGATTCGAGGCAGAGAAGGTAGAGAAGGTAGAGATGTCAACTTTTTCCGAACTGGACGTCGGAGCGGGACGCGGTCGAGCAGGCAGCTCGGGAGGCGGGGGAGAAGCGACCTTGTCTAGAATCTCGACAAGTTCGGCATCACGATACCATTTGCGGCGTCGTGTCCATCTACCCCACCCATCGTTACCTCGGCGACCGTTCTGCCACTGCGTTATTGTAAGAAAGACTGGGAACCTCGGTCAATAGAGGACTCGCGGAAAATGAAAACATACCTTGTTGTCGTAGAAAATCCATCCATTCTTGCCCGCGTCAGTATCATAGTCGGCCTCGTCAAGATCGGGCGCGCCGTCAACTCGCCATCTACCCTCTTCGACCCACCTCCACCTCGCATGCCCATCCTCGACCTCCGGCAGTTCGAATTCATCTTTCTGAGGAACAGGGTTGTTGTGCTCGTCCGTCCAGGCGGCACGTTCGTAGGCAAACAGGCTGTTCGTCCACCCCAGGCCCAGCCAGCGTCTTTGATTCTCGTATATGATGAAAGTGAAGCGTACACCTGAATCCTTAGTCCCGGGGCGGCCGCTACGCTTAAGGGCAGCAGTCAGGGCAGATGATGATACCTTGGTGGTTTCATTCGGTCGGTTCGTCTTCGAACCTATGGCGATGTTAGTCTGATTACCGTTGGCGCCGTCGAGCTTCGGTTTCGCTGGTTCGTCGAATTGTAATCCCGTCACCAATCTTGCCAGCCTTCGCATCGTAGCACTCCGCCATAATAATGTCCGAGATACTCGGCAGACTCTCGAGTGCCAGGTGAGGAGTAGGGTACCAAAGGCTAAGACGACCCTCTTCGTAGTTATAATCTTCATGGGCGGAAGTGTTAAGACGATCCAAGCAGGGGTAATGGCAAGTATTCGAACAAATAGCGTAGTGAGTGCTGGCCTAGTAGTTGCGCTAGTCGCAGTCCGCTGGGTAGACAGGAAATCGGTCATCTCGAGCAATGGCTCAAGTAAGATATTGCATCTGGTGGTGAAGACTTTGACGGTATCTACAATTTCATCCAATGTCTTCTGGTGCCTCGTACTCGTAATCTCGCTCGCATTACGCTGATGCTGGCCGTTGATACCCCCCGTGGCAGATACGCTGGACGGTTTCTTGTCTTTGCTGTTGGCCATACTCGGATGCTCGGCCCAGCCACTACTGGACAGCGGACTGTATCGCCGCCCATACATGCCTCCTATAATACCCATCACGACCACGATGGGGCCAAAGAAGCGCACGATGACGTCTCCATACTGCACCGCGGCCCAGAAGACCACTAACAGCAGAAAGCTCTCCCACGGGTCACCAGTAGTCCATGTCAACAGTCCTACTAGCTTGTTGAGAGGCAAGAGAAAAGGGTGGCTGTAAGCAAGAGCGCGGGTGATCTGGGGAGGTGTAGCAAGCAGCAACGGGGACTTCTGGTGGACGAGGATAGTCGATCTTCGTTTAGCAGCCGATGCGGCAGTGGAAAGGTTCGCGGGGGAGAAGGAAGCGTAAGTAGGAGGAGCGTACGTAGGCGGGAGATCGGAAGGGGTAGCAGAGCCGTAGCCGTCGACGTCGCCGCGGGAAGTAGATTTCGGAGTCGACATGTGTGTCATCCAAGGCGTGTCCTAAAGCGCGTGAGAAGGAAGAAGAAGAGCATAAGCAGAAACGAAGACAGAAACAGATAATAGGGTTAGATGGCCAATCTTTCAATTTCAATGCGTAACCATGTTTATATTAGTCTGGTTAGGAATTGTCTAGATGATTATCTGCTTTTTTATTGATTTTTTTTTTTAAAAAGGTGAAGGTATGGATGGAATTGGAAGAAAGCTGAAATGAAGGGAAGATTTGAAGCTTTTTGGAGGGTTAAGGTTAAGGATGTCGAGGAACAAGTATGCAGCCTTCAGTTTGTTCATCCACCGATCTAATGACGCCTTCATTAAACTTAGGAGGACGGTGGAGGAATATGCAAGATGTGCCTTATGTAGTATGCGTATGAATGTATGAATGTATGAATGAGTGTATGGATTTAATATTTATTAGGCAGAAACATTAAATAAGAGTGACAAGGTAATAAATAAGAGGTAACTTACCAGAGCAGCCATCAAGGGCCATTCAATTTAAGAAAAGATGTCACTGCGCACGATGCGAACCAACGTTTTTTCTTCTTCTGTTCTTTTCCTTTTTTTGAATGATCGAATAATTGAATATGCCGAACGAATCCGAGTCTACGGGTAGCTCCTGCTCCTACTCTTGCTCTTGCTTCTGGCTTTTCGTCCCCCGAACACGACGTCATTCGACGATGATGTATGTATCGTAGTAGGTACGCGTAACTAAACAATTTACTAAATATCGTACATACATACTATGGGTGTACATAAGAAATATATGCCTGCCATCGAATCAAAGGTGTAGGCATCTATCATAGCACGGGTATTTTGCTTGGATAAATAGAAAAATAAAAGATAAGAGAAGATATTTATATTTGTCCATTTAGAATAATCAAAAAACTCTGAGCAAATACATTCTCAAGCTGTCAAGTTCGAGGCTTCCAATCCTTAGGTATGTACTTCTAGTATGTATATGACAAGACTACCAGTTGCTCTTACCTAGGTAGGTATCACTTCCCTATTATGCATAGCTTTATTACTCTTTTCAAACTAGTTCCATCTGCCTTACTCGACGCTTCGATCCTAATGCGGGGAGCAACGCTAAATTCTCCCCTCGGTACTGACACGGATCTGCTTTCACATGCACTGGTTAGTAATGTACCTAGGTCTATAGGTAGGTAGTACCTAGTATCGGGATAGTGACATGTGTCGGAATCGTACTGCCAGGTATAGATAGGTATTTTGATTTCTCCAATGCTTCTAACGTTGTTCTTATTCGTCTAAGTACCGGTATTTAAGATTGTTATATCATACTAGACACCAGATATACGTGCATCATGTATCGACTATCATAGTGCAAAGACAGAGGTGTATCAATCTCTCTATTCTTTATTTTTATTTTATTTTTATGGATTAGGTCTTAATTGACTGTTATAATGTAACGTAAACTCATCGCACAGCATTGTCAAGAAAAGAACTTGATAATCCTGATTTCCATGCTTTTTACATTTGATTTGATGAATATCGATGGCCGATTAACCTGCCGTCACCTGAAAAGCTAATCACTTCAAATGAGTCTCCTTTCTTCATCTTTCCCCCACCCTCCAATATCCATACGCATCCCGAGCCCTGCGACGTACAAGATACGCATGCTCATCCCATGATCAGAGGAATGCGATATCAGGCTTCACCGTTCGTAGCCATTTAATGAAACCACGAGCCTGGAGCTTGCCATTTCCCAGCTTGCTTCCTCCACTTCGATCGAAGACAAGTCGAGATGATGAGCCGTTACCGTGTCTCAAGACAAAAACTGTGTTCCCTTTGGAATCCGGGATGATATCCTTTTCTCGAGAGAACCCCATCATTTCCATTGGGTCGATCGTGATTGACACAGGGCCCTGTCTAGTCGACACTGTCCTTCGGTCTGCGCTATAAAATAGTTGGACGCAATCTCCTTGATCTTTTGTCCTCTCCCACGACATATCGCAGCTTCTGTAGAACGAGAGTTCGAAATCTGCAGCAGCAGAATGCAGTCCGACCATCGCGGCGTCACCAACAAGCCCAGGCCCCATGGCGGGTGTGGCGTTTTCCACGTCCACTAATGGCTGTATAGACGAAGATTTCGTGTCGACGTGGGGTAATGTGTCTTGTCCATATTGCTTTGCATCGCTTGCCCCTTCCTGGCTGCACTGTACCGTCTCTTTCATTTGGCTTATTGCCCCCCTTTCCACATTTAGCGGTTGTTTGTTTCCTGTGTCTCGGTTTTCGGCACGGATGCTTGAACCGCCCGCATTAATAGTTGATTTGACGCTGTTAAGTGTCGTGTGATTAGAAGACGAAGTATCATAAATATTACCTTTGCTATGATTGTTGTCATCGTGTATTAGTTTGCTTCCCAATAAGTTTGTCAACGATGACATTTCCGAAACCTCTGCAGCCAACTTAGAAGTTAGTCTCGGAGACATCTTTTCACACATCTGGCCTCGAGGAGAAGTGGTAGCATTTGTCGACGACGGTGGAACTAATGTATCTTTCATTGACCCAGAGGTTGTTGTGCCAAGAGATTCATATTCTATGGTTTGGCTTATAGATCCTTGATTCTCCGGTGCTGTGCTGACATTGTGAACTCCATTCCTAAACTTGAGAGCCTCGGCGATAATTTCAGCCAAGTTATGATTGCGGATTGACTCATTGTCAGAAGGTTGTCGGTAGTATTGTCTTGGCATACCCGACTGATCAGGATCTTGCATTGCTTGGGCACTAAATTTAGATGGTGGAGTGATGGTGGATATAGGAGCTATGTAAGGATCTTGGGACTTCGTGGTGGATGGGCATGCCTGTTCCGCAAGTTTTCGTGCTGGACATATATCCGCGGCTGCTGATGCTGCTGCTGCTGCTGCTGGGCTGTCTGGTGCTTCACGTGCTAGGACAACTGACGGCTTCGGTTTGTCAGTATTCACCGCACCTCTCAGGCCATAGAACGCCCAAGGTCGATTTGTGCTGTTTTCGGGTTTCGCAACAGATGGCGAGGACTGGATCCAATCTTCTATTTCGCAGTCAAGAGAATCGTCGACATCGGAATCGGAGTCGGAAACAGCATAATCCTCGTCACCGGTTATCTCGCCACCTTTTTCTCGCCAGTTTTGCATCATCTTTTCTGTTGCTGACGAATCCACTGATGTCGCCTCCGACTCGGAATATGAACTGTTCGAATCATGGATATCCTCCGTATGAGAGACTGTATTGGCAGACTTGGCCGGGGTAAGTGGCGAAGTAGACGGGGCATATTCTGTACGAGATATTATTAAAATATACAAACAAGACATCGAGGAGAGTTAAGATGAGAAAACTCATTCATGAACGCCGATTCGAACGACTTACCGCCAATTCGCGCCTCTTCACGGTCCTCCCATGTCTTGTACCCTTCTCTCTCGGCAATCCACCGACGCGCAGCGTTGAAAGGGTGGTCAGGTTGGCCGGGTACGTCGCGCCAATTCAACGGGAACTTCATCAAGTCCCGAGCCGGGAACCACCCAACAGTCTGCGCCTCGTCAAAGAACATGACCGGGAATCTCCTGAGCCTGACTTTAGAGCCACCATCCTCGTATCCCGGTGCCCAACCGGTAATCCTACGAGAATCGTAAGTATAGCAATTGGGCGGCTTTGCCTTTTTCTTAAGGAGGCCAGTAGCGTTGAGGTCTCCATCCTTCAAGCCACTTCCATTCTGGCTATCCCACCCTAGAATCATGACCGGGTAGATTTGGTCGGCCACTTTACCAAGGCCACCGTCTTTCCAGCGCCCGTAATAAATATGGAAATCCTTTGGATGTGTTATGCCACTCGTACGCTGCTTCTTGAGACGATGAAAAGGCTGTTTATGACCCTTCACATAAGTCTCCTCTGCAACCCGGTTGTTCAATTTTGCTAGGTCCTCATTGCAATCTGTTACTAGGTAACCGAGAGTTCTGACCGCATGGTCCCTATTCCGATCTGTACAACCGTGGCCGTTTCCATTTAGGTGTCTGGCAGCACCTTGGACGGAATTCTTTGTGAAGCGAAGGCCGTGCTGCTCGCACTTTAAGATATACCATTGCCGACTGCCCGTCGGCCATTCAACAATGGTATCCTTGTGATTCGCATTTCCGCCTTGGTAAACCTCGTCGAAGGTAATTGTTCGTTTCGGAGGAGAATTGGTAGATTCGCTTGAGGGCGTAGGTGCGGGAGTGTAAATTTGGTTGACGGAAGTGTCAACACGTAATCGTTTAGGGTGGAGTTCATCAGATGCAGGCGCGCTGCGTTTTCTTGACTGAACGTGCATTATTAGGCGCCGCTCTCCACGGATTACCTTGTTCTGGATATTCCAGCTCAAGGGCCTGCACAACCCGAACGGCTGTTTAGGATTCGGAGACGCGGAGTTGGTTCCTAACGTTGGTCGTTGATGCCCCTTCGATTCGTCCAAAATGACATTTGCATCTTTAAGTAGCGAGCCGTGGTCGCTCTGATCATCGCTTGACTTCCATGAAATTGACGAGGGGCTAGTCTTCATGGATGACTGATTCTCATTCACCAGGGCCGCCTTGAGCTTGTCTTGATAGAGCACTTCATGCTCGGCAAGTGCTTTGACATGTTTGTCCTCGATAATCCTGACTCGGTTATTGTGACTAGCTTCGACCTCTTGCCGGTCATACTTCAGGCTCTTTTCGGCCATCGGTAAGATGATGTCTCTGTATGAGGTTAACGGCACGATGACCTTCAACTTCTGGATGTTGTCGTTATGGGTCTGGTGGAGTTCCTGTTCTAACTTCTCGAGCAACTCATCTTGAAGGGCAAGATCTGACTTGTGCTTGACTATCATGCGATCCTTCTCCATGCTCCAAATATGGTGCAGCTCGGTGGCGACCGAAGGTTCCATCTTGTATTATACAAGATATTCCTCAGCTATAGACATTCAAGCTTTGTCCAGTAAGAGAAGCGAATGTAGCGGGAATCACGAAGCTTAGACGCAAGACTCTCCGAGAATTAACGAAATCCCGGAGCTGTTCTTTAAAGAAATATGAAGAAAGGTTGAAGGTTAAAATATTGTTTATAAATCTACATGATAAAGGTGAATTAATTTGGTACGAACCCTAGGATGGGAGTGACGAGGGGAAAAATGAAAACGGAAGCCACAGTAAATGAAAATGATGCAGAGGAATACATCGAGCGCAAATATGGAAAATGAATTACCTACTCCCCGGTAAATTACCACGGGATATGTCTAAGTGCCTAACGAGATAGTTGGTTTGGTTGCCGATGGGATGGGATATTGAACTCGGGAAGATATTAGAGGAATATGAATATATAAGAGGGCAGGTGATGTCTAGTAACGTCCTGGGTTATAAAACGTAAGGTACCTAGGTGATTATTGATATGGGAATCGGTTCGTTTGTACGGAAGGAAGTAAATAATAAAAGGCAGTTACAATAACGAAAAGGTGATTGTAGATTGGACATTAAGCTTTCAAAGATAATAACGAATTAACCGAAGAGCGATTACCAACCCGACAACCAAACAACGATCATATCACCACCCGTCTAAATATAATCCCGAGCAAAATAGAATTTACCTAGGTAGCAAAGAATTGATGCTAGAATCTGAACGTCAGCCGAATCCTGGCAGGATGGTTGGTTGATAGCCATGTCGGGATTCCGGAATAGTTTTCCGTTCAGCTGTGGTTCTCGGTACCATAACTCGACAACATCATATTAATGAAGGTCTTTCTCGAAACCAGGTAGGTAATTAGCAATTACATAGCTAACTAAAAAGAAGACAGATACAAACGAGGCCAAAATTTAGCTAGTGACTTTGCTTCTCTTGTTTTTTTTTTAAAAAAAAATAAAGTATGATAGGTACCTGTGCATCATGAATTACATAGATGGCTTTGGATTTAGCTGAAGATGTATGTTTCTAGCAACTCCTACCTCCTGATATTGCGGTGGCTTATAAACCCCTACGAGTTGCGGTACCTCTGGGTAACTGCATTGCTATAACGAAACTTACCTATCAATCGATGCTACAGTCATTATAACCTACAGTGTTATCCCTTTTTTGTTTTGCCCCCGAGCCAAGTTTCGGGATGGAACTTCAGGTTCTATGTTCGCTAGTATGAATCTTCATGTAACCATTGAAAGGTACCAAATACTACCAGGCCAATACGACTCAAATCTCTTCTAAGCAATTGTTTGAGATACTCGTAAACTTCTATCCCCAAAAATGATATTACCTAATAGCCTCGAGGACTAATCGAATCGGAGGAGCTTAGGGGTTTTCGTGCAATAACGTCGGTTTCTCCTTGTTACAATAAAAGTGATATTCAATTGAAAGACCTGTCACTAAACTCTGACGTACCTATTAAAGGACCTTTATTTACCAACCTCTCAATAGTACTAGCCGAAAGCTTACTAAAGAAAGACGATATAAACCGAGATGGAAGGCGGATATAAATATAATTAGTTACTAACATAAATATTCTAGCAGAAGCCTACAACTCTGATTGGCGAGGTATGTAAATGTAGTCTTTAGAGAGTTGATATTAATATATGAGGCCCTGAAATAGGTATGTTGCACTATGGCCACTGTAACATCCAGGTACCAGGTACCTGGGTGAGTTATAAAGAGGGGTCCATGGGTCTCTAAGTAGTAAATTATAAAGGGTTTGTAATCACTGTAATTATGTCCCTCAAGGGTAAGATATAATTAAGGTAGGTAGGTAGGTGACAGGATAGATACCGATCGGTTATATTCATTATTGACAACACTCTCTTAGTTTCTTAATCTACCTAGGTATACAATCATTAGCCTCGCGTCTATTCTACGGAAAGAAAGTTGACTAAAAAACACTTATTCGTCTATTTCGACTATCTAGTAAATATGACTATCGGGTCGGTTACTAGGTCAGTACGCTAACAATCTCATGTTTGAATGACAACGCTACCCGTGATGACGACGAGCATGTTTACGCCCAAGGGACGTTATATTTATCCAGATAGTACCAGGTATATACGCATCGGACGCACGGTGGCGTATATGACCTCTAGAATACCTGCAAAGAGGTAGAGCTACTCTACCTACCTAGGTACCTAGCTAGGTAGTCAGCGTCAGCGCTGGCTAACCCTTCTGAGACCGGCCTTGTTTCTAATGTCTCAGTACCACATTCCACGACGTATATCAGGGTTACAAAGAGGGAGACCTGTGATCGGACAGTTGGTTAAGTGCCGACAACAGGATTTGAAACGCCACTCGTGAAATGATACGAATTTTCTGAGTTTAGTTTTGATTAGGCTAGACTTTACGAACCCGGGGGGAATACTTTTAAACCAAGAGAAGCTCGATTTAATGATTAACTCATTGATCCTAACGAAGAGTAATGCACTCATGACATTACAGCGCAAATCATCTTGATATAACCGCAAACGCGAATCCAATATGTACGTACTATGACGCCTTATCGTTCCTTACCTTGCCATCCGATCTAAACACGCGAACTCCGTAATAACCACCCATCCACGAATTTATAGAACTATCCACCCACCATATCTAGCCCGAGCTGGTGCATTGCCTTCACCAAAACGAGCACCAACCAATATAATGCTGGCATAAGTTCTCTAACTTCGTAGCTTCCATGATTAACTTATTAACTTGCGTCACGACATCGAGTTCGTCGGTCGGCTTGAAGTCGCGGCCAGTCAGCTTCTGGTTTACGCGGTCTAGCACCTCCACGGCACGCGCGTTCTGGATCTCGGCCATTTCGCCGTCTAAGATCTGACCCGTGCCGTTCACTAGACTCGAATTGGTGCGCGCCCTGGCCCGAGAAGCTGGTGGGCCGCCGGGATGCGCGGCGTCGACGCCTGCGACGGCCTGCTGCGCCGCGAGGAACTCGGAAGGCGGATGCTCTGCGTCAAGAATGCTCGGTCTGCGAGCCCGCTGAGCACCTGCACCAAGAGAAGATTCCCTCTCGGAACGGAAATTGGGGCCGACAGGAGATGCGGCATTGGTTAGGCGCCAGGTAAGGAGAGGATCGTGGATAAACTGTAACATTATCATATTAGTAATCATAATCCTTCAAAATGCGTCACCAAGGTCAACTTACAGCCTCAAGAACTGCCATCACGCTTTCTTTGTTTTCACGAAGCACACGCATGACATGCTCGCACGTGATCCGGAAGCTACCTTCTATGTTACTGACTTCCATGGCATATGTCAGCATCCTGGTGAGACGGAACGGAACCCTCTCTGGATACTTGTCTCGCTTCATGGCAACCTCGAAGCAGTCACCGAAGTCGATGTGGATAATCTTGCCAGTGATGCGGTCAAGCATCAGGTTGCTGGGATGCCTGTCGCCTAGGCCGAGGATATAACCGACCATGCTCATGACTCCCAAGCTGCGTGTGTAGTTCGTACGCCTCTCGAGCCAAGCCTCGGAGCTCTTGCTCTTCAGCCATAGGACGCGGTACAAATCTTGGCCGGTCGTGTTGTCTAGCGCATAACCAAACACCTCGACCTTCTGCATGAGCGTGAGATTATCATAATCAGGAGCCATCTGCAGCATGATGCGATGCTCTATGTTAAGGAGGATCTTGCGACTCTCGCGGTATTCGCGGATTAACACGTGCAGGGTATCGCTATTCGGCACCCAGCCGAGGAGGCCCGAGTTCTGGCTGAGAGGTATCGCTGGATATCTCTGGATACCGAGATGGCGCTTGTAGCACTCGGAGTCGTTGGCGAGGAGGGTATTGCAAAGGCCAAACAGCTGCATGACGCGCTCATCCTGTCGGATATCTTCGTGTCCCTTTAGAAGGAAGGCGTACGAGTTGCCGTCGCTTCCGTTCGTATTCAATTTCCTGGGTCGCTGCTTGGAGTTGATCACACTGAAGGTCGTATCGAATGAGATGATGCGGACGATGGGAGCGCCGCTTCGGTACGTCCCGGGCACGGCTAGGTCGAGGTCCTTGGCCGCCAGCAATTTCGGGGAGCAATACGCGAGCTCTAGCGACGACATCTGCGGAAGCTGTCTTCCTATTCGTCGGAACACCTGGTAGTAAAGATCCCAGGCCTGGTTAAGGTCGTTGACATCGTGGCTGGTCTCGTATTGCCGGCACCATTCGCGCGCCTCTGTGAGATCTCTACCGAACGTCTGCGCGAAGCTGATCTCACGCAATGTCTCCGGGCCTTGTTCGAGCAGCTCATGTAAGGGCCCGAGAGTGGCGAACATGCCTTCGATATTATGATCACCGAAGTATAGTCGAGAGGCTTCCTCGAGTCCTTCGTGCCAAAGCTCATGCCATAGCACGGCGACCCGGATGAGCTCATGACTCACGGTGTCGGCCTGCTCGACAAGCTTAGCGCTGTGCGCACGCATGCTATCCATGATTAGCGCGGCCGACTTTGACCTCCTAGAGCTCTGAGCCGACTTCATCGCTACGGTCAGCGGGTAAACCAAGGCCTGTGGATGATTACGCCCGACGTCGGCGAGCAGGTTGTGGATAGACTGCCGCACTCGCGTGTTAGGCTGATTGATACGCGCGATGAGCTGAGGGATCACCTCCAGCCACGTATCGACGCTGACGGTCCCGAAGCCTTGGGTGACTGCAGCGTTGACTTCGCTGCTGCCACCGTGGGCGAACCATAGAGTGAGGAGGCGTAGCGTATCTTGGAGGGAGCTTCCCGACGACAACGCAATGGACTTGAAGAAGCCCTGAACAGCAGGGACGACGTGATTTATGATGACAGACAGATCCGATCTCGGGGCGTTCCTGTCAGCTGCGGGAGTGAGGGCTTGGACGATTTCGAAGTTCGCCAAGGCCCACGCGTGCCAAGCCTTGTACCATTTAGGGTTATACTGAGTGGCTTTCGAGTAGGAAGTTAGGATGTCCTGGACGTTGTGGTTTTGCCAATTGTGCTTGTTCAAAGACACCTGCCACTCTCCCTGTTTGAGGAAACATTTCGCAAGAAGCACAGTCTGGTCTTGGATCAGCTTCTGGGTCCTAGAACTAGGGACACCCGGATCCATCGCGTTGTGGAAGCCGTAGTCGCCGATCGGGTCCGGTCCGTTAGACGCAGTCTGGATTGAGGCCCGCGCCATTTCGAGCGCCTGTGCGGAGTCGGCGGTGAACTTTCGGAGGCAGAACAGCGTCTTCTCGGGGTGACCGGTCTGGCGTAGGTTAGGCTGTTGCCCGTATTCCCAGTAAAATTTGAGGACTGCGTATACTACTTGGGGCGGGATCCTCGTCGCCGGACCTTGTTGGGGTTGGCCGTTCTCGCTCCAGTACGGGATTATCGTGTCGAGGGAGTGATCGGTACCGATGAGCTGCTTCAGCGACTTCTCGGCGAGGCCCATCCTACCCGACTTCCGACACAAATTCGCGAACTTGATCCACATATGCATATTTTCCGCCGGCGTGATGACTAGGCCGCGTAGCCTTAGCATACGCTGCCAGACTTCGACGTTCCTCTGGCATCCCTTTAGACGACTCTCCCACGTGCGGCGCATCGTGGCCTTCTTCGGGTCCTTTGCTTGCTTGTAAACGATGATCTCCTCGAGCTCCGCTAGCATCTGCACCCGGACAATAACCTGGTATGCGCGATTGTAGGACTCGCTCACAAGGGCGCTGAGCTCTGTGTCGAGGCCTTCCCGCGTCAGCTGGATAAATCTGGCAGCTTCTGCGAACTGGTTACGATGGAGCGCTAGTATCGCGCCGAAGAACGAACGGTCCGGAGAGAGCCGCTTCATGGACTGCAAATAGTTATCCATAAAATCCCACTTGCCCAGACCCCAGGCGGCGGCGGTTGCGAGCGGCGCGATCCGCCGCTGGATCTCGGGCGCCGAATTGGACCAAGTATTGCTCGTCAGATTCGCTAGGGCATCCCACTCGCCAAGGGCGTGCAAGCAACGCATCTTGCCCATTACAATATCCAAGGGGATCGCTTGGTCTCGCGGCATCTCCGATTCTCTCTTATTGTAGAACGCTAACGCCTCTTCCCACCGTTCTAATTTCTCGAACCACGTCTCTCGGAGCTGGATGCCGTCCTTGTAAAGCTGCGCCTTGCGGAGAATGCCGATGGCGGCATCGTACTGCTGGAGCTGGTTGTTTATGACGATCAAGGCTTCGACCGCTGGCCCGCTCTGGTCCTGTAGGAACTCTAACTCCTTATAATGAAGAGCTTTCGCGTACGCGTGGCAACGGCCGGCCTCCCTACCGAGGACCCTAATATCGATTGGTAAGGCCTTATCGTCGTGTTCCATAAATTCGGCGAGGTTGAGAAGCAGTCCGAGCAAGTCCGGCGGCACGTTCTCAGAGCGGATGGCATTTTCGATGTTCTGGATGAGCTCATCTTGGAACTGTTCGTAGAGCTCGCTCCAGCACGAGACAAAAGCGGAGTTGAACAGCTCGCGGGCCAGGGGCAGATGCACGCTACCGAGGATAGCGCACGCGCGAAGAGCGTGGTTGGGCGACTCGGTCAAGAGGGTGGTGCTGAACCGCCGGAGCCATTCCACCCAGTCCTCTTTCGTGGACTTGCCCTTGGTATCCCAAGCGGCTTTTAGATGAATGGCGTTCATCTCAAGTTTCTTGTTGCCGAGGTCGGTAAACGACGGCTCGTCTAGCTGGTCGACGAACCGCGTCTCAGAACTGAGGTCTTGCGGCAGAGCCTCACCCTTCTGTAGCTTGCTAACCAAAAGCTCATAATTCTGATGTTGGATCTGGCCAGCCTGGAGAACCTTGGTGACGGTGCCCATGAAGTGTAAATAATCCCTACCAAGCTGCTGAATCAGGGCGCACAGGGTATCCAGCGCCGCCATCCGCAAGGACGAATCCCCGCTAGCGAGGATCCTGGTCAGGGGGTGGATGATCTTGGCGGCATAGTCATTGAGGTTGACCTGGCGAGAGATCTTGCCGACAGTCTCGATAGCTGACTTCCGCAAGAACGTCGGCTGGCCCTGCTTCTCGAACGTGCGCACGATCACGGGAATGATGAGATGCATATATTCCTCGCTGCTAGAACCGAAGACTAGAAAGGCGTGGAGCACTTTCTCGGAAGGGATCCGCTTAGTAGTCGCATCCTTCTCCAAGACACCGAGCATGGCGGGCAGCAGACTCGCCAAGTAGATCTTGAATTCTCCTTCTAGTGACCTCGAAATGGCTTCGATTAAGGACAATATCGTAGCCTGGAGAGATGGTGCCATTTCCCAGTACGGGGGGAGCGACTCTATGATCTGCGGCAGATAGTTCCTAATGTGCTGGCGGACGATGCTCACCAGTGTAGCCAGCTGGTTGAAATAGGATTCGAGGCGACTCGCGGGGCAATCCTTAATCACGTCTAGGAACGCAGGAATGATGCGATCGAGGAATGAGACACACTCTAGTCCTAACGTGCGGAATATGTTCATGATGGCCTCGATCACTGCGGCATGGTGTGCCGCGAGGGAATGGTCCTTGAGTATATTAAGGAGGGCGTTAATCACGACGGTGGGGTAATACTCTTTGTTAGAGGGAGTAAGACCTGTCATCATTAGCGATATGTCGGTCATTCGATTGGTTTCGACGCGGCGCTTGGCGTCAGGGGCGCGCTCCTCGACTTGCTGTGTGTCATCTTTGTTAGCGTTCTCTTCTGGCGATCGGGATTTCTTTAGATTTTTTTTCTGGGATTTCTTCAGAGGCTTATAGGAAGGTCTCGCGAGCGGTTTCATGAGAACCCTCATATCTATGACGCGTTCTGGGTCGAAATCTTCGTCCGAGCTGAGGGGACTTCCATCCTCATCCGTGGGGTTCCCCCATCCGTATGCACGCTGCCACGCGTCTTCGTGATGGGGATCCTGTAGGGGATTCTGTACCTGATGCCTGTAGGGATCTAGCGCTCCTAATATTCCCATCAGCTTAATCGTCTCATGCCGCAAGGCCCCGCGCTGGGGCTCGACGCGGATAATGTGTTGGAGGAGGTCGAGGAGTTCGGGGTATTCGAGATAGGGGTCTATGACGTATCCGGAGTTGCTGGCAAGCTGGCCTAGGGTATGCAAGGCAGCCTCGCGCTTGACGTCAGAGGCGTGGTCCTTCAACGCCTTGATGATGATCGGCATGAGTTTATCCTTGTACGGGAGCATGTCTTCCCCCCCGACTGTCGCGAGCTCGCCGATTGCCTTGAGGATGGTGGCTGCGACAGCGTGATTGGCGTCGTCGGCCTTCGGCAGAAGTACCGAAATCATAGGTTCGACGTATGGCTTGACCAAAAGCCCGGCGTTCTGAACGAGGTGGCTGAGGAGCCTGGCGCTTTCCTCCTTGTTGCGCGGGGCATCCGAGAACTCGAGCTCAGTAAGCATCTGTATCAAAGTCTTCCGAAGCGAGGGAATGACGTAGGCTGGGTTGTACAGAGCCAGTCGACCTATGATAGAAATCGATACTTCCCTTATATCGAACACTTCGTCGTTGAGCGCAAAGAAGAGGGTCCGGATGTTCTCCGCCTTGGCGAGGTGAGGGTCGAAACGCTCGTCGAGAGCCGCGAGGACTGTCCGTCGTATGGTTGGTTCCGGGTCGGATACGCCTACGGTTAGCAATTTCTCGATAACGTCGCCGACGACCTGCAACGCGTGGTAACTAGTCTGATTTACGATTGGATCTCGCACGTACAGTTGGCAGCACGTAAGGGCGGCCGCCTCGCGGATCTCAGGGTCATCGTCTTCTACGTACTTGATAGCAACGTCACGGACGAATTCATTCAGTATGTGGCCTCCACCTAATGTCAGCATTCGTAATTTTTAGCGCCATGCCCGACCTGAGGTAGGCCGGTAGGAGATGGATAGCGAGCCTGGTTAAAAGACGGGAGGCGGGAGGAAGGAAAGGGGAGATAAGGGGGCGGGGGGACGAATCACTTGGTATCGGGAACTTACCTGAGAAGTCGAAGCTCCCTAGCGTCCTCAACGCTAGCTTCACCTCGGCTTTACGGTGCTCATAGGCCTGCGGGTCTTTGGCATCTCTCGGTATGATGGGGACGGCCGAGAGCGTGTTCGGGGTGGGAGCTCCAAGGGGCTTGAAGGGCTCTCCACAAAGGACCTTGCTAAGCATGTCTAGAAGCCTCTCCTGTATCGTAGCCTTCACCGGCGGTATGTAGAAGGCCATATCGACCAAGGCCTGTGTTAGCTTGGGGGTAAGCTCGCACGCAAAGATGGGATCCAGTAAGGCCTCCATGTATTTGCTGAGCGTCTGGCCAACCGCGACCGCAAGTCTGCTGATGCAATCGAAGACCGGGTCGACAGAGCCTCGCTTTCGAGACTGGATGCTGAGTCCCTCTCGGACATAGATAAGAACGCCGTCGAGGTATGGCGCGATAGCGCTCTTGACGGCGTTGGCGATGTTTCCAATAGCGAAGAAAGCATCGTTGCGTTCCTTGTCCTTCTTGAGCATACCGGAGAGATAGACCATGAACTTGTGAAGATAGGCGTGCGCGAAGTCGGACGGGGAATAATTGGCTAGGTTGGGGATTAGCAGAACGACCGTCTTGCGAACCGTCATGTCACGATGATCCTTGTGGGTGAAGACTATCTCGCATGCATTCTGATAGTGGTCCTGCATGTACATGCCACCTTGCTCGAGAAGCTCCTTGAGCACCAGCAATGACGCGTGGACGTACTCGACGGTGTTCGTCTTGAGACCGGCCTGGGTCTCATTATACATCTTGGTCATCCACGCCTGCTTCATCTCCTGGTCTCGCTTGCGGATGATCTCGAAACAGGCACTGACAGTCTCCGCGGAGGTCGCGCGGATAAGCTGGCGCGGGTCGCGAAGACCAACCCATATGAGGTCGAAAACGAGGCCGACGTAGGCGTACATCAGAGTAGGCGCGCTCCGGGCGAGCTCGCGGAGGACCAGGACGGCGCTATATCTCTTCTCCTCCACTCTATCTGATTGAAGCCACTCGAGAGCGGTCTTGACCTCGGATTCGACCAACTCTGATATCAGAGATCCTCCGGGAAGACACAATTTGCCGAGGGCGATGGCAGCGGGTTGCATAGGAACAATATCCTTTCCTCTCAGGATCGTCTTCAGATTTGCGGTAAACCGGGTATATTTAGCGGTAACGTCCACGCCATCGAAATCGACAAGGGCATCAAGGGCATAGACGCCACCTAGGCGTTCGGAAGAATCATTGCCATGGAGCATCAGCGTAGTGATTTTGTTGTTGACGGAATTGTAGAATACGTGAAATTGTTCTGGCTGGAAATCTGTAGGTGCGTGATCAGCTGCATGTTTAGGGGACAGCGAGATAGAAGAGACGGTGTCACGTCATCTAGACACATCAGACACATCAAAGAGTATCGCACACACCTCTATAACAAACGGTTACTAGCTCCCTCAGCTGGACAGCTGCTCGCTTTCGAACTTCGTCTCCTGCCCTGTTTAAACGGTAATAGTTAGTCAGAGGCCAGCGCTCGGCCGAGGGAAAATGCTCGCACCTCGATTTCAAATCTCTCGTGATGGCATCAAGGGCCTCAAGGGCCAGCTGCTGCTGCTGCGCCATAGCGGACAGCGAGGGGATGCAGCGTCGGCCTTACTATCCCTCAGCCGCGTCGAAGACAGCTTCAGGAGCCGACCGCAAACAAATTCATTAAGAGTAGACTTGACGACACCGCGACATCAGACTGCGAGGAATAGAGGGGTCGCCGAACTCCGGGAAAATAATAGTAAGGATTATAAAGGAAAACAAAGTAGAACGGAGGGAAGCTTCGCGATATTATGTAGCAGAGGCGGTAAGGATGTTGTTTGTCCAGGCGCACAATGCAAGACTTGTATTTTTTTGGGGTGAGTTCGATAATAATCCGAGCTCGTGACGGAAGACGAGGCAAGAGGATAGGTAGTAGGTATTAATGACTAGACGAGACAGGAGCTTAAAATGGTAAGTAACCTGGCAATTAACAATTAACAGCCGTAAATTGACTAGTGCATTACTGCAAAAGGGATAGACAAGCGGCTTATTATGGGAAATCCCTTGTCACCGATAAATAAAAATAGCGGATATCACAGTTTATTTTTCCAGCACTCTATCCAACATAAACCGTGTTGTACCTACCGGTATACCTACACTTTATTATGTACCTAGGTATAGGTATTGTACCTCCATGAACCTGGAAACTTTTATCTTATCGATAGCGCTAAGATTGTGTAGTGGTGGCAGGAATTAAAATTCAATGTTTGGAAGCAATGTTGCTAGCGAATTGAGCTTATGGAATTCTAAATCTACATGTCCCTAGGCATCGTACCTGTAGCAATTACTGCATTTTCGACGACTGCCTTCCTTCCTTTCTGGACTTTTTTTTTCTCGCACCAATCGCTCTACCTATTCTAACAACTTTTTCTCCTAGAAATATTTTTAGGTGTGCCTCAACTAAATCTATCCATTTCGATCAACACCCGAGGATCTTTTCCGGACTGTACCAATTACGACCTCAGGCGCATACATTCGCTACGTATTTTCGCCATGGGAAATGACGGCGGCTCTATTCCTAAGCGTCGGGAGCTGGTGCGCGAGGCCGCTCGACTACCTACCGCCTCTGAGCTGAAAGCAACAGCTCTCGAATCTCTGACGCATGCCTGGACGACGTGTCCGCTATCTGATTCGCCTCTGGACCTTTCTAATGCTGTGTCCGACTGGCGGGGGCGACTCTACAACTACGAAGCAATCCTGCAATGTCTGATGCCTTCCTCTTCCGAAACTGCCATGCACGAAGCCCAAGAAGCCGAGTTCGCACGCACTGGAGTAAGGAGTCTGAAGGACGTTGTGAAGCTCCACTTTACTACAAGAAAAGATGAGAAGGCGCGCGAGTTCGCCGCCTGTCCAGTTAGCATGAAGGAATTAGGCGCCGCAACTAAGAGCGTATATATTGTGCCATGCGGTCACGTCTTCGCCGAGGTCGCTATGAAAGAGATTTCTGACACCGAAAAGCAATGCCCGGAGTGCAGCGCAACATTTCAGGAGCGGGACATCATACCCATCTTATCAACTGACGAGGCCGAGTTAGAGAGATTGGCTAAGAGGGCCGATGAGCTAAAGACATTGGGCTTAGCGCACAATCTCAAGAAAGAAAAGGGTGCAAGTAAGAAGAAGCGAAAGGCTATCGAGGGAAAAGAGATGGGTACCGGCGGCGAGTTAGAAACGGGGAAGGACGGTAATAAGATGAGGAAAGGCAAAGAAGACAGGAAGGATATCTCTAGCCGAATAAATAACCCTATGACAGCGTCCCTCACGGCAAAGGTATTGGCAGAACAAGAGGAGATGTCTAAACGGAGAAAAGTAATAGATGGTTATAAGAAAAGTGAGGTTGCTAGATGATAAGGCTACAATAGACGCAAACCAAGGACGATTTACCCCGTCACGTAACACCTAACGAATGATACCAACAATTTTAATAGATACTACTACCCCTTTCGATAATTATTAGGAACCGACGGGATGAAATATTCAGGAGTCATCATAACATATCTCATAAATAGCGTGATTCTACACCTGTATTACCAACCTCTCTATCAGTCTATCTTCATAGCTCGTCCTTGGCATGTCCGGGCTCGACGAATTCCTCGCAGACTGCGGGTGTGCCTACTTCCATCTTGTAAACGCACTTTTCGAGTTCGCTAACCCGCCACAGCTCCTCTGTCTCGGCACAGGCAAGCCATACGTCCGTCTTCCGATTTGGGCCATTCCAGCAGCCCTGCCCGTTTTCATATCTTAGCACGACGCGCTTCCCTCGTCCGAGTCCCTTGCCATCGTGGCGCTCCTCCTCGTCGGCCTCGTCGACGTCGAAGCGGTCAAAGTTACCCATGGTAGTCTTTCCACCCCCTTTCTTACTCTTCTGGCTCGTCTTATCCAACCAACACAACTCATACTCGTACTCGCCGGCTTCGGTCGTGACGCACTTTCCTTTGAGATACCGGAAGATGTCATCCTGACCGTAATCCTTCTCTAGATCACGCTGCTGCTCCTCTTGGGTCCGCCTCTTAGAATTAACATCATTGGCAACGGAGTCATGGGCTTCCCGCGCTGCCTTAACCAGACGCGACTCGCTCTTCTCGGAAGCCGAGTCGGCCAAGACGCCATTCTCGATCAGCCAAATTCGAAGAAGATTGATCCTAGAGTGCAGGAACTCGCGGAGAGGGCCAGGGAGATACGCTTCGAAACTGTACACTGTATTAAGTTAGCCCTACGCACACCTACGAGAACCTAGACATTCTTGGAGACGTACGAATATCCGTGTCTGAGGCCTCATCTTCTTCAAACTCTTTCCAGTTGATGCCAGACTCTTCACCATCCTCCTTCATGACGTCAAGAATATCCGCCTCCCCGAGTTGTTCTTCGGCTTCTCCCGCCTTCTTGGCAGCATAATCTTCCCAGCCTCTAAGAGCCTTCTTGACACCTTCGTCGTTGAAGTTGGGGTTGTATTCTTCTTTAAACGCGGCCAGAATGCCTTCTAGCTCCTCGACTTTAGTTTTGAGCTGATGGCGCTCGTCCACGACTTTACTCAGGATATTCCGCAATTCGTCAACTCTCGTCCTAGCCAGACCCGCAAGCACTCCGAGCTTGCCTGGCCCCTCGCTCTTGACTACCTTAAATCGTTCCTGGCGTTCGACGTCATCGAGCTTCGCTTTCAATTCATCCCGCTTAACTTCGAGCTCCCGAATCTCGTCGGCGAGGCTCGCAATCTTTGCCTCGACACGGCGACGAAGTTCCTTAGATTCCTTCACCATGGTTCTTCGGCGTTTGTTTGCTCGCTCAAGATTGTCTTTCCGCTCCTGTTCAACCCGCCTCCATTCGTTACCGATCTCCGCACACCTATTCTCGCACTTGACACCGCCTACATTCCCATACTCCTCACTGCCGTCGCAGCAAAGGTCATAGTCGCAGACGCCGTCGTTTACATACATAAAAGGTACATATGAGCCAACGTGGCCCTTATTGGCACACCAAAAACCGGGAAGAGCATTTGTGGTGTTCGTAGTGCCAGATAAGGAACCGGGCAGAGGTTGCTCTGGGGATAGGCGGTCTAACAAAGCGCAAGCCGCAGTACCAGGCTCGTCGGTACCGTCAGGACAGTCACACGAGTTGTCGTTGACCCGAGATGCAGGAATGGTAATGGATAGATGACCAATACAGGTAAACGTGCCCTCAATTTCGTAGAATTTGACGACTATACGAAACCAATTGATTAGTACCGGTATGCACCAAAAGGAGTGTCCACAAAGAAGCTACGATTGAGAATAGATTGAGAGTAGATTGTGGAGGATGAATGGTAAAAGCAGAAGAAACTAACATTCAGGACCGATGCCACGAGGTAGAGAACCAGCTGCAGATGTCCCGTGGCGACTTATGATGCCCAAAAGCACCAGAGCCTGAGAATGGCGCATTTTATCCAGGTAGAAGAAGGGAAGAGATGATCATGGATATAACATGGAATTCAATCGGAAATTGCGGGCGTCGAGGAGCTTATGACATTCTACGTAATGTGAAAAATAGCATAAGTAGAAATTATAAATGCATCAATCTAGAAAGTTAACACGAAAGCATCTCCATAATCTCCAGAATCTCGGACCCCGCTAACCGAAAGCTAACAAGCTTGGCAAGCTCATGCCCTGGCAGCCTGGACATGCCCTGGAGGCCCTTACCTTCCAGGTTATTGACATCAATGAAATCATACCTACTCTCCAGGGCTGTACTTTAACATCGAATTGCTTAAGACTCAAACTTGAAGAGACCATATTTTATAGGAGGACTATTATAAATAGTAAATCGTAGAATATATAAATAGTGCACATACTTACCTAGGTACCTACCTATCTGGGTTTCTCAATGCTGTTTCTTAAAGGTAGAACGAATAATCATATTAAGTGGGTACCTTTCTAGTAACAGGCGCCGCGGGGAGAGAAACGAACTACCTAGTACCTTAGGTACTTACCTAGGGGTTTTACTACCTACATATGTACCTACATAGGTACCTACATAGGTATAATGCTTGCTAAAAATTTCTAGCTCCAGTAAAGACGAAAACCCGCGAAAGAAAATTGCCTAAGTGAGAGGTAGGTAGGTATCTACATTAAGACACTTAACTCAATTCTTAATCTCATACCAGACATATATAGGCATTCTAAGGCCCTTCTGATGCCACCTATTGACTCGATAAAATCGCTCTGTATATCTTCCAGCGTGGTACCTTACACACACGGTCCTATGAGTTTCCACAAATTCCCCAGACTTATGAAAGCCTTCGGTGGCAGGTTGTACACCATGGTCAATCATATTGTTAAAATTACGGCCCCTAATGAAGGATCAACGTTGTAAGTGAGCTTTAAGATCTGGTATGTTCGTATTTAGAAAGCTGATAAATATCAGAGTTAAGAATCACGTAGGTTAAATAGTAACTCGCAAAATTTCGTATCTAAAGTCTAATATATACAGAAAGGAGATGGAAGCTTCAAATTGGCACCAAAAATGCACGCGAATCTACGCAACCAGATCTCACTCCTTAGGAAACTTCCGGAAAGAGACGACCTTGACGAGATAATGTCCGCTCCTTTATTCACCTATCCGGTGCTCAAGAGCGCCGAGAGATTAACCACCATCGCCTCCAAGGCCCCATTTGCCCAATACGCACTCCTCGCCGGGGACGCAGATATGCTACAACGCACACCTAAAGATGACCCCCGTATCTTTTACAACGTTGCCGTGCCTTCCAGCACCTTCATCTGCGGTAGTCAGGGGTCCGGCAAAAGTCACAGCCTGTCTTGCATACTCGAGAATTGTCTGATTCCCGCCCCGATATTAGGACATCTCCCGAAGCCCTTGGCGGGTATCGTCTTCCACTACGACACATTCATATCCGATGCTGGGGGCGTGCCTTGCGAAGCCGCATATATATCCTCAGACCCTCGGGTCAAAGTCCGCGTCTTATGTCCGCCGACGAATTTCGCTACTATGAAGGTATCTTGGAGTGCCGCTGACCATCAACTTCTTCAGCTAATATCTCTATAGGATACGTATAGCTCCCTTAAAAATGTCAAGGTTGAGGAGTTGCGGCTTAAAGAGTCGTATCTTAACACCAAACGTATGTTAGAGCTTATGGCATTCAGCGAAGGAGGACGCCAACCCCTTTACCTCCACGTCATCCAGAGAATCCTAAGAGATATGCGAGTCGCACAACAGCAGACAAAATCTGGCTTCAAATATAGCGACTTTATTAAAGAGCTCCAAAAAGAGAATTTATTGACCGACCAAATACGACCTCTACTGCAACGCCTAAATACTCTGGAAAGCTTCATGGTCCCAGAGGAAATCGGCACCGGAGCGCAAATTATCTCCCAGAAGCCGAAGCCACAGAAAAAAGTGAGTAAGAAGGCAAGTAAGAAAGCGAATAAGAAAGCGAAATCTGGCGGTGGCGATACGCAACCTAGCGATACGGATGAAGGCACAAACTGGACACTTCAAGTAAGTGCATAATCTACATATACTTGTGTTGGCTACACTGAAGTTCACCTGGCACCCCCTAGGGGGTGCTGCGCTTTCATTAGCGAAAATACCAGCCATTAGCAAAGTACCTCTACAGAAAACTTTCTATACGATTTACATATAGGAATACTTGCCAAGACTCCCATGTTAATAAAGTTCTTAAGATTAAGAGAGAATCTCTCGCAATAGAAGGTATTTTGCTAATACCTGGTCTTTTTGCTAATTAATGCGCAGCACCCCGTAGGAGTGCCAGGCGAACTTTAGTGTAGCCAGCACTAGTATAGCAGTAAGTGTTGGTATTTACTATAACAAAGCTAATTCATCTGCAGTCGGGTGAGTTACTTATTGTAGATCTATCATGCCCATGCATCACACCGAGTATGGCATGTTCATTATTCAACATATGTCTTTCAATATTCTTGGAGCAGAAAACTTCCCTTGGCAGAGTAATCGCCCTCGATGAAGCACACAAATATATGGATGAGACAGTCGAATGCGAGACCCTCACCAACAACCTGCTATCGGCAATCCGCCTCCAGCGTCACCTCGGCGCTCGCGTCATCGTCTCGACACAGGAGCCTACCATATCCCCGAAACTACTCGATCTGTGCAGCATCACCGTCGTTCACCGATTCACCTCGCCAGACTGGTTAAATATGCTAAAGAAACACATCGCGGGGATTCCGAGGGCGTCAAAAATGGACAAAATCGGGGATATCCAACAAGACGTAGATCGGAAGGGCGGAGCCGACGTTCCTAGAAGTATGCACGAGATAGTAGCAGCATCGAGCGATCCTTATACTGAGCTCTTTTCTCACATCGTCGAGCTCAGGACAGGCGAAGCTTTTGTGTTTGCTCCTAGTGCGATTATCGACTTCGGGAAGCGGAATTCTCAACTAAAGAAGATCGAGAGCACACGATTAGCTCATCGTATCATGCGCGTCATAATGAGAGCTCGTATCACTACGGATGGGGGTAGAAGCATCATGGCTACTTAATGCTTGCCTAGGAATGGGTCTAGTAGGATCGGTTTTGGAGCTTACTCTATGGTTGCTGCTGGTGGTACCGATGATGGTACCTATTAATGAAGTGCAGCTTCCCTAGATTATGTGAGGTTTTTCATATGCTGGAGGTGCGATGTCTGTCTTCGATGAAGGTGCTTTGTCTTGATATAGTTCTGCATCCATCTTCTCCTAGGTTGTAATATCTCTATTGAAATAGGATACCTAATGATTAGGAAAGAGTGAGGTCGAATAATATGGGATACTCCTTATTATTTTATACGTGATTTGAAGGAAGTTCTACGCCAATATAAGGTTGAACTATGATGCCTACCTAAGCACCATCGTTTTGAGAATAAGAAACGCTATAAGCGCCTTACATTGGTACTAGGTACCTACATACATATGTATTTACCTGTAAATGGGTAATTACTACATATGTACCTATTACCTACATAGGTAGGTTAAGTAAATTTACATGTGCCAAGTACTTTCATTCAGGGGACGTTGTGTAGGCAGTACATGCTAAAGATAACTTTGTCTATGGGTAAGCTTCTATGCCAGGACCATCAATACAACCTCTTACATTTTACTATGAGAAGATTTTGAATCTCAGTAAACCCCTAGGTTAGCTGATTGTTTCGTAATTGATTTGATGAAACTTTGAAGGATAAAGGTTACTTCAAAGTACCAGCTAACCTAGGTACCTAGGTAAGTTAAGATGTTGAACTCTTAGAGACGTCCAGTCTTCCTTCAAGTTAGTAAATAGCTAGTTAGAGGTTTATGAGGTCTATATTCAGCTCGTAGAGTCCCCGTTAAATCCCCAAGAGTTCCGTTAGCCGCTAGTCCTGGGAACAGAGCAGATAAAGAGACTCACTTATATTTATACTAGGTAGGTACCATGTTCTCCATAGCGAGAGTAGTTAGGAGCTCCCCGCGTAACAACGTTGTTGTTTCCTTGTTCTTTAGTCCCGAATCATGACAGAGGCGATTTGTACCATAGTGACTTCTTAATAATGATCCCTGTTGAACTGGTAGAAGTAAGAACTACCTAGTATCAAACGTTTCTAATAAATGGCTTGATAATAATCCAAAATCCGAACTCTTTCTTTTCCACACTTAAACAATATATTGTGATTTATTATCCACTACATTTGTTAAACAGATGGAGGTTATTATTATCTCTCATGAAGCGGAACTAAAAGCCATGAGAACAACACGTTACGCGAAGAACTCAGGTCTCCTCTCTCTAAGGGAGTGTGGTATACATACATACCTACCTACTCAGGTGAGGCCCTTTTTCTTACTCTATCCTGGGCTAGCAACTAACATGCCTACTTAGGACCCTTCGTGGGCTCTCATGGACCTCAATGTACCTCTTCCCGACCCTGCGAGACCTTTAGCTACCAGTCCTTCTACAAACCAGACTTGGGACATTTTCGACTATACAGCCCTATTGGGCATGGGAACATACTTTGGCCTTTACATAGCATTATTAATTTTCGCAGCATACATATTCCAATTATCGTATGTGTTTTCTTAATACTTTGATCTCTATTTTTTTACTCGCGTACCTTATTAACATAGAAGCTACCTATAGAATCAAGACAAGCTACCGATGTACCCGACCATCCCCCAGCAGATTCTTGCTCCATCAACAACCTCCCCAGCGATAACCCCCCCCAAGTCCGGTCCGCGAGACCTCTCGCGACAGCGTAAGTGTTCTTCATTCATCATTAAAGTTATGAAGACTAAATATTGCTCGTCGTAGCAAGGATCCGCCGAAGAGGGGATCCGACAAGTCGGATACATACAAACGACGGGGGCAGCGGTGTCCGCCTGGGAGAGGCAGGAACTTCCTAGGAGGGACCGGGAGGAAGGGCTACTCGGTAGCTTGACTTGGATGAATAAATTTATTGTATTGGCCATTACTATCAGCGCATGTGTAACGCTAGTGTCAATTGGCGTGGCGACAGCGGTTAAAATGTGGAAATCATAATATAGTTTTTCTTGACATTGGCAAAAGTCATGTTAAATCTGTTGAAATAGATGCAGGTTATGAGTATCATATTGATTGATTAGTGGGTTAAGTTACTGGTTCCAGGTAGTGGTTCGTAGGCAGATAGTACATATATACCCCTCGAGTACAGGGCGTAGACTCCCAGCCATCTAATATTCCAGCAAAATCAGTATGTGTATTAGCTGGTGGAGTGTCAAATGTAATCTATTCGAGTAGAGCCGCTTTGCTCTGCAAGCAGTTGCTCCCATTGCTCCCATTGGTTTGGATCCATCTCGAACGAGAGGAGATCGGGAGATTGGTACGACTCCAAAGATTCGAACTCGGAGAAATTCCCATCATATATCTGAGAGGTGACTTCGCCCGAGCTGAACGGGGCCAGTGTGGTGGATCCGGTATCTGTCACTAGGTCCCCTGTGGTTGACGGAGACCGTATTATAGGCCTTCGGCAACGGCGGATGGCGTCGATGTATTGTGGGGTTACTGGTTCGGGGAGACCTTCGGCTTTCGAAGCGGCGACGTATCCATCCCAGACGGTTAGTGTCCACTTGCCCAACGCGGCCGACACGGCCCCCGTGAATTTCTCGAACACGATGGGGTAGTAGGAAAACAAGGAGCCGATCAGCTGCCACGATCTGTCGACCTCGGGACCCGTCTTGCGATGTCGCATTTCGATGAGCACGTACAGCATCGTGTTCCAGAGAAAGCTTGAGCCAAGCTGCCACGTATACTTATCCAACCCGTGGGAGCCTTTCTGTACTAGTATGACATATTCCAATAGCTTGGTCGCGTTTGCAAATACCATCCGGCGCTCTCTTTCGGAAGCTTTTGCGGGGCTGCTGGCGAACTGTCGCGGGTTGTGAGCGAAGATCCTCAGCCTACATATCGAGGACCTGATCGAGATCGACACGTAACTGTGCAGCGAATTCGACGGGTCGCAGTAGCGCATAAATCTTCTTTCCCACTTGTCTTCTATCTCATTTATGACGTTCTCCTTTTTTGTGAACGGGATGCTTGGGTTAGAGAGTACCTCCCAACGAAGATCGCCGCCGGGGCACGACGCCGGAAATTTGCGCAGGGTTTCTAAGAGATCGCATCTCATTACGCAAAGAGTGATTGCTGTGATTCCTTCGCGTTCGGGCGGGGGATCAACCATATCTGGGTAGAGGTCGTCGTCCTCGACGTTTAGGGGAGGTTTGGTATCGCCGCACAGAAGATCTAGAGACGGCCTCGCGCCCATCACGTCGGCGATGCGAAAATCCATGTGTACAAGCTGAAACCAGAGCCTCCTCCTCATTTCTGTCTCGAACGGCGATAGCCCGAGAGATGTACCACTGCGGCAATAAGGGTCAGTAATTCCTTGTCTAAGTTGGGACAAGCCCTAGGAACTTCAAGCATGTCTTAGGAGCAAAGATACTTAGCCAGCCTGATTAAAAAGGTTTCGCTTTTGATGATAAGCTAACGGGTGGGAGAGAGAGAGTGGGAGAGAGAGAAGAATTATCGCTGCTACATACTCCCGGTGGAGTCCCATTTTACGCGCGAGCCGTATGGCCACTCCCATCAATACAAATAGGGTATCACATCGATAACTATTTCTCACGCTCATCTATTCCGTCAGTTCTAAGTCGCACATCAAAGATCCCGTTGCGGTTGCGATTGCGGCTTACTATGAACATTGTATATGCTTGGAGGGTCATCGGATTAGAAGTAGATAAGAATCCGGCGTTCACTAAGGCCTGGCGCGTCGCGAATCTATAACGAGAATACGTGGTAGGCTGCGATGTTCCGAATAAGGACTCGCACTCGTCTCCCTTGAGGGCATTTACGGTTGCGAAGTAAAAGGCAAACACCAACGCTTCTAAGCTTTTAGACATGTCTCGAGGACTTCGCAGGCCGTTTGTCAACGCGGACCAGAACGTAGGAAGATGCAAGATCTTTATCAATGGGTCAGTTCGGTCAAGGTAAATCTCCTTCAATTTTAACAATATCGGAGGAGAAGGGTGGAGCTCCGCCAGATTCGCGAACTTGTTGCCGAATTCGGGATCGAGAAACATCCCGCTTTCGTTGGCGGTTAACTCGTCCGTAGGCTCGCCTGCACCGCCGACCTCTCCAACTTCAGGGTGGTGGGACTATGCCAAGAGAGTCAGGGAGAAAATATTACACGAGTAAGGTTCGCGAATAGAGATGGGATACATACTTCGTCGCCGAGATTAGACCAAGGGGCGCTAGGAATTCCGATGAGATATTTACATAGGTATGATTTGGTATAAGATGTCGATGATGAACATACCTTTCAAAGTAGCTCGACATCCCCTCTTTCGTGATGAGTCGCGGTTTGGTCTCTTCGAGCCCGAACGGATCGTTCCGGGGTTTGCTTCGGATTTCGGCGCCCTTGTCCGTTTCGAGGTCGGGCTGAGACGCCGTGTCCGTGTCGGAATCGTCAAACTCTTCGGACGGCTCAATGTTAGCGCCGTACGACTTCAACAACTCTTCATATCGCTTCAGTTTGGCATGGATGCCTTCCTTGCGAGGTTTTGTTCGTTTACGTTTCCCGCGCACGGGGGGGATGAAGCTACATTGCTTCTCTGCCTTGACGCAGTTGGAACAAGGGGCGCGCCGGTCGCATTTGACCTTCCGCTGCCTACAAATCAAGCAAGAGTAGTTTTTCAAAACATCCTCCAGCCCAAGCTGATGACTAGTCACCGACGAGTTAGGCATGTCTGGATCTAATTTATCTCTATTCTCTTTCCCGAAGTTGTAGGAGCCTTGATTGAAATCACTCGGTGGCGTAACAAGTGGATCGATATTTTCGGGGTTCGGATAAAAAATCCAACTTTTGGGCACCGAGAAGCGCCGTGACCCTCTCCCCCTGACGTCGACATTCGGAAGTTACTTAGGTAAATATGTAAAAACTACCTACCTACACATGTTTCTCGTCTTCTTATTATATATATATATGTACGTACATATAAGCAGTCTTCATTATGAGCTATAGAAATTCACAGCTAAGTTTTCCACCGGCCAACCTCACCGTACATACCTTATCTACTTCTCTTCGGTACGACCGTACCCAAGTCTCCGTCAGGCGGACTCGAGAGGGTTAGGGTTAGGGTTAGGGTTAGGGTTAGGGTTAGGGTTAGGGTTAGGGTTAGGGTTAGGGTTAGGGTTAGGGTTAGGGTTAGGGTTAGGGT